TCCGTAAAGAACCCTTCTGAAACAACAGTAAAATTCTTCCTGTAGCCATAAGAGAGATAGTGAGGTTGTTTTTTCTCTCCCCTGAAAACCACCGAGCTCCTTTGTGAGCAGCCCTGACCTTGGCCTTCAAGCCATGTGCCGGAGCTGGAATCTCTACCCGACGTCACTGCTGCACCAGTTGTGTCTGCCCGCGCCACGCTATCTCCCTGCTTTGGAGTTCTGAGGCAGTGTGACACTTGCCATATATTGTGCAAACTACAGTCACGTATTCTGGAGCCCTCCACAACTCACTTGGTGCTTGTTTTTGTCAGACCTCAGTATTCCTGTGGCTCTGTGGGGTGGTTGCAATCAGCAGGTACCGAAAGAGTAAAAACTTCCTCTTGGAGGAAAGCTTTTAAGCAGCCCATCGTGAGCTGCTGAGCCACCCCTCCGGTCCCTTGTGCAGGGGTGGAGGAGCTGCAAATGCTGCTGGTCACTGGGACGCCTGTGCAGGTGGGTGTCAGGGGCTCTGCCCAGAAAGCTGCCAGTCCACACGCTCCTGCAGCCTCCATAAGCAATCTTTTTGGCTCATTGCTGTGTTATTACCTACATATTTTGAGAATGCCCTTAAAAGGTCTCTTGGAAACTGGAAAATAGATCGTTAAGGGTACCATTATCACAGCTCACTCTGAGTTGCTGATGTTTTCAGTTACGTTTTTCTTACAATTTTCCCTCTAAAAATAAAAAAGGCAAATTGGCGTCTTTTTAAAATCAAGGGCATTCTGGGGCAAATCCTTCTGCTCTGGACAGTGGCCGCCAGTAGTAAAGGTGCAGGAGTGAGTTGGCAATCGCATTGGTGCTGCAGGGCTCAGCCTGCAGCTGAGCCTCTCCCCAGCTGCCGCAACATCAATCTCCTGACATGATGGGATGCAGGGGCTGAATGCTGCCCTGTGCAAACCCTGGAGACAAGAGTGTCACACCCGGGAGGAGCCTGTCTCACAGCCAGAATTAACCTTGAGTGTCTGCCAGCTCCCTCTGACTTCCATCCGTAAGTGGGCAGCTGGGGACAAGATTGGCCAAGTAAACAGGGGTTTGCAGGGAGAGCCTGAGCAGCTCTGGGCCGCTCTGCTCAGCACCCTTCCTAGGTAGATGCACATGTATAGGTGCACTAGACACACACATGCATGAAGGTATATTTGTACTTGCACAACTCTTCTCATGCAGAAACAGCTATTTAAAAAGCTGTTTCAAAAGCCACTCAAGCCTTAATTGCTAACCTACTTTGCAGCTTTAAATAATTACGCCTCAAAAATACTCCACGGTCTTCTGGGGTTCCTGCTTCTGTCATCAAAACAGCTGCTACTGTGAGAGTCACTTTTGCTCATTTCCTATCTGAAATACATGGTGCAAAGAACACGGAAAGCACAGTGTGGAAGGCCTTATGGAAAAAGGTAAATTAGCCCTTTTCAGATTTCTGATTGCATAGAGAGGAGAAAAAAGGTAACAGGTCATTAGAGGAAAGATCCGGTACTGCTGGAATCTAAAAAATTGCTGGATAAATAAGGCATTTTTAGCAAAGCTTTTATATTTGCTGCTGTTTTTTTCTTAGTAGTGTCTGCTCTACTGTAGCACCTCAAACTGAGTGCCAAGGCTGTGTAGTGTAGGGTGGTTGTGCAGATGTGGCACGGGGGGAAGTGGGGGGTGCCCTGGGCCCTGCTGAGGACGGGACAGCAGGATTGCACCGGGAGGACAGGCAGGATGCTTGGGAGGGCGAGACAGGGAGGTGTTTGTTGCATCAGGACTTAACTATGGCAGATATGGTGCAGCCGACTGCATCTCCTCTGTTTAATCAGTAATTCAAGAAAAGCCTTGGAAATGGAGATTGTCAGGGAAGGATAGTTGAGCAGCATCTACAGATGAGTCTCTGATTCTGATTGCTGCTGCTAAAAAGATGTGGAATCACTCAAAATGTTTCTTGCCTTAAGAAAAGGGGATAGAATTGCTGCTCCAGTTATTAACCTGCAATTTAGGTAGGATCTGCATAGCTCTCATATGAGGAATAGAAGATAGCAGCATTCTTGAAGGACGCAACTGACAGCAAGATCAGAGGACAGAGGTGAGCCTGGGTTTTGATCTTGGCAATAATTGTCCCATTTCATGCCTTATTCTCAAGGTGTGAGGGGCTTTGAAAAGACCTGTGTGAAAGACAAACTGCACCGGTAGTCTGGTGACAGAGTTAGTTTTTGGTTGAAATTAAGCATCCCAGCTAGTTGTTCACATAACAACAGCAACAGTCCCTTAAGTCCTGTCTGTACCGGAAAGTATTTTTCAGCCTATGGTATGCTTTAAACCAGTCAAATGCTGGTTTCTCATCGGCCCTTGAGGAAACACTTTTTCTCATTTAAAACCTCTCTCTCCTCAGTTTGGGAAGCAAAACAAAATGGAATGGATAGCCTGGACTAAAGAAGCTACTCCTATTACCAGAATTAAAATAACTGAGCAAAAGATGATAACCAGGCAGCTGCCCCTATGCGAGTGCATCGTTGTCCTTGCCACAACTCTCCATAAGAGTGATTGCTCTTTAAGCTGTTGCACTATAGGTAGTTTTAAGTCCTGATGTCCCTGGGACTGCTGCTTGTGGGCGCGCAGGTTGCAGGTTGCAGGCTCTCCCTGTGTTTTGGGAGTAGTGAAACAAGATGGGGGAGAGGGATGGGAGAGGTGGGGGACTGCATGGGACCGCCTGCCCTGGTGCCTGCTGCAGTCTCAGCCCGGCAAGTGCAGGGCAGTGGTGCCGTACATTCTAACTTACCACAGAGATGGAAACTCCAGTGGAAAAGCTGGTGATTAGCACAGACAACAGGTGTATCTTTCCTTAATTAAACCTCAGTGTTGCCAGATGCTCTTTGGGTGTGTGAGACATCCCCTTGCTTGTGTCATACCTGGACGGGCAGAGCTGCCTGTGGACCTGCAGGACGTGGAGAGGTGCTGGCCACGGGCAGCAGTTTGGGGCAGAGGGGCTGAGAAGCAGGACAGCATTCCCTTGCCCTGGGGTCTGTGTTGGTGTTTGACCCCTTTTTCTAAAAGTTGCAAGACTTTTCAGAAGATTCATGGTATGGGTTCCGGCTGCCATCTCTCCCAGGGCTATTTTCTGTTTCAGTGGAGTTTGGGTTTATTCATACTGTGGTCCCAAATGGGGATTTTCTGAGTATAAAGATTTTTTCCAGAAGTCCCAGCATTGTCACATTTGCTCTTAATATAATTTGATTTCTAAGAGCTCACCTGCAAGCATTCAAACAATACCAGAAACCAAAAGCAGATCTCCTTTTGACCAAAAAGTTGCGGTGACCTACTGACTGTTAGAAGCTAATTGCCTCATCTGGTGTTTTGACAAAAAGCGAGTTTTAGCAAATAACTTAAAATGCTATTGTTCCCCATACTGCCTGGACAAGCATTGACTTGTGATTCTGCTAAGTGCCTCTTCTGCTACCATGCCTTCTGAAGAAGCAGCTTCTCCATAGATCTGATCAGACAAGCATGTGGCAGCGTGTGTGTCAGGAGGGAGGAGGCAGGATGGGTGCTAGCCAAGAGGAAAGGATTTGGGCATGCAGATGGAGGGAAGCACGACGAATACGCAGTCGGAGAGGAGGGCTGGCTCTCAGAGCGTCTCGGTGCCACAGTTAAAGCGGCTGGTTGGCACTATGTCAGCCTGGCACACGCAGGCAGCATGGCACTGGCGGGTGAAGTCCTTCCCCAGGGTCGCGGCTCACGGGGACCCAGTCCCACATTTGCAGCACCATGGGAGCTGTGCTGGCTGGGGAGCGGTAGGAGGGGTGGAGGTGTAGAGCTCTGCCTCCTGAGCACCCCGGCACTGCATCGCCGCAGTCCTCTTGGTGTCCTTGGCACCTGCTTGGGTTGTGCCGGGGCTGCAGGAGGCTCTTTGTGCTTCCCCAGCAGAACTTGGAAGAGGTTATGTCAAAACTGGGGGTTGGGGAAAGCAGCAACAGTCAAAGATGGCCCCAGGTTTTCATTGGAGTCCATACTCTGCCCATGCTAACAGCTGATTTCCGTCCCCATCCTTAGTTCCAGCTACCCAGAGTGAAACCCCAAAATAGGTCTTTTGGACTACTGAGCTGGCAAGTGGAAAATGTGAAGTTCTGTAATCCACACTGACCCACTTCCAGCATTTAATCATAGTTATTATATGGCGGACCCTGAAACTTTTATTTTTGGCTCTGAGGTTTGTTTTCACCCTTCAGTGGTTGGCAGTGCCCATGCTCTGCCCATGGGGCTGTTGATGGCTCTATCCCATTGTACTCCATGTGACTGGGAGACGCAGGGGCAGTGCCTTTAGTCATGGGATGGGTATAAACAGGAGTCTGCTGGGACACATTCACAGCAAATGCTTTATGTTTTCACCAGAGGCATCCTGGAAGAAGGTTCAGTCCAGCCGTTGCTGGGTATTGAAAGAGGGAATAGGTAGAAAACAAGCAAGATAAAAAAGCAAGAAGAAAAGAGTAGCTTAAGGGAGTTTGGTAGCTTAGGAAAAATTAATTTGTTTAAATTAAGAATCAAAAGGATAAATTAATCTGTAGTGAAGTGACAACAGTGACCTTAATGGAGTGGGATTACATAGCTTAATGAGCATGCAGAGTCCTTTTTTGATGTACAAGCCTCAGTATTAAACCCAAAATTACATGAAAGCTGCAACAGCCGGTCCCAGTTGTCTTCTCTTTCTAGGCTGTGCTGTCACCGTGCCTGTACTTTGTCACACGTTGTCACATGTTGTACCTAGGGGCAGTGTCAGGAGGGGCACCCCAGCATGATCTTCTGTGTGGTCAGAGCAAGGTTTGGCTTAGTCGTTGCTTGCCTCCTTTCTGATCAGTGCTTGGCTTGTCCCATCACTGAAATTTTGGGTTTTGCCATGAACATTCTCCCAAACCCCAATCCGCTGCGCTCACCCATAGCTCATCCTAACCTCATTTGCTGACCCTTTCCCTTGTTCTTTCTGTTTTACGCTGCAGGTTGGAGACTGGCCATGAACATGTCTTGCCCATTGACTATTACTTTCCACCTCAAAAGACTTGCCTGATTTGTGGAGATGAAGCATCTGGGTGCCACTATGGAGCCCTCACTTGTGGTAGCTGCAAAGTCTTCTTCAAGCGGGCGGCTGAAGGTAATGCATACAGAGAGAGGAGGGAACATCACTCTCACCTCCAAGTATTGGCTTTCTCTACCAAAGTAGCCTCAAAGTAGAGTGTCAAATGCTACTGACACAAGTTCTCTCATCAGCAGTCGAGTTGTTAACATGCAAGTGCTGGAGGCATTTGCAGCGTCATGGTGTGTTTTCCTCCTCTTGAAAGAGGTTAAGCAGCCTTGCTTTGGGGAGCCTGCCAAGCCAAGGGAACTGAGGCAGGAGTGGTGGGGACAAAGTGTGGTGGGTTTCTAAGGTCTCTTAAACTAGTAAAGGAGAAAATTCAAGGATAAATTGATTTCTTTGTCCTATGTTTGTCGTTCCACATTACAGATTGCCCTCAAAAAGTAGCCAGACCAGTTTGCCAAAACACAATCCTTTTCAATGCCTAATTATCTTAGTGACCTAGTGAGACCCAGGAGCAGTCAGTTCCTGCTTCTCCTGTTGATTCCCAAGTGTGCTGTAAGTTCCCATCAGCCCTCCTGCGATCTCAGACCCAGAACTCCAAATTTAGGGGATGCTTTTCCTCTCTTATATCCCTTTCAGAGCATCACTTCTCTCAATACCTGCAAAATGGCAGAACTGTCTGTCCATCAAGAGCCATGCTCTGACCTTGGTGTCCATGATCCTTCTCCCCAACCCTTGAGAAAGCAACTTCTCCTTCATGTCCATAGTCTTTGCACCATCTTTCCTTGGTAATTAGCATGTAGAAGGACCTAGCCCAGCTGTTTCCTTGGGCTGTGGGTCACCAATGTCTGGTTTCTAACTACAGTTAGAGTCGTGATTCCCTGGCAGCAGAGTGAGAGTCGCTATTGTGGAAGCCTAACTGTCTAGTAACGTAATGTGCCTGTAAATCACACATCTGACTTGTTTTCTGGAGTGATGAACCAATACAAATCATCATTCTTCCTCAGTGCTAACGTAATTTATTCGGTGCACCGGCACACTGTTGGCAGTCAGTGTTACAGGCCATGGCATCCCTGGGGGAGGGAGGCACTGCGGTTCCCAGCTGGCAACCAGCGATGGGGATGGAGGCTTCTGTCTCTGGCTTGTCTTGCTGTGACCCTCCCCTCCCGCACCTTACATCACCCCTCTGTCGAGTGGAGGTCCCAAACTGATGGGTGCTCACCTGCCCTTGTCAGAGCACTGCTTCTAGATTAATTCTAGCATTATCCTGCACGTTTTCAGAGTTGTGTCTTCCCTCATTCATCATGCATGCCAGGAGTGAATTTGACAGCACTGGTTCAGGGAAGAATCAGGGCTGTGCCATAGAGGACAACAGCATCCCATTGCTCTAATAAGACAGTCAGATAATACTAATAGATAATAAGCTTGGCATATTTTTCCAAAGTGAGTCATTTAAACTTATGTCTCTTTGCTATACACCAATTCTGTGTAAGACCAAATGGATTGGCTTGTGCCGCCAGAGTAAATAACAGATGCTTGTTTAAGTCAGCAAGTTATTGTTGATTTATAGTAAGTGGAGTCTTGGCTCTCTCTGTCAGAGAAACTGATGATGAAATACCCCTTGTCAGCTGGCAAGTCCCCGAGCAGTGCTCCTCCTTTTACACCAGGGTGGGCTTTGTCCGGCATGGCAGCGGGCATGTGGATGAGGGCTGCAAGATGCCTGCTGAGGGAGAGGAGGCAGCCTGGGCTGCTTGCGCTGCTCTCGATCATATGCTTTGGTGGTGTTCCCTCTCCCGATTGTGTTGCATCAGTAATTTAAATGGTATTTATGCCCCCTTCTTAGTTTTTAAGCCTCGAGGTCTTGCAGAGGGTTAGAAATGTTTGGTTGCAGTAGGATTGGGCAGCAGCAGCCCTTTGCCTTTCCTCTAGATGAGACTGTGGAGCGAAGTGCGTCTGCAGTGAGGAGCAGCAGCAGTGTGTGGGGACCTGCCTGAGTGTGAAGTTTCATCTTATATTACCCTGAGGTACATGGATAGAGTCTTTATTTTGGGAAAGAGACAATAAATCAGACTCCTTTATAAATATTGAACGCAGGATAGCTGTAGGTGGTGATTTCTATCCTAACACTTGGTCATTTTCCAGCCAGACCTTTCCTTCTTAAAGTGGAGGAGCAATATTGAAAGCTGATATTTCAGTGTGTTCTCATGTTTTAAAGTCCATCAAATGCATCTCTGAAAACCTTACGTCACCGTTGGAGACTTTTTACAACAGCAGATCAGAAAGCTTTCCCAATGAAAAAAGAAACGTTTTCTTCTGCCTCCGTTACCTTCATGTTACTGTTGTAAGCCAGCAGCCTCTGTTGGGTAGGAGAAGCAATGGACTGGGAACTGAAAAGCAGCACAAGCAGATCACCTCAGAGGGAGTGGAGAATAGCTAGACACGTAGTTTTTCTTTTATCCTATTCTTTGCCTAATATAATAATGAACTTACCTGGCAGTAATTTCAGGGATATTTAAGAAGGTTTTATAGACATACAGTGCCTTCTAAGGGATTAGAAAGGGAAAAGATTTAAAAAAAAAAAAAAAAAATTTATGACATTGATTCCTCTTCCCTTTTGAAACACGCTGAGGTATTCATGTGGTTTCCAGTAGAGCAGATCACTCCTGCTTTGATAAAATGTTTGACAGATTTGAGGTTTTTTGCAAGCTCAAGTCCAACCAGTTCTCCCAGAAAGATGCTGGATGAGTTAACAGAAAAGACATAAATATTTTCCTGATCTCTTTCTGTCAGCTGTCTTGATTTATAGACACTCTCAAGATGTCCAGGTTATATATAGGCCAGCTCTAAATGCACCCTGCAGATTCTTCAGCCATGATGTGGACTTCCTCACTTGCAAGATGGCCAGCCTCATTTTTGCCAACATCTGTAACTTCCATGCTTGCATTTCTCTGGCTAGCTAATGTTTTCACTTGCAGACCATTCTTTCTGGTTCCCCAGAGAGCTTTCCCCTTGCTCTTCCCACAGAGCCAGACTGCCTTCCCAGCTGCCGCAGGCTGCTGAAGTCACTGCCCCAGGAAAGAAGAACTGGAGCCAGTGCTGAAGCCTGCGCTGTGTCACTGGGGCTGGATGCTTTCCTTTTGTTTTCTTTAGTCTGCTGGTAAATACAGGTGACTATTAAGAAAATTACTTTGCAAAGGTAGTTTATTAATAGTGGCTTAGTGTTGGTTCTGAGAGCTTCATAGCTGTGCCCTCTTTGATTATTTCTAATGGGGGCATAAAGTGGGAACTTCAGAGCGGTCCCAGCACCAAACCTGCAGGCTCAGCTCTTGCCATAGCCCAGCTGGTGACAGCAAAGGGGACCAGAGCTTTTACAGAAGAGCACTAGAGACCCTGTGGTTACATGAAACCCTGGGGGATTCGTGTTCTCAGAAAGCTTGGCCTTATCCCCCAACTGTTAGAATTTGGTTTGTGCCCTGAAATGCAAGGATATATCTCTCTTCCAAAAGACATTTAATGGGTTTTCACATTCACAATTGTAAATCTTACTCCAGACATTTGCGTAGATTACTTTGCTTTCTGGAAGAGAAAGCTACTCTAGGCACAACAACTCATGTGGCAACAGGCTTTTAGTTAAATAATTTCTCTCAATTGAGCAACTAATCTTTCTCCATAAATCTTTATTTTTAGTCAAGACCGGAGAACTGCTCTTCCCCTCTGCTCATGATGTTCATTGCAGTCCCAGGTGATGAGCAGGAGGACTTGGTAACGACAGAAGCATCTTTCCACCTGTTGTGAGGTGGCACAGGAGGGAGCCCGAGCCGGCGGGGGGTGTTCCCAGCAAAGGGGGCAGTGGTACAGCAGTGTATTCGTGGTGTGCATTGAAGGGGGGAACTGCAGCAGTCTGCAAGAGCCTCAGTTGCACAGACTGATCTCCTGGGGTTCCTGTGCTGGTTTGACGTAGCAGAGGGGTGCTGAGTACCTTTGTAACTTCACTTCTCGCCTACATACATGTCAAACAGTATCTGGATTGTCAGGGAAGGAGAGGGGTCTTCTCTGGGCGTACATCTGCGGTGTCGTCAAGTGGGTGATTATCTGAGGCTGACACCTTGCCAACATCCCTGTTGTAAAGACAGTCTGGGTGATTGGCTTTGCAAAGAGCAGGACTGCTGGGTAAAAAAGGGAGAATATCTTTAACATTCAGACCTGTACTTACAGGTTTGCAAAGCAAGAGCCTCTACTTTGGAGTAACACAAGAAAGCATCTCTGTTGTTTGCAGGGAAGAAAAGGAGAAAAAAAATCATTCCAGTGTTAAACTCAATAAAAGAAAAAACAGTGCATTTATCTTTAAGTAAAGAACAGCTGATTGCAAATGTCTCAGCTTGTTCTTAAATGAAGACAGTAAATTATCCTGAAATTAAAACGAAGTCTCTGTATATGAGGAGTTACTTAAGACAGATGGAACCTGTCTGTATCCCAGCCACCCTTCCTTGTTCTCTGGGCTTTTACAGCCAGTGGCACCTTCTCCATACGCCTGTGCTGTGCTCAGGTGACACAGCCGTTCATGTCCGTGTCAAGTAGTGCATGCTCCCAGCTTGGAGAGAAGGGATGGTGTACACCGGTGCAGACAGAGCAGAGGAGCTGCTATTGCTGGCATATTCACCAGAGATGCTTGGTCCGGCAGTGTGTCAGTCCATCCCGGGGCGGTGAGCGTCCCGGCCCCCACGGTTCTCCATGGTTGAGGGGACGAGTGCAGGCGTTTAGGACGGTTGGCTTCGCTGGGGTAGTGACACAGTGTGGTCCCTCTCCCAGGTCATGGGTTCTATTCGTAAACTGTGTCCACAGCTGGGGATAGCAGTGATGAGGGCACCGAGTTTCTCCAGTAATTAAAAGGGGAATCTCTACATCCCTGGAATTAGGACAAGATGAGCAAGCACCTTATTCTCATGCTGAGCAAAAGTAGACTCATGAATAGCCATTGCATGACCATTTGTTTCCCTTTTTATTAATGGCTGACAGCTTAAAATAAACAGTGCCAGACTATGCATGTACAGTTAACAGAAAATTGGTTCCTGCCCCAAAGAGTTTATTTTGTGAACCAGGAAGCAGGCCCTTGCTGTTTTAGCAAAATCACTGTACCATGACTGTGGGGTGAGTTTTTGACTGCAACTTAAAAGCTTGCATTAATCAGAGCCCATCAGCAGGGAGGTAAAGTTGTTGTAGAGACCCTTCTAATGTGCGTGTTTTGTCCCCAGTGATCCAGGAGGGCCAGCAGGTGCTGAGGCACCCTGCCTGGTCTCAGCTGGTTGGAGATCACTCCCTCTCTGTGTCGCTTCCCAGCAGTGTGAGAGGTGGTGGATGCTGCTGAAGAGCTGATGGGAACCAGCATGGCTGCCTCATTGAGCAAGGCTTGAACCGCGTTTCCAAATCTCCTCCGTCCCCCTGCTCTCCTCCTGTGGGTGCCCGTGGGTGCCTGGGGGGACAGAGTGGGATGAGGGATGAGCCTGCACATCGGGATGCTGCCCGGAGCTTGGGGGAGATAAGGGGGCTGGGGCTGGTGGATGTTCCTCCCCTTGGCAGGGGAATTTAGATAGAGCTGTGCCTGACCCTGGAGCGTCCTTGGGGGGCTCGGGCAGTGACTGTGCCGTGTTCCCTTGCTAAAGCCATTCACAGGAGAAGCTTGACCTTTTTAAAGATTTTGAGCTATTATTGTTGCAAAGATGCTGTAGTTTAGACTAGGGAGGTAAGATAGGGAAGGAGCAGGAGCCAAAGGGTGAGGGGAGAGCAGGAGGGTTGCGGATGCTCCTGGGGCAGCACTGCTCATGGCAGCCTGATGGCCTCGGCCAGAGACTGAGTTGGCCCCGTGGGCTGGGCTTGAGCCTTCCTGGTAGTCCCAAGGCCAGCCATTTTATTCTCGTGGTAGTTTTGATTGGCTCTGGAGCATCCCAGTGTCAGACATTGTCACAAGACAGGAATCCTGCAGTGCAGCTGGAGGGGAAGGAGAGCAAAATCACCTTACAGCTCTCCATGCCCATGCCTGAGAAGGTAGGGCGTCCATTCTTGTTTGATATATGCACGTAAAGAGGTCGCGTGGAGGGAGTATGGCCTCAGCACTCATTTCCCATAGCACAAAAATAACTCCAAGTAACCCAGTTTCAGCTGAAGTTGTTTATTACTCACCCTTCTCAATGAACTGTTGAAAGGGAGGATGGTGCTTGTGTTCTCCGGGATTTGATGTAATCGCTGCTTCTGAGGCTTCTCTAAGTGTCCTTAACACTGGTAATGAGCAAGGGGAGGGGGGTGAGAAGAGGTGCCAATGAGAACGGTGTAAAAAGGATTTAGCAAGGTACCATGTGCTGCAGGTAATGCACTCTTGCCCCATTATGTCTCCAGTCTTAACGGCTAAGGCACTGGCAGTTGTGTAATGATCAGCTTTTAATGGGGATGATTCTAAGAAGTTCAAACATATGGTATTTTTTGCAAGCCTTTGGTGTAGCCCTGTGCGCACACAGTGTGAGGAGTTGATTATACGCTGAGCCTTATAATGACTTTTCTGCAAGCCTGTGATGAGAAGCTGCAGGTGGGATTTTGCAGCTGGCAACCAGTCATGCCAGCGAAGCTGCAGCCGTGCACTGCTGGAGGCTGGTGCCGGGAAGGAGCAGTGGGACCTTCTGTAGGCTCCTTGCTCCCCAGGGTGCAGGAAACCAAGCTGCTCTCTGGAGCTGGGAAGGGCAATTGGCAAGCAGCAGACGGTGCCAGTGAGGTCTATGATACTGGGTTGCTAAAAATGTGCTGCTTTTTCTGATTGCAGTATCTTCAGAAGTTGTGGATGTGTGCGTGGGAGGTGGGGAGTTGTTAAATCAGTGCACCGAAATTGGTGCATCTCTTGTCAAAACGGTACATTAAGTGGTTAGATTCCAACCGCGTCCTTTTAATGGATCTCTGATGACTCCAAAGGGCTCTTCCTATAAGAATATAGAAAGCAAACACTTGCAGGATGATGAATAAAGGTTAAACTGGATGTAGACTGATTTCCCATGTAGGCTACTTATGCAGAGGCTGTGAGGTGCACGGCTCTATTATTTACTGAGACCGGTTTAGTTTGGAACGGTATGAAGAACATCAGATAAATCCTGATTCAGTAAACGTGTTTAGACTTGACAAGAAAACAAGTGATGAGTCAGGAAGGATAGTTCATTCTTGGCATGTCTAGCAAATGAGGCAGTAAAAAAAAAAAGCTGAAATCTGGAGCTCTAAGGGCTGCTCTCTGAACAAGTGGAAAGGTGAGTCTAAGATACCAGTTAGTCTGACAATAAGTAACTTCTGAATTTTCTGCAAGCCCCCCTAAACCTGATGCTGCACAGGGTCTCCCTTACAGGGAATTGCTGATCCCAGTTTCCTCCTGGCTGGCTGTGAGTGCAGCCCAGGGGACAGGGTGACTGGTGCCAGCCTGGCAATGAGACCCATGGCGGCAGAGCCTGTGGGGCAGTAGCTCCCCATGCTGTCAGTTCCCCAACCCCTGTCTGTAACCTGCAGACAACAATTAGCATTAATGGGTGGCACAAAAAATAAGTCAGCCCCCAAAAGCACTGTAAAGAGAGTTTTGGTTGTAGAGGGAAGGCCACTGTCTGGGGACTATATTCAGCAAACTGTGGGTAAGTGCTGTGGCAGGAGGATCAGGCTGCATTTTGAAGATGGTCTGGGAGAAAAACAGCTCATCAGAGCAAAAAGTCAAGCAATAGATATATGCCATTTAAAGAATGAGAACCAAATAATCCATATTTCATTAGTTTTTAACTGCTGTTTATTGACTACGTCTGCTGTGCTGCACAGTGCAGAGTGATTTTCCTCCTTGGACATCTTGGTCTGAAAACCTCTGCCGTGTGCCTGTAAAGAGGAGCAGTGCTGCCTGGCAGTGGGGAGGGCAGGCAGAGAAGGGGTGCTAAGTATGGCAAAACAGCACTGACCAGTGTCTGTGTTTCGGGTAGCCAGCTCTCGTACAAAGTGTGATATCTGGTGATGAACCACTCCTGTAGCAGCAGAGGAATAACTGTGCTGTTTTCCCAAAAGATACCAACTTCCAACATAAATCTTCTGCTGGGGGTTGAACTGGGAAACCAGCACTGATACGGTCCTCTTCTCTCCCTCCTCTCCCCTCTTCTCTCTGTCCTCTCTCCTCTCCCCTCTTCTCTCTGTCCTCTGTCTTCTCTCCTCTGTCCTCTCCTCTCTTCTCTCCTCTCTCCTCTCATGATGTCAGTGACCCTGGTGATACTGAGAAAGTGTGAGTCCATTTCTCCTTGTAAACCTGGTCTGATCAGTACCCACCACCCATCTGCTGTTTCCTCTGATGTTTGTAGGTAAACAGAAATACCTCTGTGCCAGCCGGAACGACTGCACCATTGACAAGTTCAGAAGGAAAAACTGCCCGTCCTGCCGCCTGCGGAAGTGCTACGAAGCTGGGATGACTCTCGGAGGTACTGTCTGGATAATGTCCCCTGGGTCCTTGCGATGGGCTGGGACAGCCGGCCTAGTCCTGCAGATAACAAATGTACTTGGTGTATTTCTAGTCAGTAAATGGCTGAAAAAATGAGGCTGATGGAGCGTAATGAGCTTCAGAAAACACTTGCAGGTTTCTAATACCGAAACTGTGAATCTCATTAAACTTTTGTTTGAGTTTCATGAAATATTCCTTTCCTTAATTTAAAATCTTGTTAATCTGAAAGAATGTAAACAGCCAGGTTAGCTGGATTCTCACTCACACCAAAGCCTCTTTGAACAGAGCACTCCCATTTTAATATGATATTTCCCAGGCAGAAAGGGGCATTTTTCTTTACAAATTACAGCCCCAGTATTTTTCTTTGCTGAATGAAAGTTGCTCCTGTATCACTGGTAAATATACTCGTTACAGTTTGTCTCTGTTCCAAAACCTGTAGCTCTGCCAAAACATGACAGAGTGCCCGTATCCAAAGTCTGAGGTTTTGTGCTCAAAATCTAGAGCTACAATGTACATCACTGGGTGGCTCATCTTTGAATTCATTTGACATGAAGAGTGAGGAAGAAAATACCCTGAAAAACGGGGCTGATGGACCTGACCCACGATGAAAAGGCCCCTGACAGCGAAGCGGAGGGGAGTCACGGGTGATATGGAAAGGAAGGGCACTGGCAGCATCAGGCACAGTGCAGAGGGAAGTGGGGAAGCTCTGGCTAGTTAGATGTGCCAACATTTGAGTTTAAATACTTTCATCATTGCTGGGACAGGCAGAGCCTCCCGGAGCTGCTGGGCTGCTGGAATGTTGTGTGGAAGAACTCGCTACCAAAATGGTTCTGCTTTATTGCTCATCAAGGAGCAGTGTTTTTAATTTTATTTGTCCCCAGAACAGTCGTTACAGCTCAGGTACCAACAAGCATGTCCAGTCGGCAGGGCAGCAGTCAGCCTCTCCCCTCTGCTTTTGCAGCAGCAGGTAGTAAATCTGAGTGGTGGGGACACAGCTCTTGGCAGGGGGATGGAGAGACGTGCAGCTCGCTCCTTTCCTCCCGGTAGCAAGGAGAAAAAACAAACGTCCCAAAAGGTAATGCAGTCCTAAAACCTCACAACATCAGTCCCATGAGCTGGCTCTGACCACTCTTCACTTAGGCTCCCCCTCCGTTGCAGGCGAGCTGTCGGCAAATGGCAGGCTGCTGCTGCTGCAGCGCTTTGGGAGTGATGCGTATGGGCATGTGCAAAGGCACACCATGATTTCGGAGCACCAGGGAGGTGCCCAGTCTACCTGATGTGACCAAGCAGGCAGTTTGCTTGCGGAAGTTAACAGACAGCTATCTCCATCTCAGTTCCCCAGTATCTGCTTCACCAGTTCTGCCCCCAGCCCCAGTCATCCAGCCCCGCTGGGAGGGAGTGAGGGCAGAGGAGCCTGGCCCGGCGCTGTGTGTGCCCGCACGCCTTCTTGTCCTGAGGACAGTAATTTTCATGGCCGCTGGTGGCTGTTCGTAGCCGTGGCTTCCCGGGGAAGCAGGGAGACTCCTCTGGGACCCTTCCCTTGTCCACCTGGGGGGGTCGGGACCTGGCCGCCGCCGTCATCCTGCCCATGGATTGCTGGGCTCCCAAGCTGGGGGACAGGGATGAGGAGCCAAACCCAGCTCCCTGATCCACAGCCAGCAGAAGGGCTTCATAATGCCATCCAAAACAAGCATGCTCTTATTTTTAAGGGCTTTTTTCTGGTGAAGTTTCCTTAAGCAAGAGAAGACATACATCAGTGTAACCTTCTTCTGCAGGACACACTGACAAAATTAATGCTAATACTGATAGTTGTGTCCCCCCCGCCTTTTTTTTTCTTAAGCTCTTTGGGTCACCCTGACCTGTTCTGCCTGGTCTGTTTTACATTTGTTTTGAGTGTCGGTTTAAAGGCAATTGTTAAAAACATGTACACTATGAGTTTGTCCACAGTTATTTCTCCCACAGTAGAGAGGCAGAGCATTTGGAAATGCTTCCAAGCTCCAAACAGTTGTTTTTAACTGCTTGTTAATTACCAGTCATTTGTAGGGTATAATAGAGCCGCCTGTGACCAGCAGACCTCCAGCTCTCAGTATGTTTAATGGGAGGAGGAGGTGACACACTGAATACCTTATTTAGGAGTCTGCTTTGGCACAGAATGGCAATATGTTGTAGCACTTCATTATCGATTGAGATCACTCTGACCTGCAAGCTGAAATCCATTAAACAGAATCTTCTCTCCTGATCAACACTGTAAAGCCAAAGAGAGGGAAAAGAAAGAAGAAAAAAAAAAAAGAAAAAAAAAAGTGATAATGCCGGTTTCATGTGCTCAGTTCTGCTGGTGCACTGTCCTCCTTCTCCCACAGCACCAATTCCTACTGCAAGTGCAGGTGCCTGCACGGCTGCAGGGATCCTGCCAGCCCCCGTGCACGGGAAGCGTGCCGCTGCACACACGGCTGCAGGAATCCTGCCAGCCCCCATGCACACATGGGCATCCTGACCCCTCTGTCCTGCTCCAGTCGGGACCCTGCACATCACTCAGCCAGCACAACTCCTGCTGAACTGCAGAGCTCTGGATTTAAGGCACCTCCTGTTTGTTTGCTGCCAGTGTGTTTTAGTCGTGGCATGTGAGGTCCCATAGGCTGTTCCCGTTGTGAGAACCAAGCACCTCTGCCCTCGGCCAGAGCTGGCAGCCCGCCTGTGCTATGGGACATCTGCTGTGCACCTTCAGCCAAGTGGCTGCACTCTGTGTGCATCCTGTTTTGCGGCAAAACTTCCCAAACATGTAAAATTCAGTTCATTTCATTGATGGCAGGGCTAGAAGACTAGTGTAGTAACTGCCAGTAGCCTGTGAAAGCCCAAGGCTTGAGGCATACCTGTATTTAGTCCTAATTCAGGTCCAGTTTCTGTGGTTAAAATAGAGTTCATGTCTTATAAAAGCGTTTGATATCGATGTAAGCATTTCCAGCAGTGGAGAATCTTAACACATTTTTTGCCATGCAGTTGCAGTAGTTAGTTATGTTCAGTGTTGTGATAGATGTACCTTATTTTTCATCTTGTTTGTTCATGATTTCCAGCAACTGGATCTTTGTTACGGCTTTTCTTGCTAGATTGAAAAAAAACTTTTATTGAATTTCTGTCCCTGCTGTGGGTATTTGTTGACTGTGACTTAATAACCCTCTAGCCTTCTGCATAGCCACCTAGGTAAAATTCTTTACTTCCTTACTCCAAGGTGTGTTTCTAGTCTTTACTATTCTTATGGTTTCTGCAGTCTGCGGACACCTCCCTTGTATGGTGAATGTCTAATAACAGTTTCCTAGGGTCAGCAGCATCAGTGCTTAAAGGCGGTGGTAAGATGCTCTCCCAGCCAGTGTTTTCCTCCTTCACATGCCACAGGATCCTGTTAGTCCTGTGTCCACTGAACTATCCTGCCAGCTCAGGCCTCTGTGTTTGTCCATCAGCTTTTGGTGCGAGTTCAGGCTGGTGAGGATGGAGTTTGACATTCATTGAACATGGCTCACTTTTTCAGTTGCTCTATATATCTACTTACAGTGAAACGTACTCAGTCCTTAATGTTCGTTAGGGTTTTCCCATTTATGCATTGTCATACAGACTTTTTTAGTAGAAAGTTGATTTTCTTTTTGGAATGAATGTAGACATTCACTAGCAAAGGGCCATGAACAACCCTCATAAGAAATAAACCTGTCTGACATTGTTTCAACATTTATAATTACTTTTGAGATGAATGATTTAAAATAATTCAGCAGTACCATCTAATTTTATGTTGTTTGAGTTTTTTTAACTTTTGTGGGCCAGACTGACTCAGATCTCTTAAACGTGTCTGCTAGACCAGTACTATTATGATTACCAACTAAAATTATCATGCCAGAAAAGATTGATAGCTTGACAAGATCTGGTTTTGACAAGCCACATGTTGATGTTAATAAAAAATTGAAAGAACAGGATGTAAGTCAAGTCCTGTTTCAGCTTCTCCGTCATTTCACCTGCAGCTGAAATCAGCGTGCAGTGCCTGGGGCTGGCAGGATTTCTGTCATTGCTAGTGCAAAAGCAGTTTTCTTCCAGGTCCCCAGAACTTCCCCGGGTCCAGCACTCATGGAAAATCAGTGCTGGAGCCCAGAGCGCTCCTTCACCAGCTTCAGGAACGCCTGGCAGGAGGGTGGGCAGGTTAAGTTGCTTAATGTGTGTCACTCCTATAATTGCTGTACAGTGTGCTCCCTAGGGATTCTTGCGCTGGCAAATATTTGATCGTGATGCCATATAATTATGTCCTTTAAGCTGTGTTTCAAATACGTACGGTATTTTCTCAATTAACCCCAAGCCAAATTGCAGGCACACTGCGGGTGTGACTCAGGCGGTGCTGTGCCAGCAGCTGCATTTCGAGGCTTCCCCAGTGCTATTGTCCCTGCTGACAGCCAAGCCGGTAAACCACCTGTTTTTAGTCACACATGCTGGGGTTCATCCCACCTTGGTTTGGAGAAGTTCAGTGCAGACTTCTGCCTAGCTTAGCTCATCCTAGAATAAAATCATAGCAGATGTCTTTAATTTCTATTCTTTTATTTCTGTTTTTGTTCCCAGTAGCTGCTGAGTAGGAGCTGCCACAAAAAAGGGTTTTTGCACAGGTGACTGAATATAAGCTACTCTACCTCTGAAGCTTTTCTTCATCTAGTAACATCAGTATTTTAGTGATCTGTGGAACAACTGCTCCGGGAAAGCACAAACATAAGGCTTCTCTGATAAGAGCAGTTATCCAGCTTCACTGCTCTCTGACACAGAGGGCTTTGGTTTATGGCTGCAGTCTCACAGCCAGCAAGGTTGGTTGCTTGCTCTCTTCTTACTTCGCTCAATATCTTTCAGTACTACATACATTTTTTTTCTTAAAAATGAATTAACATTTAAACCAAACCGTGTGTGTGTTTTACACAGTGTGGGTTTGGTTCCAGTTACACACAGGACCTTATGGGCACTGATTATTTATCTTTGGAAGATACGGTTTGGTTTTTATTTCTTCTTTTAAGCCAGGGAGCTTTTTTTTCCTAGCAGCACCCTGTCTCGAAAGGTCCAGTGCTAAGCACAACCATGAGACATGGTTTCTGCCTCAGGTGGAGTCAGCCCCAGTGCCTCCTTCCCAAATTAACAACATTGTTTGGAAATGCGGGAGCAGCGTTCTGCACGCCTCTCCTTCTGTGCTGCTTGTTGAGAGCAAAACCCCGGTGCAGCTCCCAGGGAGAGCAGTGCCATACCTGTCCCGGGGGATCGGCTTGCCAGGGGTTCAAGATGAGAGTGTCGGGGTCTGCCGGATTGTGGTGCTGCCTGTGCTGCCTGCGACTTCTGGAGGGCTGGGAGAGGGGAGGCTCAATGCTCTGGCTGGTGTGTCACCCGAGCAGACAATGGCCGAAGGATGTCACACTGCACTGCAGCCCTGTTTTCCTGTTGCTTTCTTTTATTTTTATCACTCCTTTCTCCTCCTTTTTTACAGAACAGCCTGTCTTAATTGCTCATACAGTAGATCATCCAAAGTACATTACTTAAAAGATCAAAGTTTTTAATTGATTTACAAAGCTGCACTTTAACTTGACATTTTTATGTTTCGCTGCTTATTTTTCTAATTACAGCTGAAAGGAGATTTGAGATAAGTATCATGTAATGAAGGAGCTAAAACCCCAAGGACAATTGGTTTGATGTTATGTTTGCCACTTGAATTAAACAATCAGCTTTTTTTCTGTAATTAATAAGGGGGTTTTGGAGCTGGTAAGGGGTGAAAGCTGTTCCTATCTGCAGTAGCCTGCCAACCTGTGTTGTGCTGAGCACCCTTATATAGGTACCACATTGGCTGAACACTGACTCTCCGAGAGTTCTGAAGTCACGCATCTGAAGCTCCTGATGTATCTTGCTAGCAGACTAGCATCCGTAATTAAGATCCAGCTGCACAGGAGGGACACTTGGTCACGGTGACTTGGGCACAGTCGTGGGCTGCCTGCAGTCCCAGCCCCACAAGCCCACTCTGCTGATGTTGCTCTTGAAGCTGGCTGGCAGATCAAGGCCACCCCTTCTCGAGTCTTCTCGTTGGTGGGCTTGCTGGGGAGGCTCCAGGGAGACAGCTGTGGAACCACCTACTAGCTTTTAAAATGTATTTTCCATAATGTATTTGTAGACTAGTGACCCATCTGGGAGAGCTTGGTTAGAGGGCATCAGGGGTTGCAGGAGCCCCGGGCAGGGAGAAGGTATTTCTCTTGGTTGCAGCCCGGTTCCACTGTGGGCTGGGATGGAACAATCCCCCTTGAGTATCCGAGTGCAAAGGCTTTTTTCCCTGGAACGTGACTGTCTGCTGAGTTTATTTGCTTGTGTTTCTTCCCTTTTTAATTGCATGTGAGTAGTTGTTTGAATCGAGTCACCTCTTCCCTCGTTTCCCCAGTTCTTCTCCATTTCTCAGTGGGAGTTAATGTGAGACCGGTCACAGGTGGGGATGTAAATGATGCTTGTTCTTTTCCATGTAAGATTAACGAGCAAATGGATTTCCTTGCACAGTGTGTGCTCCCCTTTGTCTTTACGTGAGGTCTGTGATGCCAAGGCACTCTTTGGGCAGTGTGCCCTGAAGGACTAGCTGCTGCTGGCCATCAGTTTCCCTTTCCTTGTAAATATAAGTGATGGAGCTAGAGGCCAAGAAACCTCAAGCTTTTTTTTATTTTCAAGCATTACACTAAAATGTGTCATTTCCACAGCCCGCAAGCTGAAGAAGCTGGGTAACCTGAAGACACAAGATGACTTGGAGGCAGCCAGCTCATCCAGCCCCACCGAGGAGCAAGCTCCCAAGATGGTGATGACGCGCATTGATGGGTATGAGTGCCAGCCCATCTTCCTCAACGTCCTGGAGGCCATCGAGCCTGGTGTGGTGTGTGCCGGCCACGACAACAGCCAGCCGGACTCCTTCTCCAATCTGCTGACCAGCCTGAATGAGCTTGGGGAGAGGCAGCTGGTCTACGTGGTCAAATGGGCAAAGGCCTTGCCAGGTGAGCTAAAAACCTAACAAATCCTGTACCTTCCCTGGCACGTCCCTAAAGCCCCCTGCTTGCATTGCCTGGGGTGGGTTCAAAGGAGGTGGTCTGCAGCTTGTGTCTCGCCATCACACGGTTCCTTGGGGGAGCATCTTCCTGGGGCACCTGTCTGTGTAATATCTCCGTAAAGCAGGCTGCAGCAGCATGGGGTTTGTCTCCTTTGGGTGACTAGGGAGTGACAAAGTATGTTGAAACTTGTGCTTTTGGGTCTGTCCCTGCTGATAGCCCCTGGCACACAGTATTGTGTCGCCATGCATGCGTCTGCTTCCCTGTGTGGGAAGGGCTGTTGCGGGTCAGGGCTTCAGGGTCTTGCTCTCTTCCCGCTCTCCCTGCAGGGTTTTTGCTCCACTTGCAGACCTGTGTCCACCAGACCTGCAGACGCCTTCTCTAAACAGGTATTAGCCCCGTCCCATAACCCGCATGAAGTGGTGAAAAGGGTAAATTCCCCAGGTGGATCAGAAGTGTGCCACTTCATGATGTGAAAGTGAGATGGGGGAAGCTGGGCTGAAAGGAGCTGAGGCTTGAGAGATGGGTGAGGTCCTTCCTCACTATTTTTGTATTTCACAATCCAATTAATTGTAAAATAGCAAAAGAGAGATACAAAATCACAAAGGGCTTTTTCCTGGTAGTCAGGTTGCTCTTGTGTGACAGGCTGCTGGAATATATTTATGATGCATTCAGAGTTGTGGTACAGGAGTACATTAGGGTGCAGAAGTTTCCAAATAGTAATAGTTATCAGGTGCTGTAAATGAACGCATCCTAGTGATATATGTGTTCCATTGAATACACTCCTTGGTTCTGAGCATAGAGGTTACCAGGCTGTAATGTGCTGCCTGTTGCATGTCCTAATCCTGCCAGCTGAATGCCAGCTGAAATTACAGAAGGCTGAGATCACTCTGGATGCAGAAGGATCCAATTCACCGTCTAGCATCCCTGAGACTGGGGTGCGGGGACGATACCAAGCTGCTATCCTCACCCTGGGCCTGTTCCTCGGGAAATGCCACAGAAAGCAGGGATCCGACTCTTTATGGACGGGGTGATATGACCAAAGGAGGAAACTGAGGCAAAGTAAGTTTGCCACTATGTGCCAAAAACTGGTGATGAACTGTAGTTAGATGTTTGATGTTCCCAGAAATTTAGCAATCCTCCTGGAAGTAGCCTAACTGGTAGGTCCAGGAGGGCTGTTAGTATGAATATGCTTAAATGCAGTGTAGCCCATTCTATTTCTTATATTCTGGAGTCAGAAAAGGTTCACCTAGCTTGTGAAACCAGGGACAAATAATGCTTTCTCTTCTGGCTTATCTACATCAGACATCAAGATTTCTTCAGAAAAGTACACAGAGACACCATGAAACCAGACCGGCAATCCGGGGGCTGAGGCTGTAAAGCTGCACTAGTGCTAATGGAAAGGGAGAGTGCTTTGAAAAACATTTTTCATTGTAACCACCCCCTTATCAAAGGCTTTTACTCTCCCATACTGCGCCTGATCTCTGACCCCATGGTGCGTGGCTGCATGGCGGTGCCAGCTGCTGCACCGCTGCCTCCTGGGGCTGGTGCCTGCTGTGCCAGCAATGGCATCTGGGCAGAATTAATTCTCATATTTTTACAGCTGAGCAGTCAGCGCTCTCTGGGTAGTTGCAGTAGAACCTCCACCCCCTCCGCAGGCCAGGGGATCCCTTATGGAGCCCAGCTCTTCTTCCTAGGTGGCTGTGGTGGGATGCTGCCTGGCTGCCTTCCCCATCCCGCTGGCTGCGGAGCTGGTGCTGGCCTGACCATTAGCATCACTGTGCCTGGAGCAAGAGGCAAAGCCAGTGTGTTTTCTCCGTCTTTCTCCAGCAGTTCCCTGACATGTGCCAACGCTGGAGTTCAACAGTAATAACCGCAAATTCACCACTTAGTCATTCTCCTGATATTTTCCAGGGAAGGAAGAAACAATCACAGCACTGTTGCTGTTCTGGTGCTCCAGGTGGTGTTATGCAGCTCCTTCACTCGAGCAGCAGTCCAGCTGCCGCTGCAAGGTGGATCTCACCCACTGCTGGGTTCTGCCTGCTCCGGTGCTGGTGCTTCATGGGAGCTGGGCGAGGGCCAGGCGCAGCTGGCAGCGCCGGCTCCAGGGGTGGGCAGCTGTGCCCAGGCACTGCCCTTCCCTGCGCGCACTGTGGCTGCCTCGCTTTTTGGGTAAATTTGCAGAATCCTACCCCATAGCCACAGGTGTTTTTAGTTCCCAGGTCTGCAGGTTCGCTAGGCAGCCTGGCGCCTGGCGGGCTCAGGAGAGGGGCAGTGTGGGCGAATGCATGCAGGGGCAGAAGTAGTGGAAACAAACTCCAAGCAATTTAAAACAGCAGGATGCAGTTGTTTTTGTCAAAACAGAAAGATCTTCAGACGGTCTGTTGGGAGAGTGGAGGCTGTTTAATGAATGCCGTTGCTGGCGAGGTGCAACGGGAGCAGACTGGAGGGCTTGACCGGCCGCTGCATTGTGGCAGCGCAGCCTGCCTCTGCGGTGAGTAGGAACAGTGCCCGAGGCTGACGGCCAAAGCAGCACGTCTCGGCAGGTGTTTCTGGTGCGGAGCAGGCAAACCTTGCTCTGTTGCCTGCCCCACAACGCAGCCCAACAGCAGGCGTCATCTGCCTGCTGGAAGTGCTGTGTAGTCCTCAGCAGGTCCACAGGCAGGGTGGAAATGTTATCCCCTCTTCCCCTTTCCCCATTAACGAAGCACATCTGGCACAAGCTTTGGCTTAACTAAGTGTAAGCAGCCCTGCCTGTTAGTTAAGATACATATCTTATATATCTTAATGTAAAAGGGCAGTGACTGCTGCTGGTGGGAGGAGGGGGAACTTGCACCTGTAATAGAGGTAGCCTCAGCCTGATAATACTGGCAATAGATTAATGTTGGTTAATAGGTGATGATTAACCTTGCATCCTGCATTCAACATCACCCGTATAGCAAGAGTGATTAATGTGCAGCAAGGTGTTGCTGCACTTCTTCCAGCGAGGTTTCAGTGATATCCTAGAAACAAGGCTGCATCGAGTAGGAGCATTTCTGAATCCTGCTTGCCTGCAGTAGCAGTATCAGCGTGTCTAGCGGAGAAGGTGTGATATGTGGCCCTTTAGACCCTATGCAATTGACATCCTGCAGAGGAGAAGATAGGATCAAACTGATTTCCCTGGAAAGGAAAGATTAAATAACCACGGCTTGCCAGGAAAGCTGCTGAAACACAAAATTAAAAGATCTGATTAAATCCATAAAATCTGTCTACTTCAAGGTAAGTGGAAGGAGTATGTATTTTTCCTATTCCATATACATAAATTCAATAAAGGTGTTACAGTTAATTTGGATCAGCACTCAAACACATTAGTTTAAAGATCATTTTATCTGGCAGCAAATGAAAAGTCTTCAGTTCATTCCCAAAGCTGTTAGGAAACCGGCCTAATAAAAATAACCGGACTGCAAGCGTATGGGGAAAGGCTGCCTCACAGCAGAGCAGTAGAAGGACACGGGCAGGCTGCGTCTCTGCTGCCAGTAAGGCAGATGAACACCCTTCGCCTTTTTAGCAACTTGGCACACATGATCAGGTGAAGTACTCCACCTGGTATCATGGGAGATGGACCTATTTATTAGAGCTATTGCAAAGTCTCTGTGTACTTCCCATTAGTTAGGGCTTTATGGGTGTTGCGGCCCATGGCTTGCTTGCTTGCTTTTCTGTTTCAAATATACTGCTTACAATGTATCTAACTCACCCTTTAACTGTAAGGATACAATTAATTGTGCATCTTTTTTTCCATTCTCTGGACAATAAAATTTCCAGATACAAAATGAATATTTGTTTATATTAGAGGTGTTACTTTCTGGTAACATGTGAGGTGTTCAGTTGCTGATCTCTTAGGAAGATATCATTCTGGCACAGGAGTGCATCAAGAGAGAAGATGAAGAATTTATTTCCAAACTATGCTGCTGTAAGATTATTCACAAGAAAAAGGTTACGCATTGATCTTTTTCAAGTCATCAGTACATTTAATTTTACTTTTGCTATGATTTTTTTCTGTAGAAGGTATCTTCATTTATGTGTCTTCAAACTATGCCAATACTAAAAATTTAACAATATGTTGTGGCATTAGGTTTGTATTTATTTTCTTCTACAGTGATTTTAGCCATATATCATCTAAGATGCCTGGAGCAGGGAGGTTTACAGAAAATGATAGGTATGTGGTTTCTGAAAATCAGTTTTGTTTCAAGGCATTTCAGCTCAGAAACTGGAAGCAGTGATTCCTTTTAGAAAAGTTGACCACTGTTTCTAGAACTTGTTTTTGTGGACAAGCAGAAAGCAAACTTTAAGTCCTGTAACAACAAAACTGTTGTGTTCAAATACCTTTCCTTAACACTGATAAATCTTGCGCAAATATTTTTTTTTTTAGTGAACATAATTGCAAGGTAATGAGCAAGTGCACCAAAATCTTTCTTCATAGCAAAGATTAGGTGCAACAAATACTTTCACAAATGTGTTGGAAAGGTGATACTCAGTAGTTAAGAGGAAGCCAGTCCTAGATGAGAACTGCCGCCTGTGGAGGCAGCTTTGGTGCTGGTTTGCAGGGGCAGAGGCAGCGCTTGCAGCATCACGATGGGGCGAGCAGAAGGAGGAGGTTCTACCATAGATGTTGGTGCTTCCAATGGCTTCATCCCATTGATGCTGAACCCAGCAAGAGGGGGATGGATTGCTTGTGAGAATTAGGGTTAAATTTCACAGAGTTTGCTGTTCACAGGTATGTTTTCTGTCTCCAAGTCACGTACAGAGTATAGGTTTCCTCTTTGTTGGTAGGATTTATGGGCCTCGCTCCCAGAATATAGGCACGAGGGAAGCCAAACGGCGGAGATCTCCGGTTTGCCTTCTTCCTCCCCCACCTCATCTTCTCCATCATGCCTTGGCTTGCAGTTCATTTCTGGCCCTACAGCACATCTTGGGCCCAACTTCTTGTTGGGAATTTCTTGCATCTCTTCTGAAGACAGAGCATCTGCCATCATAAATACATTTGTATTCACAGGATTTTATTGTCTGTGTGGTTAAGAGCATCTTTCCTGAGGAGCTCCTTTCCCTGAACACGCTGGCCTGTGTGTCCTTGCTGTCCTGGCGGGAGAGCTGTGCTGAGCCTTCTCCAGAGCATCCTTCAAACTACGGAAGAAGTTTTGGCCATCAGTCTTCAATCCGATCTGCTCTTTCATGTTTGCTCTGTTTTTTAATAGAGCGTTGTCTGCTAATTCCCTCAGAGGACAAGATATGGTTTTCCTTCAAAGAGCAATTTAAAAAGGGGAAAGAACCAGCCAGTTTGCGGGGGGATGAGTGTGTAGCAGACTGATGAAATGTTCATTGTCATCACTCAGTGCCGGTGTGGGAGCATTCCCTGCACCATCTCACTGCCTACTCACTGCAAAGTCTCAACTACAAGGGCCAGCAGCACAGCTCCTCTTCAAGTAACTCAAATTTTTCCAATCTTTTCAGAAAGTCTAGGCAAGGAAAGAGACCTGTGGCAAGTATGGAGCAGGAGGAAATTCAAGGAAGCAGTCACCATGAGTGGCTTAGATTTTACTAAGCAGTGAATTCATCTCTGACCAAATTTACTGGATAAATAGAAAGTATTTTTATAGCATGTGGTACTGTAATTAAATAGGAAAATCTGACTTAGACATGTCCTAGAGATAAATATGGCTGATTTTCTGAAGTCCTTGAGTTGCCCAGATGCCTTGTTTATACTCGTGTACTGTTAACGAGTTTCACTCTGGCTGCCAGAAGGTTTGTGTTCAGCTGGTAGCCGAGAAATCACCTATCCAGGTTCAGTAGGACGCTACTTGTGTGCAGGCTTTGGTTTTTTAATCTGGTGACATGCAAACTGAAAGGAAAATGTACAAACGTAAAGCAAGTTTAATCAGCAATAAAGTATGACTTATGCTTATTTGCAGTTGACAGCTTCCCAAGCAGGAGACAGATGCTCGCCTCAATGGATTATAATTATACACTGGAGGTGTTAGAATTGCTTTAATATTTGATTGAAATAACATAGGACTTTCTTGAAACCAGATTACATTTGACTACTTACAAGTATCTGGAAAAAAGTACAGTGTTGGAGGTGATGTTTGTGCGTGTGTTGTAAACATGCCTGGGATTTAACTGTGAACCACCATCTGGGAATACTAATTTGAATTTAATTGATATTTTTGTTTAGCTTGCAATTCAGCAGAGGTTTTCATATTCATTTTCATACTCATTAGATAAATGCTTTGTGTATTCAGTCTGTTAATCGTGTGATGAGGCCTCGGGGTTATTTGCTGGCTCTGAGCATTACACATTAAAATCCATTTACTTAAATTTGGCGAAGTCCTAACGGGTTGAAAGTAAAGGAAGTTTTTCGTCTTATTTCCTTGAGTGCCAGAATTGTACCAAAGGAGGTAATTGGTTAATGAGGGCTTGTTTCTGCCTCAGTGCCTGGAGAATGTGGTCTGGTTAATTGTATTGCCGCTGGGACTCCCGCTCCCCTTCGGCTGATTTATTTCTGTTAGCAGCACAAAGCAAACAAATCCTCATCAGCTGTTTATTTCGCTTACTTTTGACATACTGTCACACATGGTAATTGTGAATGCTTTGGAGCGGAGACCTTGGGGGTTATGTCGTGACTGCAGAGCATATGGCACAGTAAGACTCAGCGGGTCTGGGTGTCTAATCAGTGCCAGAAACGAGGGCCGTGGCAGGGCGAGCCTGGTGCTGGGGCAGCTGGACCGGTTCAGCACCCCATAGTTGGAGGTATTACCCTGCGGGACTTCAGGAGGTCACTGAATCCCATCCTGCTGTATCTTTTTTGCCCAGTCTGTTGCAGAGTGATGCTTGCCCACCTCACTGGGTCTTGCAAAGCCTTCAAATGCAATTTGTGAAGATCTTTGAGACTCTTAAGGGGAAGATGTCATTTATTGCCACTTGTCATTGCCTTCCTTTAAAACACTTTGCTGCTTGTGTTTTTCACCTGGTCTTTATTCCCTCCGTGTGTCTGGGGATCCCCTTTCTCCCCTTCCAGTTGCAGTTTTGTGCTGTGGCTGTTTCTGATGATCCATCAGAGTGTGAGCACCCGGCTGCTGACACCGCAGTTGTGTCACCTGGCTCTGTGTGTGTGTGTGTGTCCCAGGACAAGCTGAGGTTAGGCTGTGGACCACCTTGTCATAACAGGAATGCCGCAGGAGAACTGGAGTCTGCATGAAACCAGTCCTGGTAACTGCAGGAACCCAGTATTAATCTGTAATATCCCTCTCATTTTTTAATAGGATTTCGCAATCTGCATGTGGATGACCAGATGTCAATAATCCAGTACTCTTGGATGGGCCTTATGGTTTTTGCTATGGGTTGGAGATCTTTCACCAACGTCAACTCCAGAATGCTTTACTTCGCTCCAGATTTGGTCTTCAATGAGTAAGTGCAAAATAACAACAATCTAATAATGTGTTTTGTCTGGGTCAGACTAGGTGAGAAATGAGAACAAGACAAGGAATTTGCTTTCCCATCTGCTTATGAAATGTGCAGCTTGAGGAATCGTGCTTTCAGAGCTGACCAACAAAGCAGAGGAGGACCCTGCTTTTCCCCTCTAAGTGCTCTGCAGTGATCTCCAGGAGCAATAAGGAGAATTGCAATGTCTCTTCTGGTCCTTCTTCCCTTTCCCTCAACCTTGCCTTGGGTTCAACTTCCATCAGAGCAGCAGCAAGCGCTGGTACTGGGTGTGAGGGGCTGGTCCATACAGACCTGCCTTTTTTCTGAAGATTTGAGTTCCTGTTTTCAGCTTGCTTGGTCAGCTGGAGCAAACAGGAACTGAAACAAACATATATTGTAAGTTCCTGATGGGTTCTCTCTGATGTACCATCAACTTAGAGCTGGGGAGGGTTTGCTGGCACTAAGGTAGAATTGCTTAAAAACAATAACTAAGCACAGCAGCAAGCAAAACCACACCCTCTCTCTGAGAACTCCGAGCTTAGCTTCGTATCCCTTGCAGGTAGTCACATTTGGTGAGTCATTGCAGTCATTTTCCAGGAAGGCAGAGGGTCAAACGAACTCTGCAAATCCCAGGTAGTCCTCTATTTCCAGACGAAGAGGATTACACACGGGCATTTTGGAAAACGTTCCTCTCCTGCATGCAGGCCTGTTGGTGCCAGCATCCCCTGAGACAGGGCTCAGATTCTTGGCAGCAGGGATGTGCCAGATGAGGCTGGGATTGCTAGGTCAGACAGAGTGTGACCTGCCCCGCACATCACACAGGCAAAGCTTTGATCTCCTTGTCACGCGTTACACATTCTGCCCTGCCAGGTACCGGATGCACAAATCCAGAATGTACAGCCAATGTGTCAGGATGCGGCACCTCTCTCAGGAGTTTGGGTGGCTTCAGATCACACCCCAGGAGTTTCTCTGTATGAAGGCTCTACTCTTCTTCAGTATAAGTAAGTACTCACATCCTTTCCTCAACAGATCTCCGGCTGCTATATGCTGTATCGCCCTAGAGGTATCCGGTGCTTTCCCTGTGCATGTGCATGTACTCATACTTCCCAAGGGATGCCTTTGGATGTTCTCCTCTCTGTTTCAATCTGAGCTGCTCAGAGACAACGAGCTGCCAAGGATAAGGGTGCCACCACCCAGCCCCCCTGCAGCTAGCCCACCCCACCTCCACACGTTGCAGTGTTTCTCCCATGCAGCTCCTGCAGGAGGTTGCTCCTCAGCCTAACTGCTGTTATCATGGGGACCTCTGAGCATCAGCTGCTGAGCAGGAAAATAGCACTGCAATTTGTTATATTGCATCTCTTTTTTAACGAGTGCTGAACAAGGGTCCTTGGATTAGCAGTAGTCCAACAAGCTGACCAGTGTGAGGGCTGTAGCAAAAGCAGAGCTGGTGGGCAGATCTTTTGTCTTAGATCTGCACTGACCACTTCTTCAGCCTTCCTCTTGCTCTTTTATTCTCTCCACTCTCTGGGCAACTCTTACTGTTTCCTTCCCATGTTCCATCAGTTCCAGTGGATGGCCTGAAGAACCAGAAGCTCTTTGATGAACTTCGAATGAATTACATTAAGGAACTTGACCGCATCATCGCTTGCAAGAGGAAGAACCCTACCTCCTGCTCTCGGCGATTTTACCAGCTCACCAAGGTCCTGGACTCCGTGCATCCTGTAAGAGAGGACAGTGAAATGTCTATCTATACACATAAGAAAGAAACTTTTTGCAGTGAGAACGATCATTCACTGGAGCAACCTCCCCACGGTCGAGGTAGTCCCCCTCACTGGAGGTTTTCAAGATGCGGTTGGACAGGGTGCTAGATAGTCTCATCCAGGCTCCCTTTCCCAGGGAAGGTTGAACCGGGTGACCTTTTGAGCTCCCTTCCAACCTGGGCTGTTCGATGATTCTGTGATTCTTTGTGGTTTTTTTTTTTTTTTAACTCTTGGCACACCTTTGCAGGGACAGTATTGCAGTGTGCTCCAGATTAAGCGACAGAGAAAAGAGACACTAACTCTGCTGAGGGAGTGAAAGTTATCTGTGCCTGTCACTCCCTGCAATAACCACTCTTGTGCTTGGGGTTATAGGCTTCCTTTTTTAGCAATGAAAAGCTCTTTGTAGATGACACTTTTCCATTTTCAGCCTAGCAGAACAGCTCAAAATCTCAGTGTCCCCAGTGAATCTTCTCTGATTACAGCAGTGAAAACAAATTCTCTATTTGTGACTTAAAGTTGTGCTGGTGAAACATGAGCTAGACCTTTCCTGGGGCTCAACTCCATGCCCATACAGTTACATGTCTACAAGCAAAAAGTAATTCTTAATAAGTGAAGTCAGCAGCATCTGCACACAGTGAGACAAGTCTCTGTAGGAGTAAGAAAGTGCCATTTTTATACATCTCAGTTTTTGTCAGACTCAGTAATGTCTGAGTGTGAAGGACGATGGAAAAATACGCTACATGCTCCCAGGCTGGGTAGTTCCCTTGCTCATCTTTGGGGTGCATACCTGCCATCTGATAACTGCTAGCATGGCAGTGGATGGCCAGAGCAAAGCAGGTCCCACTGTAGCAAGGTCCAGCCCTGACCTGCTGTGCCTGCTAACATCTGCTCGGTATCTTCCCAGAGAAATAGCTGACTGGGAACTTCTCGTTTAACAAACTTTCTTCCTTCCCCAGATTGCCAAGGATCTGCATCAGTTTACATTTGACCTTTTAATTAAGGCACATATGGTGAGCGTGGACTACCCTGAAATGATGGCTGAGATCATCTCTGTGCAGGTTCCCAAGATCCTGTCTGGAAAAGTCAGGCCAATCTACTTCCATGCACAGTGATCTTCTGGAGGGACCTCCCAGCTCTGCCACCCCCATTTCAGCCATCTCCTGCCTGTTATTTCTGCACTACTGCACTGCAGTGCCTTGAGGAATCCCCTTTACAGAGGCGGTGCGCCAAGAAGATGGACAGTAACAAACGACTACCTGCTGGGATTCCTGAGATTTCTATTTTTTCTGAGGTACTGAACTACCTGCCATGGCTTCTGCCTAGATTTGGCTGGCTCGCTGTGCTGGGGCAGGGAACTGTGGCACAGTGGCTGTGGCACCGTATCTACGCTCTCTCATTTGTCTATTTTCCACAGTGACTTTTAGTGGCCCAGGGCCACAGGAGATTGGAGGAAATGCCAGCAGTTGTTGGGTTTGGGTTTTTTTTAAAAACAGAACAAGACAACAAGCAGGTTGAACCTATAAGTTTGGGTGTGGGTTACTTTACTGGCCTCCTTTGGGACTTCTTATTTGCATTATGGTGCTGGGAAGCAGAAGGGTTAAAGTATTGCAGTAGAGAAACACTGAAGAGTTGCGGGGGTGAGAAGAATTTGCAGACTGATGAATTTACAGGACCTGCTGCTGGGTCAGAAAGCTGCCGAGCAGCCATCGTGGGGTCTACTCCGGACAGCATGCCACTGCCATCTGCGGCCCCACAGACCTGCCTGCACAGCAGCACGGACGAGTGTTAATATTAGCTGATGGAGCGTTACGAGGTTGTCAGCAGAAGGGCTGGAGAGGAAGATGACCTTCAGAAATCCCCAAAGATGGCGGATGGCTGCTGTTTTCCACCTGTGATGTTTTTCCTATGGCTGGTCAAGCTGGATCTCCGTCTGCCCCACAGATGCCCAAGCGCTCAGAAGTCACATTCCTGTCCTTGACAGCTGCTGCTTCTCCAACACAGCCGTACCCACCTCCGCAAGTGCCTGATGTCCTCAGACCTCATGGTCTCCCCTCCTCCTGTGGGCACCTGAAGCCCCCTGCCTAGCCCCTCACCAGCTCTGCTCCAGCTGGGTGTCCGCAGAGCCTGGGTTTGCAGCTACACTACTTATTTTCTGTTGCTGCCAACTATTCTTTCTGATGCCAGCAGACGAGTGTCCCGGGAGCAAAGCAGCGGGGCCAGGATCTGCGAGGCCACGGGGCTCCTGCTGTTAATCCTGTCCTTTGGGAGGTGGCTGTGGTAACTGGCTGGTGCTGCCGTGACGCTTCAGGGGCTTGTAAAGGAAACACCAAAGAGACTTTATGCCCTTCCAAGCGGTGTGCATGGCTCCTGCTAATTGCAGCGGTTGATTGCAGCCTGGGGGGGACATGGTCCCGCATGTGCCGCCTGTCCCCAGCAGCCCCACGTGTCATGGTGGTGGCACAGTCTGTGGCTCTGCCACAAGGATGGATAAATGTGCCCTCGCTAACGAGGGCTTTCAGTCCATGACCAGCAAATGGTACAGGCTGATAGGTCTGCAGCTGCTGGTGACTTCCAGCAGTCAGGAATATCTGAGAAAAGCAGGCTTGGTTTGTCAGGTGTAAGCGTTGGCTTGACTCCGTTTCATACCTCAAGTTGAGAAGGGAACGCAGGCCCACCCAACACCTGTATTCAGATTTGTTTATTTGCTGGGCTCCGCTTCCCACAAAGTGGCCAAGCCTGCGTTCCCTGCGGTATTTCAGTTCCCCCCCTTCCAGCACAGCCGTGAGCCCATCAAAACCGCCTGGTCAGACCTGGCCGGGTGTGTTGGTGAGCGCAGCACATACAGGCTCTTGTCAGGGTAATACTCCTCATCGGGGCTGCGATGCAGTCCAGCTTTACCAACAGACGTCTACAAGGGGTCCTCGTGCCGGCGCAGGCAAACAGCAAGTCCGTGCCTTGCCGCACGCAGTTCTCTGGCAGGCAGTGGTTTCACCGCTGCAGTACGGGGCAGAGCTTGTGGCGGAGCTGTGCCCACCCAGAGCGCTGGTGTGGTCCCCCGGCACTGCGACGCCACAAGTGCGAAGCAAATGCCGGAGTCTAGAGAAGTGAACCTGATCAGACCCATGCAGCACACTGCGCTGTGTTCCCCCTGCATAATACCAGCTACTTGTGTTTGTCAGAGGCCTTTAATGTGAAGGGAATAAGGTTTAGGCCAATTGATTGCCACATATATATGGTGCAGAAAACATTGCTGCTTGGACCGTTTATGAGCTGAGCATCACCGTCAGCTCTTCATGCAAATGCCTTCATGGTACGTCTGTGTTCTTTGCAAACTCTCAGTAAAACAAACAATTTTCCTGATACTTTTCAATCATGCTATGGGATTTTCATTAAGGGAAGGGGTAAGGAAAAAACCCAAAACTGTTGAAGGGGAAGATCTTTCTTTACAGCTGTTTGTAATGGGTTTTCCTTCCCTGCTAGATATGGCTCTGGTCGTGCTTTTCCTCCTGAAATCCCTTCACGTAGGTGACAACAGAATCCCTAGATAACCTTCCTGAATCCCAGCCAACAGGACAGTGTTCTCAGTAGCTTTTCCTGTTTTAGAGGGCTGCAAGCATTTTAAGTGTCAATATGATCTAATAATATTTGCAAATGAACCAGTAAAAAAATCCTACTGGTGCATTCCTCTGTTCTTGAACATTTTCTGGCTATTAGCAGAAGAGTACAGTGAACAGCTGGGTGAGTAATACCCTCATCTCTGTCATCAAGAGAAGGATGTTTATGAGCAGTCTGAATAGCTCCTTTGGAGAGCTTTGTATTTTGCCCAAGCTCATGTCAGTGAAGTTTTCATTAGTTCATGAGAGTGGAGGTATCCTCCTGGGTACTTTTCTGCTGGGAGATTGGGAAGAAATCAAACTTAATAGGGATTTGTATACTCTGATTTGCTGGTGGAAGCATAGTACAAATGAAAAATGGTTTAGAAGGGGATGCTGCCTATGTATCATCTGCCAGATGTGTGCAACTTGTGTGTGCAGCCTCTCCAACTGGGTATGCTTTGAGAAGGGAGCAGGATTGCAACTAAATATTCTTCAGGAGATGAGTCAGTATGTGCCAATATTAATGGAAACTTCTAATTTGATAATTTTTTCTGGTTAGGTACTGCCCAGTGTTCAAAGGTCCATCCTTTCATGGCATGAATGGAGCATACACTGGCACAGCCTGGTATCGGTATCTGCTTCTCCAGCTTTCTTGTAGCTGATTCTGGTTAGACAGGGATAGTATTTGCACTCGGGGGATGACGGTGTGTTCTTTATCTTTGCCCTCTTTGACTGCACAAAGTGTCCTTGCACTTCGGGGCAGAATCCTGGAATTCTAAAGCAGTAGCTGTTTTCTAACTGTTTCAAAGTAGACTTTTAGAGGCACAGAAATCCTTTCTTGTACCATAATGACTGGCCAAGTTGTGCTGTGCACCATCGTGTCCTGGTGCCCACTATGAAATGACAGAGCACCTGGAAACTGGCAGCTGGGCGAGATGCCTGTGTGGTAGGGTGGCAGGAGCAGTTACCAGCACCATGCGGCTGGGACCAGGGATGGAAACCTGCTGCAGGCTCTGGGCATGGCCGGGCAGCCTGGCTGCAGACGGGGTGCTCCAGCCCATTCGTGGGGGCACAGCGTGGCTCTGGAGGAGAAGGGCACAGGCTCAGCCCTCCCACACTTGCCTGCCTGCTCGCAGGCAACATGGAGGGACTTTTGCTCATTCCCTTTTAAAATGACGGGGGAACCTGCACTTGTGATTCAAAAAGTAAATATCTGCACCACACATAAAACCACAGCAAATTTATAGTAAGCTGCTCTCTGTGCCAGGTATTTTGTGTTTTGTGGTAATTTAATGCAGTTTTTATTTGTTAACATGTTTCTGTAATAAAAAGAGTTCTCTATATTGATAATACTTTATTTTCTTTGTAATAAGCCAAAAAGCTCATTGCTGGTGCCTTTTTGCCTGGGGAGGACTCCCAGCCCACAGCTATTGTCATGAAAGTAACAAAGCATAATGTCTCTACAATTGCTTGTTTCACCATAGCTGAGTAAAGTCATGAAACAAACACTGCAGGATTACCAAAAGGAAAAGAACGAGGAGCCTACAGAATGGGCAGAAAGACTTTCAGGTACAATAATGTGGTTATTTCCCTAGGTCTGGGTCCAAGGCGAGCGGTTCCAAGGCAAGGGCTATGCACGACATGGAGAAAGCCTTTGCCCTGGCTCAGTGTGACTTTGCTGCTGCATTACGAACCTTTATCCTCTGCAAGATGTGCAGTGAGGTCGAAGCATACACATAGCATTTTATTACGGTTGCACTTGTATTGCAGTTGCAACACTGTAGTGTTTTTCAGTCACCTGTCAGAAATGGCAGTGTTTTGCCCAAATTAACAGCATCTGAGGCCAAATTCTGCTTCTAGAGAAGAATGTTAGTTGGATTGTTGCCACTGCTCTTTTTTTTTTTTAAATTGGAACTGAATACAGTTGAATAAGGAAAATGGAGACCTACAATGTTATGACATCATCGAGACTGGAGAGCAGTGACATCCGCTGCCTTGGCTGGTGAGATGCAGTGGAGGATGCGCAGGAGACGACCGTGACTCAGAAGTCACTGTATGGGGCTGAAGGATGTCTGTTCTTGTAACCAAAAAGAGGAGCCTGTCTGGCATCCAGGATAAAGACAAAACCAATCCCACTAAGCTAGGGGAAATAAAAATTTCACTTTTTGACTGTTTTAGTCCATGCTTGGATCCCATGCAAGCACTCAGCCTGTGCTGTGCCACAGGGCAGACCTTCACGCTTGGTGTTCAGCTCTTTTTGTAATCTTAAAAGCTGTTGTTGTTCTAAGTACAATAAAGGCAGAATCTCGTTTGTTGGAACACTGCTCTGTGCGTGTATTTGGCTTTTGTTTCAGTTATATACATGAAAAATGTTACCTGGTGTGATGAATATTAGCTATTGAAGATGCCAGGAATCAGTGGGTCATTTCTCAGTGGATGAGGCTGTATGTTTGGTCATTCATAGGCTATTTTTTCACAGTCAGATTTTGCTACTAATCACATGTCTGAACTGCTAATTCATTTACACATCGATTGACTAATCCTTTCATATATGCCTCTTTGGGTCTTTTAAACTGAATTTAATTTGATTAATGTATTTCTCAAAGCAAGGAGCTAATAAAGGCCAGTGTCCTCTTCCTGTTGTTGTTGTTTTCAGTATCTTTATGAGCAGTTGTAAATCCATTCTGCTGGAACTTCTTTATAAAATTGACCTGTGCTCTCCACGTAATAAAAAAGACTGCTTATCAGCCCACTTTTTAATTCAAGGCACAGATGTGAATACTGCACAGGGTCAAGATTTTATTCACTGCAAGACAAACCAAAGAGCTTGGAAAAAAAAAAAACCCCAAACCTCATCCGTCCACAAATAGCTAGCAATGTCTAGTGTGTAATTGCACAGCAGCAGTACATGTACCGATACCCCGCAAGCTGAAAGCACAGTGTCCTTAGCCGTACAAAAAGCCTTGCCCATGTGGAGTAGTGTCATGTTTAGTCATCTGCAGAGAATCTGGTCCCATCCCTCCATTTGAGTCACAGTTAAAAATGTGTTATTTTTCAAAATACACCCTTAATCAACAGAAAAATCCACTGCCGTTCACAGGCTGCGGTGCTATCTCAGATACCTGTCAACATGTTAGCCCCAGTGTCCCCCATCAGACTTTTACTTGGCCACCAACATCCCCTGGGACACTGAGGAGCCACCGGTCCAACACATCTTTCACCTGGGTTTGCATCTCTTGATCTTACACCGGCCTCTGTCCTCTTAATGGGCTCCAGCCTTGTGTGGCTTGCACAGTATTTGCCTGCATGAGAACAGCAAGGAAATTAGTCTGAGTGTCTGCAGAGGATTGGTCTCTGCAGATTGCTGGCCCTAACCCTCCTGGCCCAGTTAGCAAATAGCCCCTGTCCCAGGCAGACTGCCGGGTGCCCTTTCTGGACCTTTTCTGAAAGAGTCCATCAGCCAAGCGAGCGGGGCTCCTCACGGCACATGGGGCGCAGCAGGCTGTGCCTGGCAGGGGGCCCGTCTGCTGCAGGATGGGCTCAAACAGCAGAAACCAAGTGAGGAATCAATCTTTTTTTTTTTTTTCTGAAAACATCTCATGCCAAGCAGCCCTAAAATGGCTCTGTGCTTTAAAGATCCTTAGAACAGCCAGTGGGAAATTTTTAAAACAGAAAAATTGTTCCATTTCCTAAAATGATACTGAGTTGCTTTTAAGACACCCTTCAACAGTGGTTGACCTCCTCAGGGACCCTGGGAGCACTGCACACACTGACAGCTGCACTGGCAACCATCTCCCTGCATGCCTTCAGCTGTATCAGGGTATGGGCTGCACTCACCCTCTAAGGCTGCACCACAATGAGCCGGTGGAGGGAGATGCTCTGCACGCTGGATTATTTCAGGTGTGGATGGATCTCAGTCAGAGCACAGCCCAAACCCACCCCAACTGTGGGGACCCCCAGTGCCCTGCTTGGCCAGTGTCCCCTGTGAGACACCCACCTGCTGCCAAAGTCCCACGTCAGCGGGGGCTCCCCACTCCTTCTGCAGCCGCGGTCACCATCTCCTGTCCCCGGTGGTCCGGGCAGCTCCTCCGTCACCTTCGCCAAGGTGGGCTCAGCTCCGTGGCTGGATGAGCAATGTGGGTGCTGAGCTGTGCCGGCAGGCAGGCTGGTGGTGCCTCTGCATCGTATTAAGGGTTCAGAACCTGGCTGTTGAACTGTTCTGTGACTGACGATATCTAACAGCACTTATTTCTCCCAGTCAAAGAACAGAAACAGGACCAGGACCCACCAGAACACTAGCTTGCCATGGGTCTAAAACTGCCTATGGACTACTTAAAGCAATTGCAGACAATGGCCTGAGACCTCTGTTTATACAAACCCTGGGTTCTAAAGGACTCCAGCTGTAAGAAGCTGAGTGGGATGGTGTGCCTGAGATCATGCGGGGCCTGGTATTGAGCAAATTAATTAATTATTATAAAAGTCCTTTAAATGCAGTTTAGTTTCTCTAATTTGCATAACAAGTTTTTGCAACTCCCTCCAAGACAGACTAATTAAAACTCCAGGCTTCACCTGGAGCCCTCAGAGAGAGCTTGGCCACCGCTATCCCACTGACCCCCCCCCGGTACCCGGGCTGTGTTCAGCGCTGGTGCAGAGCCCTCCCTGAGGCCCTGGCGAAGGCAGCGATGGGCTCTTGCAGCTCGCTGCTCCTCTCGTGCCCAGGTCAGCAGTCTGCTCAGCCCAGCCCAAATCCCTGTGGGAACACCATGAAGTGCTTTAAGACGCAGGTTTCAACAGGAGAGGCGCAGGTTTTAACAGGAGAGCAGCTTACAGCCAGCACAGGAGTGCAGCAATATGCTGTCCATGCCAAGCCTTTGGTACAGGGCATTTGGGGTGTGGTTTTGGGGTTTTTTTTACCATGTGTGCACACACCAGCCTCACACAGAAATCATCCTTACTGTCGAGAAAAGCGTGGAGATGAATAACAAGGCTGGCAGCACATATCGTTGGCATGCATCGCTGAGCTGGGGCAAGTCATCAGGTTTGCCCGTGTAGCTGTCTCTGATGAGGAGATGAGTGACCTGCCCGGTCCGGCTGCAGCAGTCCCCAGGCTGGCTACTCCAGGGGGACACCCAGGGTCTGGCCCCCAGCCCTTCTTCTTTACTGCCCTTTCTCTGACCGCCCCTGCAGCTCACCCCATCCCTGCCCAGGGAGCAGCTAGGAAGGGGCAGGGGCCCCTCAGGAGGTTCCTTTCTGTATCAGAAGTATGTGATGCGCTGGGCGAGGAGCACCCCGCATGGAGAAGGCATTGCTGCTTCACTGGAGGGATGCTAGAGTCGCCAGCAACTCAGTTGTTTGATGACGGCGGTTGCCTGTTTCTCACTACTGTTGAAGTTCCCATCTCAGCACACTTGGCACCTCCTGCATCCTGCCTGACTTGAGCAAAGCGCGGCATGCGCAGCTGGGAGAGGCGCTGGGAGCTGCTCTGCCCTCCATGTGTGCTGGGCTCCGGCAGCTTGTCCAGCAGCCACAGACCTCGGTGCGGTCACGCCGACTCGTGTGCTCTTGACACGAGGAATGTCAGCCAACTCTGGGGTTTGCTCCTTGCCCAAAATTGCTGCCGCCTCCCACCACCGGCGGCAGGTAGACGCCAACGAGAGGGCGAGCAGGGACCTGCGTGCCCCGCGTCCCGTCCCCGCTGGAGCAGAGCAACCGCAGGGGCATGGCCCGGCAGCACAGTGCCGGGATGAGCCCGCGGGGCCGAGGCACCGGGGAGGGACCAGGGTGTGCAGGACACAAAGGATGCAAAGAGCAAAGGATGCTGGACCTGCAGGAGGATGGAGGTCCTGGGGGGCAATGTGCTGGGGGGGGTGAAGGGGTGTTTCTCTAAGCCTCCATGGAAATAGCAACCTTTTATATATGATTTCAAGAATCTTCAGAACTTCTGCTTTTTAGGAGCTCTCACAGATCCTGACAGAGGCTGTGAAAGCACTTCTTCCATAAACTTCCAAAAATATAAGGAAAGTAAAGAAATAATTCAAAGCGCCTCCTGAATTTTTAAGTCCATGGCAGGATATTATTTTTTTTGCTGGCCTGACTCTTGATTTATGGATGTATAGGCCAAGTAATGCTGCTGACAGTTGCCAAGAAAATGTCTGGTGTAGAAAGCTGGTCCTAAATCAGAGCATTCAGCTGGTTAATTGTGCAGCGAGTTGGGCCAGAGAGAATTATGGAGTTTAAAACTAAGACTCTGATCTAGCAAGAAGTCCTGCGTGGGTGGATTCCTGTGCCTTTATGGATCTCTGTGCAGCACATAAATTAAGATGTCAGTGCTCCACTAAGTACATTTCAATTCTAAACTTATCATATAGATGTGTCTACTGAAGTGTGCCTTTAACCTCTCCAAATCCTTCATCTGGGAATTTCTCTCTGAGGCCCAGTCTTGAGCTTTGAAACTTCTTGTTTTGATATCTTTTCTCTGTATAAAAAACTACAAGGTATTACTTATGCTGGAAAATATTTTTCTTGCTCAGATGAAATCAAAACATTTTCCTTAAGAAAGCAAACCACGCACCTGGGGGTTGGGACACCAGAATTGTTGGGATAGCACCTCAGTGCTCCTTCCAGTCTGTAATCATTCACTACAAGGGCTAATAGAAAAAGAAAACAGTTTCTTTCACTGAAACACTGTTGTTTTGAAGGCATCCACCCCTGGAAAAATTACAGCCCCCAAAGGAAGCTACAGAGAAACAAAGAGCCGGGGAAAAAGAAAAAAAAACCCCAACCCTCAAGCTACTGCTTTGGCTTGTGCTACCTGGGCATCATGACCCTGTGTCCATCCCAGGCAGGGGATGCTCCCGGGCACAGGAGCAGGGTGGGATGTGCCCCCCAGCAGGCACCCGGCAGGGGATGCCACGTGTGGGGCTGTGCCCGCTGCCAGCCCCCTGAGGGGCAGCCGCCGCTCCACAATGCTGCTGGTCATTTTTTCTAGATTTAACAAGGATCTTTTGTTAGTTCCAACATTGAAGCGTTTTGTGTTTTTACCGGCAAGCCTAGAGCCCAAGCGACTCTGGATGAAAATGCAGTGAGATTTTCTGCCAGCCCCAGGGTACCCGCAGCGGCAGCTGCGGCTGCAGCCAGACCCTTTGGGTGCAGGTCAGGACTGCAAACACAGCAAGACCTGGACAAAGCAGCTTGCCTGGTGATAGGAGGGCAGATGGGGGCTGCTCCCAAGCCCACCCACCCCCACACGCTTTATCCAGCCTTTCCCTGCATCCCACACTGCTCCCAGCACACGGCCCCGGCCCTGGTCTCCTGGCTGCTGCAGCAGTGCCCGGTGACTGCAGTCCTGGTAAGCAGTTCCCATCTCACCATCACCATTTCCCTCCCCAAATTATTGCTGACAAACCTCCACCCTGTCCTTCAGTACCCCAGAGGTAACTCAGCAATAACAGCCCCAAATATTCCTGGGATGAAAAACAGGAGAAGGTTTCTAATCACGAAAGAAATGAGATTGTGCAGTCTGTATTCTTGCTCGGGGGCTTAATCAAAACCTAGCTGTGGTTAAGATGGGATTAGGTTAATTTATAAAAGGACGCACAGAGGGTCATGCCGTTGCCTGTGCCAGTGGCAGGCAGGACCCTCGGGGCCATGGAGCATCTCCAGGTGATGTCCCGGTGCCAGCCGGAGCCACCTGCCCACTCCTTCCCTCTCTGGCCCCTCTCCTGCCCCCATGGCAGAGGGTGCAACCCACAGCCGAGCCAATGGCCCCCAGCTTGAGCACCCGCCTACGCGCTGAGCTCTCCAAATTACAGATTTGACCCGAGCCCTTGCGAATGAGCAGTTTCAGCCCCTGAGCCCCGCAAGCACTCAGGCTGCAATGAGCTGCACATTGGGCTGGAGGAGCTGAGGAAGGGTCTCAGCCAGGCTCCCCGGCCTGTTGCGCGCTGTAGTATTTGATCGGGACTGTTGGCTCTTGCCAGTTTACGTTATTAGGATTAGTCTTTCCAGCTGAAGAGATGTGGAAAACCAAAAAGGGAGCAAAGGAAGCATTGCACGTTATGTGCCACAAGCCCCATGCATGAACTGTGCGATTCAGCCCACTGCTAACGGCAGAGCCCAGCTATGAGGAAATCAGCATTTCACTCACGCTCCCTGCCAGGAGAGTGATTTTCTTCTTTGGTAAGAGAAGAAAGGCCAAGACTGTCAAAATGCACAGAGCTGCAATAAATCCTACTGTGGCAAAGGTGCTTCAGGGACTCCTTTTCCATTCCTGCTCCCTTATGGCGGACGGTGCAGGGGCTTAAAGGGCACTGGGTATTCCTGGGGCTGGAAGAAAGATGCGGTGCTTTGGGGTGCTGGGGGGAGGCAGGCACCCCATGCCCAGCTGCCCCTTGGGGGAGCCGTGGAGCGCTGGATGCCACTGCCGGGGACCGCTCCTGCCGCTGCAAGCGGGGTCTCAGGCCCCGTGCCGCGATGCTGACCGGGGACTGGGAAGGCAGGACCGTGCTCAGCCGGGACGGCGCCCAGCCGGGTGCTTGCTCGGGGGCCTGGAGCCGGGGCATGACACAGACCTGCTCTGAGCCTGCAAACCTGGAGCGCATGCTGCAACGCTCAGCGCCCTTGAACTAAGGCTAGGATGGTACAAAGTAATTGCAGCAAGGATGCTGAGAAGAATACGGCAATTAGAGGCCTGAAAAAGGGTGTAGATGAGAAAGCTCCCCATCATTCAGCTGAAGACCCTCAGAGACACTAGAGCTGAATTCATTCATCTCAAACCGCCGGAGGGGTTCCTCAGCTGCAGCCTTTTCCAGCCACATGTTATTAGGTTAAAAAAAAAAAATTTAAAAAGTATCACTCAACAAAGGAGTGAGTGGTGTATTTAGGAAGTGTGGAAATCGGCTGCATCTCCTCTTGGGGCAGAGAAGCAAACCGTGCAGGCTGCCAAGCAGCAGGGACAGCTCGCCCACCCCACGCTTATCCCAGGAGCACCCTCCCTCTCCTGGTACCTCACATGCTGCTGCCAGCTCCTGTGTGGTCACCTTGGTCGGGCACTTCTCCATAAATTCAGGCTCAAAAGCAGGTTGCAAGACTCCCATTTAAGAGACAAAGCTGTTTTCTCCTGTGAGAGATCTTTTTGTTAAATAAAAGCAAGACGCCTGAAAAGCAAATGGTAGTGCACATTAACATCAGAGTTGAGAGGGATGGGAAAACAGATATGAGGAGGGGAAAAAGATGTTGGATAGATGGAAAGAAGCCAGTGCTGTGTCTGCAGTAATCATAAATAAGTAGAAAGGTGTTTATGCTGACAGAGGCAGCTGAACAAGAACCAGGCAGCTGAAGTTAAAAATGAGAAAACATTTTAAAACCACATACTACCAAACATGCCTCTCTGTAACAGGCAGAACAAGGGGGTCCATGCTCAACCCACCCCTGTGCAAACCCACTGCCCCAAGTCACGCTCATGTGCCCTGGCCACACGCAGGGAGGGTCGGCTGCATCGCCGGGGTGCCTGTGGTACCCGAGCAGTGGGATCTGCAGAGCAGAGGATGGCTGCAGCATGGGCAACACTGGGGCATTGCTTAAAGGAGGAAAAAGCATACTTGGGACTCTTTTTTTTTTTTTTTTTACTTCATGGAAACTTTATAAACACTTGAAGTAATCTACGCTTTTACATGACAAAATGGCTCTGATGGCTGATGTCTGCGGGCCCTGCCAGGCTGCACAGGGCAAATCCTGCGTTCCCAGCTGTGTTGCTCCTGTGGCACTGGCAGCAGGGATTGTGCCCCACAGGCCTCCACCGGCACAGCTGATACAACCTACCACCGCTCCACCGCTGGTCCCCAGCGTTCGGCTGCACGCACAGAGGAGGAAAAACCAGCACACACACGTGAGAAATTACTTAAGGACACAATGAAATACGTTTCTAGTAAGCTGCTTCCCTCCATTGTTTGCAATGTCAGACTTAAAACCAAACTCCCTCGGATTTCTTTCTTCCCGCAGACCCTAGCTCTGTCCTCTGGGACAGCCACCCCAAGAGGGTGACAAAGCCACCAAAGGGCAGGCTTGGGCACCAGTGCCCATCCACGGCAGGAGACTGGGGCTCCGCAGCCGGGCTGCTGGAGAGGCTTCCCAGCCACCACAGCCGTTCTGGGCTGGTCAGGGCACCTTGCTGGCTCACAGCTCCGTCTGACCTGCTCTCTCAGATACCTGATCAGAAAAACACAATGCGCTCTGTTTTGGTGCTGCTCACACCTCCTGGCCACTCATGAGAGGGTGCAGCAGAAAGGGCTCACTGTAGCTTTGAAAAGCCCTGAGATGCCAGTGTGTGTAATACAGTCTAGGCATTGATATCGCTTTTTTTTTTTTTTTTCTTAAAGCCACTTTTATGTGCCACTGTTCAAAGCAGGAGTACAGGAGTGAGCAGCTGGGGCACCGCCAAAGCCCGAGGGAGCAGAAGCACCATTGACACAACACGTGTGTGTCCAGTGAACGCCAGAATTACATTCAGCAATAAAGCAGACAGGTGCTAGACGCACACACAAGGCAAGCATCAGCAGACAGCACGGGAAGGACCGCGGCAGCATCCCACTGGCAAACCTGCACCAGGCAGGAGGCAAAGCGCGCTCGAGAGGATGGAGCACCCGGGAAGCAGCTAATGGGGATGTTTGGCCACTGATTTGGGAATGCTCCCAGCACCCAAGGAAAATCATTCAAAACATGGAAGCCGCCTTTGAGCAGGTGAGAGGAAGCAGGGAAGCCACTCATTGCCTATTTACAGGCAAACACTACAGCTCAGGAACTGAGCCCTGGTGTCAGCTGGAACGACAATAAGCCTCTACTGTTAACAGGGATACTAGGGGTGGTCCTGGTTAGGAGAAACCTTCCAGACCAAAGGGCATCATCTACACGGCCGCTGCTGAGTTAAAGAGACTGGACATCTCTTGGACTGGAAATTAATGTAACAAGCAAACAAGAAACTGTGCGCCTCTCAGAAAAATGGGTTGACCCACACTCATCGAGTTTCAGTTCCTCGCCACCTCTGTGCTGGTCCACCAGAACAACCCTGGGACAGAGACTTCTTGGTGGGCCTGAGGGAAGTGGATCTGGTGGGACAGTGGCTCACACAGGAGGAAGAGGAGGAGGAGGACGAGGAACAACTCCTGCCGCTTCCTTCTCCCAGCGGTGCTCTCAGAGGCTGCTGACCCGACCGGTGCTGCCCAGAAAGCCGACCCACAGGCAGGGGCTGCGGCCCCACTCAGGCAAAGCCCCCTGGCACATCCATGTCTGCCGGCACGGTTTTCCAGGACGGGGGCATGCCGACGCCAGGGAGGAGATGAAGAGATGTCCTGCAGAGCTAAGCATGATGGTCCCCCCAATTCCTGTCCTGCCTGCCTTAGCACCAGCAGCATTTCCAGTAACATACACTGCTCTTCTACACACTGAAAAACACACTATAGCTTACTGAGCAAGGAAAACATAACATAAAGGAAGGAGCTTCTCATGGCAAGGGGGGGCAACCCAAACTCCAGTCATTCTACCCTTGCATCCAAGCACGGGGAGTCAGCCCCTTGCGTTCTGACTCCAATGTCTGTCCAAGGTCACTCTTGCCAAGGCGCATTTACCAAAAAGTGAGCAGATAAATGGCCACTCCCATCCCCCGCGGTCCCTTCCACAGCTCGTCGGTGTTCACCCAGCCCTGCAAAAGTTGCTGGTCACCTGAACGGGCACACATGATCATCCTTCACAGCCTGCGCAGAGAGGAGTGGCGGAAGGACTGGGAACAGTTCAACACATATGTGTGGGTAGTGTCTTCTCCCCATCGTTATCTCCCTCTCTTCTAATTTCTTGAGCCACTTACAACAGCGTGCTCTGAAATTATCATCCGGTAAGATAGCTGCTCTCCAGGGGCACCAGAACTGGAAAAGTCTTAGCTGTGACACGTCCGTTTCACAAGCACAAAATCTCCTGGGTCTAGTTGGGCTGAGGTGCTTACAAAGTCTGGAAGAAGAAAACAAGCACGTTCTATGCAGCAGTATAAATCCGTCAGTGATGGCAAAACCACAACGAGAGCAAGCCCAGGCCTCAGCACTGCCGTTTGCATAGTGCTCACATTTACCCTGAGCGCTGCAGCGAGGAGGCTCAGGAAGGGCAGAGCAGGCTGATTTACTCTGCCCTGCCATACTACCACCTCAGCAAAGAGCACGCCCCACCTCTAGTCATTATCTTTCCTCCTGCAAGGGTCTCCTACAGGAAGGACATTTCTTCTCATCTTTCTTTTGAGATTCCCATTGCCTCCACTGGACTCCCACCACCCCATGAATGCTGAGTTTATGTTACACATGTGCTTTTGGTTTATTATTTCATTTATTGTCATAAACACGTACCTTTAGCCTCAGCTCTCATCACCTGGGATCCTGCCTTGTGGTGATGAAGAACTGTATATAAGGAAGTAGAAGAAAACAGGAAAAAAAATTAATGCAATAAGCATGCTCAAACTCAGATCCACAAACCTAAACAGAGGGCTGGGTAACAGTCAGGTCAGGGATATATTTTTCAATATAACAAGAGAACTCACTGTCAACACTAACAGACAACATTTATCACTTAGTGCAAACCTGCTCACACTTTTGGCAGAGGTTGGTGATCTTTAAAAGCAGGAAGAAGCTGAAGCTTCTATGAGCAGATATTATTACAAATAAAATCTGCTGCCACAAAGCATAATGCTTGCAATTCAAAGCCCTGCCATCCCAGCCTAGCCTGAAGGCTTCAGTGCCCAAGCTATCACTCCATCACACTGTACCTCTCCGTGGTGGAGCTATGCCTGCACATACATTGTGTGTAGGACCATCCACTCTCTGGTCTCACATCTCTGATCAGCTGCTGTGATCTAATCAGCCCTCCTTGTCTCTCCCACAATCCTACCTCTGCTCTTCGCAAGGGCTGAGAACTAAGTACAACGTGCACTATGCTGACTTAGATACACGCGTGATAAAAGGAATCCATAGATATGTTTATTACTTAGCATATTTACATATAACTTATCAAGTCTGTATCTGGAGTCACATTTTACACTTTGTGCTCTCTGTTTAGTTCCAGCATTTTAGCTGAGACCCATCTTCTGCCCATGAGTATGAAAGGCAAGAAGGTCAGGCCTGGGGCTTCCTGAGTTGACTTGCTCTGCCTCAGAGGGAGCACCCTATGCAGCAGGGCAGCTTTTATTAACATGCCAACTTCCCAGTGCCAGGCTTACTTGCTTGTTCTTCGGGAAGCTGTCTCAAAGAACTTTGTCCTAGAGGCCACCCTGCAAAGAGAGCAAGACAGGTTACTCCAGTTATCCAATAAGGCAATTTGTTAATGAGATCTCATCTGTGCCAGGGAAAAGAGCAGTAGCATCAGCAGACGCTGAAGACAATCACCTTCTAATGATGTCTTTTCTGCTGAGGCAGCAGCCGTGCTCCTCATGCTGCCAGCTCCATTCCCCTCTGCCTTCACACCGCCCTGGCCAGGCAGCCCTTAGTCGCTTTTCGCCACACTGCTTATTTCCACGCTCTTGCTTATAATCCTACATACTGGTTTATAAACCTGCATCCATCACTTTTCAGGGCCTCTCCTTCAGTTTTTATGTGCTTCGTATTTAGCTTCCAAATGTCCTCATAGAACAGAAAAGTTCTAACAAGTGATTTAGGAGAGCAAAGGCAAGGCCTGTTCCTGCCCTGCAGGCGTGGAGCTGAACCTCACAGTACCTTTGCTAGACTAAGGAATGAACATGCAGGACTTGGATCAGCTGCACAGCGCGGCTTTACTGGGGGCTCTCTGCAAAGAGCAGGGGCCAGCGCAGCATGAACTCGGGAGCTCTCCCACGGCAGGCGCTTCCCCCAGGACCGCTGCCGGAGATCGTCACTCACGGGCTGCGTGGCTTCCACGGCACAAAGACACTTCAGTTCACGACAAATGCTTTTGCACCTCGTGTCACTGCGGGCAGAGCAAGGCCCCGGGGGGTGGCCCCCCGCACACCCCAGGGCTGCGGTGCAGTGGCAGAGCGCAAGGTGAGGGGTGTTAGCGCTGAGTTGGGGTGCTGCCCCGCTCCGATGGCAGGGGAATGGAATGCACATCTTTGCTGGATGTGCAGCAGCAGCGAGCTCCGCGGCAGCACCCAGGCTACAGCCTTCCCACCGACCCGTCCTGGCTGCTGGGCTGAGATCCCTGTATTTAGTCACCCTTTTTTCTTTTCTTTAATTCCCATTGAAGCCAGCAGGGTTTCTGTCTCATTAAAATATGAAAGAAACCTGATGCTGAAACTGAACTCCATCCAATTTCCTTAAGAGAGATCCAAGCTGGATCTTGTCCTTCCCCGGGAAGTGTCTCATTTGAGAGGCTTGCTCAGAGCCAGGCAGGGAGGGGCTCTCCAGCTTCACTGACAGGAGAAATAGCAGAGAAGGTGATGGGACAAGGCTTAGCCCCAGGGCTGTGCTTGAGAAGGTTCAGCGCTTCGTTTTTCCTGTGCATGTTTGCCTTTGCTATGGCCATGCTGCTCTCCCAGGCCATGCCCTCTGCGCAGCTTTTCAACGTGATGTTCAAACCCACGCTTGCACTCGTGTCGAAGGGGATGTCCACAGGCTCCAGCCATTGTATACCACCAGCGCTGGAAACCAACGTGGTATTTCTCTTCCTCCTCCTCCAAAATTCCCAGTAGGTGACACCAGCTCCTACTCCCACCACCCAGGCTGACCTTGTCCCCCCACACCTCCCCAAGCCCCTGGGTGCTGACAGCTCCCTCGGGCCGAGCTGCCCACCCCAGGTACTGCATGCTCGCTGACGGCTGCTGACTTACACAGATGAAGGCATCTCTTCTGCTGTTCCTGCTATCAGATCTGGCCTCTGCTCCAGCCTCGGAGGGACAGGAGTGCGGCACGGTGGGTCCGGAGGTCTCACAGGGGGACGCGTTATCACAGGTTTATCACCATGGGATCGTGCCTTAGGGACACCGTCGCACTCGCCTGCAAGGTTGAAGATTACGAACACTGAGTACGAAGCTTGGGTAGAGGGCTAGATATTTATGAAGAGGTATTAAACAAGTTAGTGGGCTTAGTTCTGTCTGTCTGCTGCAACATCCTCTCTCTGACAGTGGCCAATAGCCAGAATTTAGGGAAAGAGTCCCAGGAAAAGGCAGTTCCCATTCTGCCTGCCCCAGCACAGCCTTCCTGGCACTAGAAAGAGGGGCTGATGCTGGACCCTGTGATGAAAAACTTGATATAGTTGCTGATTGCAAAGATGATATTGCCTGGGAACAAGTTTTCTTAAACAAAACCTGTGCAGTGCTGCTCTTCAAAAGCTAGAAGAATAGCACAAATTGGTGATCCCTGAAGTCCAGGGCTGCTGCTTCTCTGAGTTTTTGTCTTGGACAGTGGCACGACCTGTCCTCTCCCCCAGCTTTCTGCTCTGCTCACAGGAGTTTCTGCCTTGGCTGCTTTTCTTTCCCAAGATCCAGCCAGCGTCGTTATTCACTTAACCCTTGAATACTTTCAAGGGTTAAGCGAGTAAGGAATAAGTGTCAGACTTTACCTGACGCCCCTGGTGACCCCACACCTTCCCTCCAGTGCGCATTTCTGCAGGACAGCAATCCTTGTGATCTTCTCCTCTGGCCATTTATATGGCACAAAACCATCTCAAGGGCTGGGTTCCTGCCCTTCCGATTTAGATATTTCCACTGCTAGAGAGTCCTGTTTCTGATTAGAAATAAGTCAACGATGTTTTTCTATTTGGTAAAACAATTAATTGCTGCAACTACTTAACCAAGGCTCTGTCAACCCCTTAGTTACTGAACCTTATTATACCCTGGTGTGCTAGCTCAAACACCAGTCCTTAACCAACTCTCTTCCATACTTGGCATTTGTAAATTCTGATCCTAATTTTCTCCTTGGTAAGCTGTAAAACTTGAATTTCTCAGTAAAAGGCCTGTTTCCTAATCCTTCAGCCTACACTTCTTGGTTTCTCTGGTTTTTCAAAATTACCCCCAAACTGTGCACATTAAAAGCTCAATACAGCATTCTAGCACTGATTTGCATGTATCAACACAGCTACTTCAGTGTTCTTCTACCTATACGTTCAAGGATCAACACAGCCAGTTTTATTACGCTGTGGCTCCAGGACATGCTGTCAGCACACTATGTGTGATAATGCAAAACCACAAAACTTTGAAGCACTAAATGCAGTTGATGTATAAGCCGACTTTAAAGCTATCTTACTCTTCCAAAAGCAGATTTCCACCTACCATTTTTGTGACAAATGTAAATTAAGCCAGTAGTGTCAGTCAGATGAATTTAATGTTTGTGCTACCCAGCTGGGCCTTTCTTCTTTCTCTCTGTTGCACATGGGGGTCATTTGTCAAGAACACAGCCTGGTTTTTATTTTCTAATTACAGGACTGTGAAGCTGTCAGGCTATGACAGCATCTGAAAAGCACTGGAAAGTGCACAGGAAAAGCTGGCAAATTGCAGAAAGCAATACATCTTTTATTATGGCCATTGTCCTGAGTATTTTATAAAACTCAGCACCAAATACCCACAATTACAGCAAAGTGTACTGTCCTGCAAATGGCTCCCTAGTGTTGCAGGGGAGAATGTCTACAGACACGCAGATACACAAATGCCCACCTGCCTTCCTCTACTGAACAGACAATGCCAGCTCAGATCTGGCCCCAAACTAATTATTTCTACCTGTAATAAACTTCTGTATAAAGCTTATTAGAATACAAATAACAATCATTATTTATATTTAACACCAAAGGATGAACTGTTGAAATAAACGTTCCCAGTAAAGACTCAGTAAGCCAGAAGCTGTGTCACAGGGAGCCTGACAGATAAACCCATCAGAAATTAAAATCTGGTAGTGACTTTTGCCATTTTCCTTGTCTCTGCTGAGGAGAGCACTGACAATCCAGAGTGCTTACAGCTGGTTAGACGGGGTACAAATTGCTTCGAGTTTAATGGCCTTTATATCGCTACTCAAGCCTAAATTTTACGAGTCCACTGAGCTAGGTTCAGCTCAGCACAAGCAGAGGCTCAGCTACTGCATGGAAAGCCTGCTTCATCTGACACCGGTGGCACCTGCCTGGCTCAGCAAGGAGGGGCGGCACCGGCACCAGGCTCTGCAGGCTGCTCTGAAACCCGGCAGAGCAGCCGCACCCCCAGTAAGCAACAGACCAAAAGTACCCACTGTCTGAAATAAACCAGGACAACTCAGGAGGCCAAGGTCTGATCAAACCCTTGTGCCCGGACCTCAAGCTGTTCTGGTCTCCCAACCCCTCTTGCTGAGCTACACCAAGAGGACTCGAGGCGAGAAGCCCACCACCCGCTCCGGCTGTCCCGGCGCATGACGCGCAGCCAGGAGGGCCGGCTCGAGCGCCTCGAGCTTCCCCTGGGAGATCAGCATTCCTTCTGCCTTGCTTCGGCTGGGACCCCGGCGCGAGCCACGGCTCCGGACGCACACTCACCCTCTCTGCCGTAGATCCCTGGCCGGGGAGCCGGTCTCCTGGCCTGGAGCGTGGAGGTCCTCAGGGCAGGGCTGGCCACCACCCCGTTGGCAGCCTTGCCGGCCAGCTTCACTCCTCCATCCTGCAGCCTGGCCACCATCTTCCCCACCTCCGCCTCAGCACGCGGGTCAGGCCGGCCCTCGGTGGGGGGACGCCCCGGCTCGTCCCCCCCTGGCCGGGGCGTGGGCAGGCGGCTGCGGTGCAGCGGCTTGGGGGCTTCCGGGCCGACGCCGACACTGCCACTGCCGTTGGGGGTCTGGCCGTGCCGGTCTGCTGCGGAGCCAAGAGGACAGACAGCCATCAGGTTAGGAAGCAGCGTGGAGGCGCGGTGGTCTCTGCCCCGCGGCAGTGCAGAGCTCTCCCCCAGCGCTGTGCGGCTCCTGCGGTACCAAGGGACAAGCATGCTTGCAGCAGGGGATCGACAGACCCTCACCCTGAGCAAAACACAAATAGTGAGCGGCTCACCCAAATGCTGAGGAATAAAGAAAACTGAAGCGACACTGAATATCACAGAATATACTCACGGGTTTCTTTTAAATTTCCAGTACTCTTGCTCAGGAGAAGCTGTGTACCATGCTTTTACGTCCCTCCAAAAATCATTCGTCTCATCCCTCTTGCCGTGCTAGAGACCCAGGCACATGGTGCAGAAGCACGGCTATGAAACTGATTGCACCCTGCAGCCTTGGTGCAGCCAAACGCTAATGCTTCTGCTCCCAGTTTGGAGAAACATTTAAATGCAAGGCCATCTCCAGCTACATGAGCAGTCTTGTGATTTTAAAAAGCAATTTGAATCAATCATGTTTTGCTAGTGCCAAAAAGCACACTTGTAGTATTAAGCCTAAAACATCATCAAAGCTCTGAAAACTGTACCAGAGAAAGACTTTTCATCTCTTTGGTGACAGCTTGCAATGACAATTACAGCAAATCGGGTGCAAAGAGAAACATGACCTTAAATTGACATGCCTTTCAACATGATAGTAAGGGCCTTACCATTTCCTTACAATCAAATGAACTTAACAGCAGAGCTGTACTTGGTCTAGAAAATACTATCATTGGGTCCTGAGAAAGTGCTTCAGTGTTCTTGCTCTGGATGTAAAATCACCAGCAACTGAGCCAGCCCTGCAGACCCTCTTGGGACTGATGCGCTCTGGTGGGACAAGACTCCAGCAGCACACAGCCACCCCCAGCCCGGGCACACTCGCTCCCATCCCACCAACTCTCCTCCTCGGTTGTGTCTCCAGCACTTCACATTTTTGCCTCTGAAGCTGCAAAACCTTTCCACTGGGCTTCTCGTATGTAAGAACAAGTCTTAGTTTAAGTAACGGAGAATGCTACAAGTAACAGAAAAAATAAATCCCCATGGAGTTTGAGTTGTGAGGTGATGCAACCTATGTGTGAGTATTTTTTTCCTTTCCTTTCTCACTGAACAACAGATCTCGCTGTCTGCTGTGTTCATGGCCTGGGAAGTGCAGTCCTGCTATTGTTATCTCCATTGCTCCTGGAAAGTGTTACAAGAAACAGGAGTGGGGAGAGGCAGGTAAGGCACCAGTGACCAGCCGGACTGACCTCCACTTTCTTCCACAGAAGCACCGAAGAAGACGGGTCTTTCCCTCAGAGGACGTTTGGAAATGGTGATGGGTTTGTGTCGCCGGGCAGCCACCCTGGGAGGAGGCACTGGGGGGGCAGTGGTGTCTTCTGGAGGGCCGGAGTAGATCTGTAAAGACAGACACGTTTAGATGACTCTTCCATCCCACCAGGTTGAATGACATCCCCAGAGGCTCGCCTCATTAACCTGGTGTCATTAAAAGGCACCTCGCAGCAGAGTAGGGAGTTCAGAGGTTGAGCCATGCCAGGAGCACAGACCCAGCTCCTGCATGGCAAGTGGCCGCCCGCTGCCTTTGCCAAGGGCTGCCCTGCTCCTCTCTGCTCTCCAGCAGGCACAGAACCCATCTGTGGCCCAAGTCACCTCTGACTGACCCAGGAGGGCTGGAAAAGCCAGGGCTGCTCCAAACCACTCTGACCAGCCACAGCCCATGAGAGCCTCGCAGCCCTTTGCTCCAGCCCTGTGACCCCAGCTCCTAACCAGCGTCTCCAGAGAGGGACAGATGGTGCGCACCAGCCCCTCTCAAGGGTCGGTAGCACTTGGGAAAGCCCGGGCTGCCGAGGCTAGAGAGGGGCTGGAGCAGCGCTGATGCTTTAGTTATGGGTCTACAGACGCATCCTGCCGTGGTCTTTCCTATGGACAGGCTGCCTGCTTTGCACCTTGCACACCCACTGCAGAAACTGCAGTGCTAAACTAATTAACACAGCAAAATCACAAATACAGACAAAATGTGTAGAAACAAATTATCCTGGAGCAGATTAAGGAAGTTTTGAAGCTGACAGTTTCTGAGAAACATCAAGTTTTCCACACCAGCGAGGTGATATAATCTACAGAAAGCACCCAAACAAACCACCACGTTGTTTTAGATTGAACGCTAAAAAACCCTTCAGCTCTTGGCTTACAAGGAAGTATGTGGCTCTGTGAAATTATCTTGGATGAAATACTGGCATAAAAACAAAGCTGCTAAGGAGTTTTATCTCCTTTCCTCACCGGTCATATGGCACCTAATTGGCTGGGTTTAATGTAGAGGTTCTTACTTATGTCAGTGCTTTTTTTAAAAGCTGAAAAAGAATTAAGCTTCCGGGCAGTCTCTTGAAGATCTGAAACACCACATTAAGGACCAAACCCACTGCTTTTGTGTTTTTCGCATGGATATTCATTGAATTTATATCAGGCTTTAAAGAGTGAGTTACAGCAGACGGGGTAGCACAAGTTGCCGAGACTCGAGGCTGCGCTGCCCGTCCTGGTCCCTTCCTGGCTGTCAGCAGGAGACGGCTCAAGTCCAGAGGACAAGAGCTGGTGCCAGACCCACCGATGAGGAGGGTCTCCGCTCCCTCGGTGCATGCTTTGTTATGGAAGAACAATTTTACTGTGTTACCCAGAAAAATTTTAAAATGAAGAAATTTAACATTCTGATTTGATTAAGTACGCTGTTTTCGTAATTCAGACCAAAAGCATATTCCTTCTTCTCCCAGCCAAAGAGCAGTTCTGGGAAATCAAGAAGGGGGATGAGAGAAAAACATGCCCCCACTTTAACCGTCTTGATCCCAAAGACTAGGTAGCATGTACCACGGTGAGGGTGGGCACTGGCAGCTGGGCTCCCCACATCTTCCTTACCTGGGGAGCGCAGGGGCAAGGTCGGACCTGAACTGCACCCAACCTAGTCTGCCCAGGCTTTCACTCAGCAGGCTCAGTATAAATACCATGTGCTGGTACTCCAGCTTTGTTCCTGACTTAGTCTGCCCTACTCTGCACAAAGAGGGGAGGAACAACACATTCAGGGCAAAGACCCAGACCAGCTCCAAACCCCAATCTGGTCATTGAAGCTGCTTTTCTCTCCCGATTCGGTGACACGGCATGGCTGCTGATGCTTAATGCCAACAGGGGCTCTGCCCTTTGCAGGGGCAGTACATTTTTCCCACTCCAGAATACAAGGTCCAGTGAGTCCCCCTACCTGGATTCAGAGGAATTTGCTATGACATTAACAGCCCGTGATATAAAAGCAGCAGCTTATGTATTATTAAAATAGCAAAGGATTAACTGCAGCAGGGCAATTGTTTGGAAATATCAATCTCAATCCTACATATTGACAAGAATCCAATATTATTTTTTAAAGAAAAAGAAGTGTTAAGCTCCCCACGGATGCTTATACAGGTACCACTGAATGCTGTTTTCACAAGATGCTTTTCAACATCTGAAAACCATGCTAAAATCCATGGCAAACTACTCTTTTTAAGATGTGGGTGCAGCCTCTGCTTTGCTTCTGCCTTCTAAATGAAAATCCAAGTTAAACAACCTGAAGGTACAAAGATATTGACAGACACTCATATTTAGAAGGTTTGTACAGTGAAGAAAGTGTTTCCAGAGTGATCAACTTAATTAATTTAACCATGGCATTGAAATATAAGCTGTGGAAACAGTAATTATCCACAAAGACTTCATGAATAGTTACTTTGTCCTTAGAGTCTTCATGCTGCACCATATAAATCATATCCCTCTCCTCTTCTAGACTCATTTAAAGTGTTTGCTCATGTCTGAGCTGAAGATACTTTCAACTCTGATGCTGAACTTACAAACTCAATCTAATAAATGTTACTAACTTAACCTTATCGCTGAAGAAATTAAAAGTAAGCAAAGGGATGTCTGGCTTAATTAAAGTTTTAATTCCAGCTCTTAGAGGTGGCAATGTAAATCGTGTATTGACTCAGTCTGCACTGCAGGCTGTACAAGAGGGGAGGACAGAGGCTCAGTTCTGGAGCAAGTTGTGTGAGGATCCTAACACAAACGATTCACTGTTTTGCTGTGGGAACTTATTAAAAGCATTTGCAGAGACCTACAAAGGAACTGGCATGTGATTTTCACGAGCTTCTTGTGTGGGTACTCAAAAATGTCTGTGAACTCTTTCATCCCATTTCTCTGGTTTCGATCCTCGGAACCACAACCAACTCCCACACCACCCATCTGGTCCCCCTTTGGTTGCTCCAACTCCACATCCACTTTTGCAAGAACCCTGCTCTTTCAGCTTCGTCTTCCTCTTCCTTTCCCAAAAAGGGAGCTTCACTTCCACATGTGTGCTGCCCTGTCTGTTGGGAGCGCTACCCCACCCTCCCTACAGCAAGCAACATCCTTTAAAAGATGCCTTCAAACTTTCCCCTCCTCTAAGACATAAGAGATTGTTTGGACACTTTGTAATGTAAAGTATTATGAAAAGCTGAAGGACCAAACTCAATCTTTCGGACCCAGCACTGTTATCAGGAAAGCAATCTGGTTCCTGGTGTGCTGATCTGAATGCAAATGCTGCTTGAGTTTTTAAATATCAACATATGGCTCTATCATCCTCCAGCCACCCTGAGAACCCTAAGCCATTATATCAGGTATCACGAGGAGAAAGCGCTAATACAGAAGACAGTGGAATATTCTGCTTTCCATCAGGAGACAAAACACCACACAACAAAAAGCTGTTGTCTACATGTGAATCTTCAGCACCCACCACAGCAGACTAATCCAGGCTGTGCATTTAGGCAATGCTCTTGGACAAAAATATTCAGCAAAGATCCCATGAAAGCCAAACACTGCTTGAGCCCTCGCCAGGGTTCACTGCCCTGTGCAGAGCACTGCCCCAACACAAGGGGCACTGGCTGCCTGCTGAAGTCTTCTCTGACAGCTCCACCCCAGGCAGCAGCTCCCCTCCCCAGACTTGCCCACACTTGGATCTGAACAGATTGTATACACAGCTGAATTATTTTCATCAACCCTTCAATACATGTCTGCTTTGGGGTTTCTTCCCCTGTATTAATAGTTGTATAGTGTCTCATCTTGGACTGTGCCTCTTGAAACCCGTTATGCTCTGGTCTAGCTCCTGTCTTCAGCTAAGGAAAGTGTAAGGTCCAGGTGTGGAATAGGTTTTTTTCCAATAAAAATTCCTCCTCTTTAAACAGAAAAGCAAAAATCCCTGGACTCAGGCTTTCCTTCAGAACTAGCTAAAGGCAACAGTGAGGAACATATCTGCTACACTTTTTGTTTCCTTATGAAGCATTTCAGAACAGTATATTATATAAAAAAAAAACCAGTCCCTAAGGAGACTCCAGGAAAAGGAGCCAGAGCTCTACATCGTTGCCACAGCAACAGTTTGCACAAACATGATGGAGCAGCCAGGAGCTGCATGGAGGCATTCCCAGTGCTGCCACCTGTACCTTCCCAAAGTGCTCGATGAGGATCTCAACTACTATGTTTTGGAACTTGATGTTCATCATCGCTGCCACGGTGTCCTCCTGTGCTCGCATGAGGGTAGGTCCAAATATCACTCCCATGTTAGACGGTGACATCAGATTCTCTCGGCTGTGCTCACATATGCTGTGGAGAGGAGGGATAAAAGGAATAAGTTTTGGTTTGGTTTGGTTTTTTCCAAACAGATCTTATTCCAAGCAATGGAAAAGGATACAGTTAGAATCAGTCATTCAATTTTCTTCATTTTGTTTCAGCAGAATTTGTTTCCCAACCCTACCAGAGACAAAACATGCCTCTAGTCATGACATGCACGTTTGGCTAGGACAACTGTTTGGGAGAGCTACATGCTGGCGGCATTTTTATTTGATCCCTTCCCACTCCTAGCTCCTCTTTTAACCCTGCAATCAAAAGTCATCTGTGCAATACATACGCAAAAGGAATCATGTCGATTGGAATACCCTATTTATCCAGAACTGACTTTGGGCTTTAATTTTTCCTCTCCCTGAAGGAGGAGGACCGAATGCAGGGAGCACACTTTGGAGGTTTTAAGTAAATCTCTACACAGCATCTTCTTTCTGAAAGAACCACCATTTTCACAGAACAGAGCTCTCTCTGCCCAGCAGCCTTCAAGCTTTGGAGGACCGTGCAAGCGTGTGGAGCAGCACCAACTGTTGACTGAAGTACTAACCACCTAGGTGGGCACTACCTGTTTCCAGAAGCAGACCAGAGGAGAGAGACTCTGATGCTGACACATAATGAATTCTGAGTTTGCCCTGTAGCTCTGGTGTTAAAGGCGTTTATGTCAGCATAAAGGGGAGAGGAAACAGAATTTAAGCGTAAGCACTTTAAGGAATAAACACAGTGACCACAAGTACAGTGTTAGCTTCATCGGACTGCATGCCAGTCACTCAGCTCTGCCACTTATGCAGAGGTTTCTAAGAACCACACAAACATGTGCCTGAAAGGCTGGAACCGGATGGCAGGCAGGATCCCCCAGCCAGCCCTCCTCGCCCCAAAGAGAGGGCATGGCACTGGTGGCCAAGCACTTGCCTTGAGTATCAGGACATGACAATCCCAGATCAGCCCTGCTTATTTCTGGAACAGTCCAGTTTTGAAAACGACTTCTCCAAAGGTCCAAAGCAACCCCTGTCATACAAAAGCCATTGCTTCTGCAAGCCCTGGTCCTTCCTGACCTGCACACAGATTGCTCCCTTGCTTTTGAGCTTCAACATGACTCACCACAAGCCTCTCTCCCTGCTGTGCCCCTGCTCCTCCCTGGGGTGGAGAGGGCAGAGCTTCCACACTGAGCCTTCACATTCGGTGTGACAAGGAGGCAGGAAAATACCCATTTCCCAATGCAGTGCTGGTGCTATTATCATCAAGTAACAGACTTGCAGTGGCTCACCGGTGGAAGCAGCATGGCTCAGTGCCACCAAGCATCCAACATGCCTGTATGAGAGCAGAGACTGACACACTCAAGCCTTCGTGCTGCTCTAAGGGCTCAGGACATTGAATCCATAGAGCAGCACATAAAACCAAAGCATGCTTCACGTTCAGCCCATAGGCACAGGTCCTACAGCCATTCCCAAACCCGACAACTAATGTTCTTTTTAACTGGAGTGAGAGGTGACAATTTATAGCTCTGCTGTCAGAGGGTATTTTAATTTTAAAATTATTTCCTGCTTGGTACTTGTCAGAAAGGGGATGAACATGGCAATTAGAAAGAGAAGCATCACTTAATGCAGTGGGTAGCAAGGATAATCATACCATTTGTGCAGTCAAAACGTAAATTCCTAGGGGGACTGTGGTGGATACAATTTTGCAAACCTGCCACAAAAAAAGACTTGTTCTGCTGACTCCATTATTCCCCTTACTTTGGCTTTAGAGAAAAATGTCTGCTTACTTGACGAGGTGTTGTATGAGGAGCTCTAACATCTCTCTGTTCTTGTCAGGTAGTTTATAGACGAGCGCGTGAATGGCTCCCAGTCTGTAATCCAGGTTCTCAGATTCTGCAAAGAAGTAACACAAAGAAAAGTTTGTGCCCACCACTTTCAAAGTATATACATAAGAGAAAGATAAAACCAAAGAAAATCTGTGGGAGCTGTTCCTTCTGCAACATAGGGCTGGCTGGCCAAACCTGGCGAAGGGAAGCAGAAGGAAAGTGAGATTACATAGCAACAGGGTAATCATTGTGAGAAACAAAATGAAGTGGAAAGTGGGAGAAATGAAGCTTGAAAGGGAGCTGAGGGTCACACTCTGCCTCTGAGCATGGTTGGGGAAACAGGCTGGGCATGGCCGGGTATTCCCCTTCGCACCCTTGCCCCACACACCAGCACACCTGGGGAACACATGGCCGCTCTGCTGGGTATCTTATCAGCCCAGATAGCTGTAACACTGAACCACATGGTGAAATGTCCTGCAGGGAAAAAAAATTGAGTCCCTGACCCAAAGAGGTCACCCTTAGAAGCATAAATAATCAAGAAACAATAAAATACTCAGTGTGAAAAGAATAGGGTGGGATCTTGGTAGCTGGGAAGCTTAATGGTTCAAGTTTCTGAGAGAGGGTAGGGGAGGGATTATGATTTTGCACATACCCAGCCATCATTGGTTTAACCAGTTCTGAAACTAATAAATCTTGGTCTTGAGCACAATCTGTAGGTGGTGGAAAATTTTCATTTCCAAGAAAGAAGTGTTATTAATTCTCTAGACGTCCAAACATAGGACAAGCAGGCACTCTCCTACCCTCCCGTTGACTTCAAGGAGGCATGGGGGTGTTAAGGATACTTTAATCCAAAGTGTTTGAGTGTGCCACAAATTTCCAAATGCCAGTACTCTCATGCTGAGGGACATGATCAACTCCTTGTATCCATGTAGTCTCCATCTCAGCATGCTGGCTCTTAACATGCTCTGAGGATGCAGCCAGTTCAGAACTATTATGGCTTATTTGAAATGGCCATAACAACAGGACCGCTGAGGACTAGCCGGTTTAGCACAGGCAATGCCCTGTCAGTATACCCATGTTACTTGGCTAATCTCTGTTAATACTGGCTGTGGCTTAGTCCCAAGAGCTACAGCAGAAAAATGTCTTTCATGTATTGGTAGACACTTTGGATTCAACATCCCAGAACAAATTTCATGACCTAACGGAAGCACCTATCTATCTGTATGGCAACAGCACATCCCATTCCCTCACAGGTTTTAAAATAAATATATTAATAGTATCGAGAAACAATTCTTCTGGGACACTTGTGCTGATTTCAGGTTAGTTGACATCCCCTGGCTCTCCAGACCCTCTGAGAGCATGAAACCCTGTTAGAGGGAAGAGTACTGCAATAGCAAAGGAAGGAAGGGAAGAAACACCACCACCTCCCTTGCACAATTAAGCACTCAAAAGAGAGGTTCACTGCTCTTTCTACAGAGGGAAGCAGCTGGACACCCCAGTGTTGGGCTGGCAGAGCTCTGTCAAGTGATTTTGATGTCCACTGGTTGGGGAGGGCAGGGCTAGGGACCATCAGCAAGGCAGCTGAAGGACTTACTGGCAGCCAGGACCAACTCTTTGTGGAGCTTGTACGTCATGACGGGTTCAGACAGGTTCCTGCAATAACCAGAAAGAAAACTAAGCTCTGGCAGGGCAGCACAACCCACTCATGACTGATCTTGAAGGACTGATGGGCAAACCTGCTTGCCCTCCAGTACCACCGGTTCCCAGTGGCATCTCCCCCCAGCCAGTATTATTTAAACAGCTTTCCCCATGGGATATGGGGTTTCTACAACAGGTATATTTCTCAAAAAATGATACAAAATTAAAAAATCCATTCCTCTTCCCAAAGCCTTTGTCACTTCTTTGCCCTTTCCAACAGCCAGCTGTTAACATCTGGCAGTTCAATCCGCTTTTCACCTGGATCAGCCCCGAGCTCCTTTGCCCAGTTGGGGCAGGTGGGATCTGCAGTGCTACCTGAGATAAAACTTCAGTGAGCTGGTAATCGTCTTGATGTCCCAATCGCCACTTTGGAGATCCACGTCCCCTGGACATTTTGGATCTGGAGGAAGAACAAAATGGCTTTAAAATAAGGCCCATTTGAGGTTGTTAATAGCTAGCACACTCTCGGGGAGGGTATCCTCTCGAGATGAATGAAGCCACAGCAGCACATGAGGAAAGCTCCTGATTCTCATGGTTGGGAAAAGCAGAACGGTACCAGCATTAGTATTTTAGAAAAGCTGAGGAGCAGTGCTAACTAGGGACAAAAGAAGCAGCAGAAGGTAACATTTAAGCAGTGGTGAAAAGTTAGTGAGACCATATTCTCTATAGTTTGTTTTTTCCCAGCATAGCCAAGACTGGCAGAAACGACACATTTCAACAGATCCAAGATAAGCTTTCCGATATCCAAAGTAATCTAAGTGTCCAGCTCCAATCCCTCCTTCGCAGCTACTCCCCTGAAGGCTATTCTGGGAACACTCCCTCTTGCTGCACAGAGAGGAGGGAGCTCAGAGGAGGCGGCACAACAGCATGGAAGTACACTTTGCTCCTGCCTACCCTTACCGAACAACCACATCACTTCTGCAGTATGACGAAGTAAAGGACATAGTTGGAGGATGGGGGGCAGCTGGACTAAAGAAATAAACTGCATGATTTATTTTAAAAAAGAAACAGGACTAGAGACAAAACAAGCAAACAAACAAACAAATCTATCTTCTTACTGAAGTTCAGGATGAAATCCTTCTGCAGCAGTTATTTCTGTGTTGTTGGACTTTCCATCATGAGTTCATACACAGTGGGGTGGCCAAGTGGTCAACCAGACCAATGCATATAAATAAAATGAAAAGCCACTCACTGGTGGGGTTCAGAGGAGAAAACCGCAGAGCTATTCATTGGGAGGGTGAGAATCAAGAAGCAATAGAAACTTAGGCTAAGTAATTAGTCATCATGCAAGCGTAACTGGACAGCTGTCTGAAGCTGTGGCTCTGTGGGAATTGGGTACAGCTATATGTCAGCACAAACCAGCTGTTTTAATAAACAATAGTAAAAACAATAGTAAACAATAGTAAAAAACAATATTAAAAGCGTGCGAATACTACATTAATATCAGATGTCAGCTGGAGTAAGGCCGAGGCACACGGGTATCAAGGTAAATGTACCTCCTGCCCCATGCTCCAGCCCCTCGGGCAGGGACAGTGAGAACGGCTCAGCCTTTAGGCATGTGGGAGACCAACCCTTGGGGCTCACCTAAGGGGCTCACAGCCTGCCCCGGCCCATGCGTGCCATGGGGCAGGGGCACGATGGCCTCAGCCAGATCCCAGCCTGGGAGCAACGCTGCTGAGCCCCACAACCTGCTGCAGGGAGTTTAACCGTTTCTCGTACAAAGACTACCCACCAATTCCCATGCTTGTATGAAACACAAGGTTCAGTGCACAGAAAGGCTTACAGCAGAAATGTATACATTGACTTATTAACGTATACATTGCAGAGTGAGGTATCCCAGTCCTTCCAGGTGAAAACCTTAAACCAGGGTAACAGCCTCTCTGCAGAGGCCACCTTCCCAGTATAGCTCTCCATGATACCCCACCGAGGAAAAGGGTCCCCCTGAGCTCGTTCAGGTCTGGTTCTCATTTGCACTGCCTAAATAAGAACGGGGACACAGGCTGTTACCAAAGGAAAGGAGTCATGATGGTTGGGTAAGCAATGATTCTTGCTGTTGCTCGACTGTCGGGTGATGCTGGCAAACCCATGCCACATGTGCCCGACTGTGCGAGCAGCCCCGCTGTGCACAGCCCTCCGCTGCTGCTGCGGCTCAACCAGGAGCTTCTGCGGCCCCAGGCTGGGAGGTGCTGGCTGCGCAGGCAGCAGAGGAGAGGGCGAGGGCTCGTCTCTCCTTGGCCAACATCCTGCACTCCAGGCTTGTGGCAGGAATGTGTCCCCACCACATGACTCCAAAATGCCTGGATATTTTTAGCACACAATGGGAGAAGGCTTGTCCCCGCTGCTCCAGGGTCACTGCCTTGCTTTATGTCACTTAACGTAAAATGCAGGTTGCACCACCAATAAATAAATGCAGTTTAAAGGGAGAGGCACTAGAGCAGGTTGCAGAAAAAAGCCCAGAAAAGAAGGGGAAGATGTGCCTCGGAGGAGCCACAGGGACCAAAAACCATGGTGGACATTTCTCACTGTGAAACCCGATCCTCTCTGTCCCTCTTAAGCAATATAAAAACAGGACAATCTAGTTGCGCAGAATAATTAATTCTTACCAAAAAAGGCATTCAGCAACTTCTGCACCTGAATATTGCTGCCAACAGTCCGGTAGACACCCTCTGTAGTAATCCCTAAGCAGGAGAAAGCCAAAGAGCGTTAGCCAAGGGGCTTTCCCAGCTGGAGGGAAGTCCAAAAGCCCCATCTAGTGGAACTCCTCTCCCAGCTATCGGGGTGCTGGCTCCGCCGAAAAGCTTCTGCCCCAGGAACCACCCGGACTCTGTCCCCCCGCACCCCGGGCTGCCCCGCAGTAAAGGGGCTGCTGCTGCTGCCAGCGGCCGGCTCTGCTGGCAGAGGGCAGGAGCTCCGCTCGCCCACGGCGGGCACGGCCACCAGCGCAGCCGGGACACGTACCTTCTGCTGGGATCATGCCACGGTCAGGGAAGCACAGCCAACGCGTGGAATACGCGCTCGAGCTGGCAAAGCCCTACCTGCCTAAAGATGCCATTTCTGGAAACAGTGCTGCTTTAATACTAATTTGTTCAAATTGTCACAGAAGGCAAATGCGTTTCAGCAGATTCTTCGAAAATATTAGCCGATGTTAGGAAAGACAGAACTGCTGTATTTGCCTGGCTACGTGAGGAGGGTCTCATTACCCTGCTCCTCCCCACTTCAGCAGGGCTGGGCTGACCACATCCCCCAAAGGCTCTGGATATGAAACCAGCCACCTTTCCCTGCGGCAGCCAGGTGATCCAGCTGTTCTGGAGCGATTTATCTTCATCCTAGAGCCCACGCTAGCAACGTACACTGGTACAGGCTGGGCGTTTTACGAAAGACCAGAGGGTGAGCTATCATCCATCAGCCTGCTTCTGTCCTGCTGCTTTTAACAAAATGGGTCTGAATAACCCTATATCCCAGTTAACCCCTGCCTGTCCCCCAAGTACAGAGAGACTTCCAGAGCTGTTCTCCTTCTGCCTAACAATGAGTTTTCTCAGAGTCAAAGATGAGAAACCGATGAATGAAAACAGCATAAAGATGGAAATTCAATCCTAACTGATTTGGTATAACATCTGGACCACGCAGGATTTCTGCTCCTCTGACACACGTTCTTCAGTTAAAAGTCAAAGTCCCATTTCATTGACTAACAACACTATACTGCAGAAAATACAATATAATTCAAGGCCACGGGAAGCAACACCAGGATGGCGGCACCTCCTGATGCCAGGGTGGGCACCTTACCTTTTGTTTCCACTGCGTTGATGCACTTGCGTACAAACTTGAAGCCAACCTCGTTCAGTTCCACTGTTTCAAACAAGGGAAGAAGGGTTAGCTGCCTGAGCACCAGCACGCAGCTCCCCATGGAAAACTACTGGGAAGGCCCCATACCCAGACCCTGCTCGGCACACAAAGCTGCAGTGCCTCAGCGCACAGCCTGGTTCACACATGCATCTGCACCATGTACATCCCTCCATGAAAACACAGGCATTCTTTAAATCCTGACAAGGAATTATTAGTTCCATATGTTCTCCCTTTTTCCTTGAGTCTATTTTGAGTTACAGCATTGCTCCCTACCCACTTTCTGTCTTTAATAATAAAAGTGTAAATCAGAGTCCCGCCACATGTGAATTTGTGTCTGATAAGGAGTTGATTAATTGTTTCCAGAGCACTGCAAGATCTGCAGTTAAGGCTTTTCCACATCATAGGATCATATAATTTCTGCTTATCTACTTGAGTAGATTAAAAAGCAAAAACAATACTGCTTGATATGCTGAGTAAAGCAGAACACAGTTTTTGTTCCAGCCAATTAACCACTGCCTATCTCTGTGCGTGTCTTGCAAGCATCATAAAGCAGGTAGAAAGACAGGATTTTTTTCTATACACATATTTCAACTTCTGTAATCACACCACTACTTCTGCTATTTTTTCTGGGATATCTGGAAGGATTGTCCAAGTTATAATGCAAAATATCTTTCTGTTCAGTGCTAACATTTATATTGAATTTCTCCTAAACGACCATGCTGTTGTTGGGTTTGGTTTGGTTTGTGTTGGTTTTTTTTTGTTTTGTTTTGTTTTTTTTTAACTTAAACCAACATGCTGCTTGAAAACACAGCCACAAGACACATCTGGACCAACTCCAGTCACAGCACAGGCCATGTTGGTGAATCCTACGAAATCACTGTATTTTCAGCAAGTTGTTTATAATGATTCTCTTTTCTCTGAGCAACAGCGACAAAAAGGTCAGATATATCTTAGCTCTAACACAGGAATGAGTAAAGACACCATTAAGCACAGATCGTATAATACGACTTGAAGTCTAACTCTAATCTATTAAAAATAGAGCGTATTTACTTTTGTGAAACACTGAGTCGCATTCTTTCCAGGCGTGTAATGCAAACACAGTCAAACAACAGGTTTCATGCTTACGCCTCTGTTGATGCTACCTCTATGCTCATTAAAGTCAGCTAATTAAAGTGCCTATAAAAGTAAGCTCTAAGATACAGAATGCAAGTTTCCACTCAGCTAACGAAGCCTCAGCGCCTTCCATAGCGGCATGCTCAGCCACTGCTGAGTAATGGGCTGTAAAAGGGGAAAGGCAAAGGGGCAGCAGCCTGCCCTGGGGCAGCGGGTAGGGTACACCCCACTTGTGAAAGGGGAGACACAGGACAAGGTGGTGGGATGGGAGCTCCAGGGAACTAAATGCCACCTCTATTTTCCTATTACAATCTTTGCGAAGGGAAATGTCTTCAAAATCTCTCACTGATCTTTTTTCCCCTCTGTTATTTGGAGGTTTAGAGGTGCAAATTGAACTTCGCATCCTGCTAGTTCTGGTTAAATAAAAACTGCACATTGTGATCGATAACTTTTACCATTTGCAACTCATTCTTATCTGGCCTCAGTATCAGACACTGTGATGAAAAGGAAAGAAGTTACACTGCTGCCACAGAGGGAATACACAGCCTATTCAGCAGAGATCGATGATGAGTGTATCTGCAAGGAAATATACTGCCCAACCTCCAGACAGCTTCAACAGCTCAGAGGAACAGCAGCAGAAATGACTCACTCTCTTCCTGTTTCGTGATGGGACTGTGGTAGATCTGGAAAAAGGGAGGGAATGGAGAAGGAAGAAACAAAAACATAATGCAACGTGATTCGATATTTATTTTCAAAAGAAAATGCAACATCCCATAAATCACCCAAAGCCAATCACAAACAGTACGACAATGTCTCAAAGAAACGTCATTTTATAATTAAGCAAGATACCATTATCTACACAATAAATGAGTTTTTGCCAACTTCCTACATTTCACTGGAGCACCTATTTCTAGGAAAGAGGTCTCCTAAAAACTGAACAGGAAACTTTGTTTGTCCTCTAGGTGCCCTGTAAAAATGGCAGCTGGACAGTCTGGCACACAGGGGTTGTGGTTTTTTTGTTTGTTTGCTTGCTCTTAAAAATTGAAGTGTCAAGACAGTCCTTCATCCCATACAAACATAAATTTTGTATTTTTTTATCAATAATAAACAGCAGGTAACATTCTTGATAGAAAATCAAAAATCCTTTATACATAATAACACATCATGTAAACCAAGTAAGCCCCAGGCATCCCTTAAGTGACTGGCTGTCCAACGCAAGCACACTGACCCTCTCCGCACTATCCCATGTCCTTTCTTGTTTAAACGAGTAGGGGAAAAGTGCTGTGGCAGATGCCCATGTCCCACCTTCCTGCTCCCACATCCCACCTCTGCATCAGCAGCCACACAGCCCTGAGCAGGTCAGCAAGTGCACTCACTGCCAACCCTCTTCACCAAGCCCACTGAGGGAAAGGCAGCTCTCCAAAGGCAAGGGGAGCTGCCAGAAATGGGTTTTCCCGCACTATAAATACATCATGCTGTCCATTTAGAGGAAATTCAGTAAAATGCAGGAGTCTGTGCTTTGCTTAGACTGAAGGAAGGGAACACCAACAGGCACAGAAAGGCAGGTGAACACTGGTGCAGGGTGGCTGCTCCCGTGGGCCAGACTTTCCAAATGCTGCTCAGAGCAGGGACAGACAAAAAAATCACCTCCTGCAGACTGGAGAGCGATTTGTGAGCAACAGAAATGTGGAACATTCCAGACCCAGTAAGGCCACAGTCCTTAGGCAGTCTGGCACAACTAAGGAACATAGCAGAGCTTTAAAAGGGGAAAACAAAATCCCCATTGCAAGCTGTGCCACGAGCAGAACAGCATTAAGCCCCATTTCAGATGTGCAGTGGCTCAACCGATGCCTGAATTACGGGTACACCTCGCTGAACAGCAGCGAGGTGACAGCTGCAAAAAGGAACTCGCCAGCGGCTGTGTCACTGGTCTTCCCCAGGATCTGCCGGCAGAGGACACTGCTAGGCAGCATATTTACAGCTAGGCAGCAGCTCCTTGAACACTTACGGGCTCCTTCCCGTCCATGGCTTCCATCCACAGCCTTCGATTAGCTTCCGAGAGTGCTTGCAGCGTGATGGTCCCAGACCTGCACAGAGTTCACCCAGGGACAGGCAGGAAAATGAAGCAAAAGTTGTTTTTAATAAAAAGCAAAGAGCAATTTCATCCAGGTTTGCAGGGTTTGGAGGTCATTTGAATACTAAGCATCTCACCTTTCATTAGTTTCAATGTCAAAACAAAACCTTTTGTCTATAGAGTCAGTCTTTCTCCTTACACAGGATTTCAGTGTCAGGTCTAAGGTACCCTAGGAGAGAATATGAAAACCGACATTAGAGGAAAGAAACACAGGAGAGGATTTCGGGTTCCTCAGCACCCTTAGGCTGCAGCCCAGCAGGGCACTGCCCATAAAGCACCAGGGTCCCAGCGTACCAGGAGCACAGACAGTCCTTCCCATTCTCAACAAAGACAGACATCAAAGGCTTTGTGAGACAGGCTTCCCCTCCTCAGCCACAAAATGTTCTAGACTTCATGGCACTACCCCGCAAACAAGTGCTAAATATCTCAGCAACAAGCAATATGCCCCTGCAGAGTAGGAACGCTGCTATAAACAAACCTCATGAGGCAGTCACTTGGTCTCTGAGGCCAGGACCATGCTTGTCTGTTATCTGACACAGCTAGGTCCTAATTTTTATCAGGGCTGATCAGCACTACCGATCATCCATAGCATTCATGGTCCAAACAGCTTTACACAAAATACCTTGTAGAAAAGGAACGTTAACTGACCAAATCTAGAGTAAATGCACTCTGAAGAGAGGCCAGCACTGCAGTGCTGAGCTCTGGCCTTTTGCGTTCATACCCCTGTACTCCACAGCAGAGTCAATTTGTAATGTGATTGTGAGATCTCCACGACTTTGGACAAACTCTGAAGAGACATACAGGAGACCTTACAACCAACCAGACCCTAGGGTTGAGCGTGCAATCCTGGAATGCGTTAATCACCTTGACCGTCACTGCCACTGCATCTGCAAGACCTCTGACAGAAGCAGATGCAGAACAGCCCAGCAGCAAGGACAGCCACCTCCAGGATTACAGCCGGCTTACACTCCGTGATGATAATCTTCTGGCTGTTTTGTGTGTATGCTGGTTGTTTGGGGGTTTTAAGAGCACTGCTTATAATTGTGGCATTTGAAGTTGCGTGGCCAGCTGCAACCTGAAGGTGCAGACTACCAGAGCGCAAGAGTTTGGGAAGGGGACTAATTTACATTTTTGCAAGCCCCTACCTGCATTAATTGGCCTTATTAGACATGTTTACAGCAGAAATGAAAATAGATCTCTCCAGTCAATAGTTTGGACATTACTTTGCCAAGGTCTCTGCCAAGGGCTTCCAAAAAATACATTTTATTTTATTGCTGCAGTGTGCAGAGGGCTGCCAAAGAACAGACCATGAGATCACGAACTGGAGAACAGCACGCCTGACTGGGAAGTCCCCGGGGGACATCGCTCCATGGCAGAGGAGGGCGGTTGGACTCAGCTGGACGCACTTGCTGTACTCTGTCATCCACGCCTGCATCCTACCCCTCCTCTGTCACGCTGAGGAACTGCAGGGAACTCCCAGACACACTGGTAAAAAACATTTTGTGAAAGAAGCAGTTCCCCAAATTGTTGCCTTATTGCAGTTTAGAGCTACAACCACTGCCCTCTCCTCCTCTCCTAACACCGGTCCCACCCACACGTAACCAGTTTTGAGAACAGAATTCAAAATCAAAAAACAGTGACTGTGTGAACATGCAAAGGCAGAGAAATACTGCTTTTGGAAACACTCATCTAATAACTTGAGTAATTCAAGCACTTGCAATCACTGCCAGAGGGCTATGTGCAAACTAGGCTGCAGGTTCACCACCCATTTGCATGGATAAATATAAAAATTAGCTTGTCTAGAAAAGGCAGAAATTCCACACTAGACCAAACTCGCAAGTCACCACTGTCTGAATAACGCTTATGTTACACGAACCCGTGTCTCCACTGCCAAACCCTGCAGGGCTTCAGGTCACTTGGGCGAGAGGGAGGTGAAACTTCTCTTCACAGAGGTGCTTCTTTCAGGTCGCACCAAACCACCCGCCTGTGTGGCCAGGCAGGGAGGGGACATGAAACCCACCCCTTCGCTCCGTGGCCAGGAGCCCTTCCACAGCTGCAGCCACAGCACTGGGACCAGCCCACTGCCGGCGTGTCTTAAGGACTGGTGCTGCCAGACAACTGCTCCCGACAGCAGGGCTGGCCTGTACTGCCCTGGACGTGGCACTTGTACGTCTATTTGCTTACAGAAAGAGATGACGCGGGTGGATTGAAGGTGAGACCTGATGGCTGGGTCAATGTTTGCAGACTTCCCTCCAAGAAACCAACTTACTTGCTTAGCCCCAGGCTTCTGGTCCATAGGCGTCATCCGTAAGGTTTTTGCCTCTTTTTCATACTGGCAGTAATATTTCACCCAGGAGATGCCCAGCGCCCCTGTAGAAACACATGGGAAGCCGGTGTCAGAGACAGCACCATAGCTGGATGCAGCCGGCAAGGCATGGCTGGCATTTCCCACATGTCCGCGCTTCTCTGGGGATGGACAGTGCCGGCCCCACAGGGACACCTCCCTGGCGAGAGCCAGGAGGAGCAGGAGGAGGAGGAGAGGAGCGCAGGGCGGCAGCCGCCTCCAGCACCCTTCCAAAACACTGCTGGTGAAAGGGCGTTTGTGGGACTTTGGTGGCAAGCCAAGCTGGTTTGGCCAAGTCCAGCCAAGACCTACACTGGCAGGATCCTATGTGTCTTGAATGCTTGTTTCATACAGACACCACTATTTTTTCCTGTTGATGAAAACTTAGCAGTAAAGACAACACCATCTTTAAAACACTCTGAAGTTCCTATTTATATCACACTAGATTTATTGTCACTTTTCTTTGTTGTCTTACCTGAACCCCTTTATATGAAATACTTCAACTGATACTTTTTCTGTAATTTTTTTTTTTTAAGTTGCAGTGTCAGGAGGAACAACTCTCTTCATACTTGATTTATAGGGGAAACAAATAGAGGCAGCAAACAGTCATTGGCATGCAGGAATGTGCAACATTTGTCTGTGGTCTAAAATTACTGTCTATGTGTTTTCTTTTAAAAGCAGGATAAACATACGTACAAATACATCTATAAATACATTTGTACACAAAATCCAAAAATTAACTGCTCACAAAGTTGTCTGTAGACTCAGAGGCCACAGCTCTGTGTACAGGCTTTTGTCCCCTGAGTATTCATGCTTGCATGGCCATGGAAAGCTACAGTGAGTATTTGTAAAAGACTGAATTTGGTTTGATTTGATTCTGCACAGAATCACAACAAGTTTCACTCTCAGCAGCTTAACTCTCATTGCTGGTTAACACTTCAGCTGAGCTCAGATGCCCTCGAGATGCTGCGAGAGGGAAGCTGGGCAGGACACCAGATTCGTTCTGATAAAACGCAGCCAAGGTGCAATCTGCCAGAGCACCGGTCTCTCCAGTGCTACGAAGGAGTAATAAATCTCATCTAATTTGAGCACAGGGCAATTAGCTCCTTGCTTACATGGCTCATGTAACCCGGAGAAAGCTCTGTGCCACCACTGAGAAAGCTGGCAGCTAAAGTTGCCAGTGATTCCCCAGGCACTGGCAGGCGGTGACACCCCGTGCAGCACAGCCCACAGCAATGCCACAGCTAAAGCTGGCCTAGCCATGGGAGCTGAGCGCAGCCCATGCCGCAGGGCTATAAGCAGGGCAGCCCAGGCTCACGCGTTCTTTAGTGCATTCAGGTGAATATAAAAGCCATTACATTTCTCCTGAGTGTAGAGATAGCCCTCAATGGTTGGCTGCCCAGGTAGCTTGCAGGTTAGAGGGGCTTCCTTCATCCTCTTCTTCAGGTCTTCCAGCTCCTCCCGCGTGCTGGAAAAATGATTCCTTGTCTGTTGAGAGAAAACAAAAAGAAGCGCATTTGAACATGAGCAAAGAACGAGCTTCAGGTATTCCTGGTCAAATTTTAGGTGCTCTGGCAGAAACAAATCGGTCCCCAATGTACAAAATGCAGAAGCCACTCCACAAACTCACAGGAAAACTCCAGCCATAAGAACATGGGGCACTTAAAGATGATTGAAAAGACAAGGTTTAACATACCGTGCATGGCAACGGTGCTGACGAGTCATGACTGGGAGGCCACCTGTTCTTTCAATAAAAGAAACTTAGCACATTTTAAGGCTAGGTGGAGCAGAAGGAAGCACTTGAACTCCACACCATTGTTTAGGTAACAGGTGTGTTCTCCTACAAAACTAAGGCATTGATTTCTCAAAAGATCATGCTACATGGCTTGGCATGAAATAATTTTTAAAGAGTCACGTCAACACAGGGTACAAAATCAAGGCATTTTTATAGAACACCACTTAGATCAATTAATGCGCCAGCAGCAAACTCAGCTTGGCACAGATTTATGGCTGTTGTTCCACAGAAACAAGGGCCAGCCATGAAAGACTGAGAATAAAAGAAATGGGACACAGATATTTTATTCCATGTATGCTTAGCCAGCAGAAGAGCTTACCAAAGTATGTAGTAAGCTGATACCATTAAGATCAAGATTGGGGGCCTTATTAGAAGACGTGTACAATTTCAATCTCATGAAATTGGAAGAAATTCTCAGCTTGTTTATGCACAAGGTTAAATGATACAATTGCAATAGCCCCTTCTAGGGAGAGAAAAACACTGTAGTAGCACCTGCAGATTCTCTTGTGCAGGATAGGAGAAAATACATGTGAACTGAGAAGGAAATAACTTTATCTGTACCTCCCACAATGCAAACATGGACAGTTTGTTTTGCATGGAAAAACATCGCCACCAGAGGCGTTTAAATACAAATGAGAACAGAAGTCACATGCAAAAAATACTTCAGCTGGGCAGGAACTCACATTCTGCAGGCTGAGCTGAAGCTGCTGTTTGTAAGGGAGGAAATCCTGTGTGAGCTCAACTGTCAGGTTGTTGTAAGTAAAGAGGCTGTGGAGAAAAGCCAGCACCTGCAAAGGAGGGAAAAGACACAGATTAAACTTCTCTTCTATATTTCTAATCAGAGGAAAGATAGATAGGAAGTGAGGTTTCAGAAATTACATATAAAAATTATTTTTTTTCTTACAGTTTTGGAGTGATGCAAGTCTTAGTATGACTTATCCACCACAATGTCCCTAAAGCCCAGGTCTACCACCCACACATCTGTCTTAATAAAACACACCCGAAATGAAAGACCCTGCTGGGACAACAAGAGTAGATCTGCAGACTGCTTGTCCACGAGACCTACATGATCCCACGCTCAACCGCATCCGGCGCCAGGGCAGAGCCACCCACTCAGGGCAGGGTCCCTGTACTGGTACCACTGCAGCCCGTGCCGTGACAGGCAAGTGGACCAGGTAACAACTCTCTCCCTCTGAAGACAACCAACGCTTACTAAACACAAAGTGTCCAAGATAATTCAAAACAAGACCTCTAGCTACCTACAGCGTCCAGCCGGTTCCTCAAGATCAACTTACAGACATGAGAAACAAGTCCGTGGCTTCATGGTGTGCCAGCAAACACCACTAAGGCTATTAAGCTGCAGCAATCCAAGTGTGCAAGGTTAACTCCTGCTCTATCACAAGGCTCCCCAGGACTGAATCCAACCTGGTAACTCATCCCTTCCTCTGACTGTCAGCCAGTCAGCATATCTGAGCATCAAACAACAAGGCCTGAAAGAAAAGGAAGCTCCTACCGGTTCAACAATACTGAATTTCTTGCTTTCTTGCACCTCCTGGATCTGGTACACATACTCGAGGGAGGACTCAAAGAAATTGTGTCTCTCTTTGTCAACCTGAAGGTCAGCCTGGAAGAAAGAGCGAGAGGTGAAAAAAAAAATACATCACATCTAGCTTGACAATATTTGACTAGCATTTGTCTGTCAGCCCATAAATTGTTCTGTCCTCACTTAAGAAAATGCCGGCCAAAGGTATCCACCCCATGTTTTGAACACTTTGCACAGAACCAGAAGACTGGAACGCTGACCATTCGTCTCAGGTCTGCCCTTTCCTGGCTCCCTTTCATTTATGGATCCAGAACCTCACCCCATTCTGCAAGGAGAAGGCTTTCCTGAAGTGTATTTGTTATTTTAGCATAAGCTCCTTCTCCACCGGTAGCCCTGCACCAGTGAGGACAGGGCCACTGTCACAATCCTCTTGCCTGACTCCAGCTGTGACCTGAAACCAGCAATTCCAGAGCTGCAGCACCAGGTAGGACAACGTGGCATGCCACGATACCACCGCTTATGCAAATTTTGCCTTGCAAAGATGCTTGTAGGGTGATCTGACAACTGGTTTGACAGATTTGATTTGATCCAGCTACTCTGATGTGGGCTGGAACAGCTGGGGCTTTCCTTTCTTGTTGCAACATGTTTGGCAGCAGCATCAGCTGAAGGGGCATCTCCCCTCCTCTGCCTGCTGCTCACTGCCACGGTGGGCCTGCTGCCACAACCACCCCTGCAAACACCAGGAGCTAGGCAGGAAACTATGCTGGCAAAAATAATATTAACCAGCTATTTTTCAGCCAGATCAGTTCCCCAAGCCAGGTGGAAGAGTGGCCAATCCCCAGCTGTGCCAGTATAACTGGTCACTGTCCTATACTATGAGGGTGAGAACAAGCGATGACAATGCATCAAGCCACTACTACCGTTCAACACAATAAGGAGAACTATGATCTCGATTTCCCTGATCTCACCCAGAGAATCTAGGCTTTAGGCAGATTTAATTGCTTATCAATTTCAACTGGTTACTGAAAGGGATGATTTCCCCCCCCCTTTTTTAAGATCCAGCATAGCTGGTGGTGTTGCTTCTGGACCCAACTCTGAAGAAAACTCCATACACACCTCCTGTAATTGGGATTCCTTCTTTTTGGAAGACAAATGCAAATGGCGATCCAGCATAGAATAAAACTTCTCACCATCCTTCTCAAACTTTTTCTTTCTTTCCTGTAGATGCCAGAGTTGAAGCAGAACCAGTTACTGGCATTTTCCAGATAAGAACATGCAACAATGCCAAGATCTTTTGTGCAATTCAGTACTCCCATGGAAAAATTCTGGTCGACCCAACCAGAACAGGAGGCCACTTACCATTTGCTCTGCTTTGACAGTCTGTTGCCTACACTGGGTTTAGTTACACCTCAAGACCAAGCTCTGGCAATACTTCGTGGCACAGGCACTTGAAGTATTTTGTCACGTTAGCATTGTGGCAAAAGCCACACCAACGAGGTATTGTTCCCCCCTCTCAATCTCTTCAATATCAAGTAAATTTGAGACATCAAAAACCTATTCACCATTTTCTAATGTGCTGTTCACATAGTTCAGAAACAACTGGGCAAATACATTAATGACAAAGACATGTCCAAGATAAGAAAAGATCTGTTAGGAGCTTGGCAATTTTGTGTTTTGAAGCTTTTATCGTGTGTTTCTGAGAAGTATCAGAACGAAAGCAGAAGACTGGAAGGGGCGATACATGGGAGGGAAGTCATCATCTCTTTATTAGCAGTGGTGGAAAGAGAGATCACAAACTTTGCGGTCCAAACTTACACAAGTTTTACTGCATAGCACCCAGCCCAAATACAGCCCAGGGGAACGCTGCCTCAAACATAGCTGTTTTACAATGCACAATGTGAAGACTTCATGTCTTGGAGGTCCCCTGCAGATGGTCTGGTTCTTACTGACCTATTGTACATCTCAAACATGCCTACCACAGGCATGCAAACACAAAGTGTGGACTGATTTGTTAAGAAAAAAAGACTTTGTGAAGGCACCACTACAACAAAGAGTTGTTTGCACTGGCAAACCTGAAAGGGTAAATGTCTAGAAGAAGAGCAAAAAGAGACATTTAAGAACAAAACCCAGAGAGAACACAGGGAGGAGCTAAGCTGAGAACCAGGCGGTTTGCTTATGCCTTACAATGACTGAAACAACAGAGGACTGTGGCAATCAAGAAACAACCACAAGTAGAAGCCAGGTTGACAAATACCCACATCAGATGGAGCCATCAGTGATTGCTGAGAGGCAGTTAAATTGCTAAAATAAGGAAATGCCAGCCTGGCAGCAGCCTCAATGCCAGGTCCAAGCAGCTGAGGACTAGTGTATACATACCAGAGGGTATGTATAGGATGCTGTCTAACTTTTGAAAGCTCAAGAAAGTGGAAAGCAGAGTTAGGAAATCCCAGCCTCCTGTGGAATTACTGGTATCTTTCAACAATTATCTCCTAAAAGCCCTGAAATCCTATTCTCTTGCCCCCATTCAGAAGTTCACGAATACACAAACACACACCAATGCCACCACAAAATAGAGCAGATGGACTCCGCCAGACTGGGGGCTATTAGTTATTTTCCTCATGAATTCAGCAGTGACCGCAAAGTTTGAAGCTGCATTTCCTAAATAAAGTCCTTTCTCTTTCTTTAGTCAGTTCTCCTGCCATGAAGTTTTGCTTCCCCATTCCACTTGCATGGACTATTCAGTCTGTCTAATGGGACGTCCTACACAGCAGGATGCCTGGGGGCTCCCAAAACCAGTACTACGGCACAGCAGTTAGCCCCCATCTAACGGTCTGCTTTCTTCTCAGCCCCTTGCTCATAGTGGCTACTGCCACATTGCCTCTGGATGAAGAAAGGTTATTTTCTGGTGGGCACACACAGGGAAACACTCGTAGGTTGTTTATGGGAGCACATGAAGCTTGCACAGCTCCCCATGTTACCCATCATGGGTAGCGTCTGTCAGAGAAGGGCAAAGGCACTCACATGCAACAGCTAGGTCAGATCTACTAGCAATAGCCATCTCAGCCTTTGCTGGAGGAGCAGCTTGCCATCAGCACCCAGGCTCGTGTTGGTGGACACCAGTTCCTTAGAGGCACCTCAGACAAAGGGTGGACAAGCGTTACTGCCAGTTGTCTTCCTACAAAAAAGATTTCTCACCCCACAAGAGAGTCCTGTTTCTCTAATCCCTCCACATTGCTATTGTGAAAGGACAATTACGATGGAAAAACGCAGAGGCACCAACTCGACTATTCCTGCTTATATTTAACTGTGTGGAGTAGGGCAAGCTTAGACCAGCAAACCTTTTTACCCCAGTAATTACACCTACTGCCCTACAGAGACCCTGTAACTACAAGACCCCTGAAGTGAAGTGTATCTTCTGGTATCATCCTATGCAATATCAGGGATACTGTAACTCCATGTTAGCAAATTTGTGCCTCAGAATGAAAAGAGATGCGTATAAAATCCAGAGGAGCAGAGAGTCCGCTAAGAGTGAAACCTAATTTAAGCAGCACTGCAGCTGCAGAGCCAATGCCAGGAAGAACTGTGAAAACAAAACACCACCCTCGTGACTAACACCCCTGATAAGTAAATCCAAACCCAGAGAAGGAAAAGCGTTTGCAAAGCAGCAATTACCATGTCTGTAAGGTCACACTTCTGGATTGTCTGTCTGTGCCATTAGATGCCATGTCTAACGCAGCCAGGAACCTAGGCTTGTTTTCATTTCTGTAACGAGGAGTCACCAAACCCCAAGGCCGCAGAAGCGCCAGTGAAACACAGCTGCACCAAGAGCACCGGCAGCCGATGCAGCGCTGTAGGTCTGCAGCTTACACCTCTGCTGTCCCATCTTTTTGCATCTCAGAGAGGACGGCTACACCAGCAGCAGGTCCCCAAAATCCCCCGGTGAAGGAAAGCTAGCTCCAAATCCAACCAAGAGCCCAGCTATCCCCCTGGAGGTGGCACGCAGAGGTGGTCTCTCAGCACAGCAAGGGACAGTGCCAGCCCTGCTCCTTAGGGCACCAGGAGGCGAGCAGCTGAAGGTGCAGCAGCAGAAGGGCTGAAGCATGCTCCTGTGCTCGAGGCACTGTTCCAGGCATCCTGTCCTGCCTCTCCACACCAGCGAGCAGCGCACATAGGGTGACTCAGTCATCCCCAACCCGGTGGAGTGGCCACGAGGGACAGCAGCCATGCTCCAGCCCAGAGCAGGGACCAACCTCTCCCACCCTTCGCCATCGCTCGCAGGCTGGGCAGCTGCTCGTCTGCCCCAGGAGCTGCGGGAAAGCGCAGGGCGAGGGAGCAGGGAGCTTGCTGCTGCCCTGGCCGGGCACAGCAGAGCCTGCAGGCAGGGAAACAGTGCCAGGCAGGGCAGGGGGACGTGCCTTTGGATGCAGCAGCCTGGGAGCACACGGGTCCTGGCGAGAGGGCATCTCATCCCCAGGAGAGGTGACGTTGCTGTGGGTAGATGTGGTGCCCGTGCAGACAGTCACAGGACCACAAACCCATGGGGGAGACCACAGGCTGCGGGTGGCCGTGATGCCCGTGCAGATGGCCACAGGAATATGAGCCCATGGGGGGAGACCACGAGCTGTGGGTGGCCACGGTGCCTGTGCAGACGGCCACAAGAACACAAGCCTGCAGCCACAGGGAGACCATGAACTGCAACCCATGCAGCAGCTCTGCCACCTGCTCACATGGGCAGTGTCTTGCGGGAAGTCATGGCCCGTCCTGCAGCAGAGGGTCATCTCTGCAGTGGAAAAGATAGGTGAAAAGAAAGAAAAAGCCTGGGGGAGCAACAGAAGAGCTTTTTCTGCAGCAGGAGCTTGGAGGCCAGACAGAACTCCTTCAGGGAGCGCCTCCTCCTCTGCCAGCACCCGTGGGCTGGCAGGGGCACACAGCCACGCTGGGGGTGTGGAACGCCAAGCTCTCCCTGGGGATCGAGAATCACGGCCGAGATGGACACCAGTGTGCGGAGCACAGATCGCTCCTGCAGGAGAACTGCTGCTGTGCGGAAAGGAGCGCAGCGCAGAACAGCATTTTTGGCCACTAAAAGGGGGCTTGCCAATCGTTTCCCTCTGGCTAATTAACATATAACTGAAAAGCAGAAGGATGAACTACAAATCCCTCCCAATTGTCAAGCCAAGGCTTCTAACAGCTTGTTGGCTGCTGAACAGAGCAAGCCAAGACAAAAAACAACACAAAAAAACCCACCCAGACTGAAGCACAATCTGGAAAGATGAACGCAAATTAGTTCCTCATGAATATTCAGCAAAGGACAGCACTACCTTCCTATTAAGATTTGCCAAGACCAAGAAGCCACCCAAGTTTCATTTATTTGCTCACCAAGAGAAACAGCTGATTTCACCTGAATGCAGGCAGTCGCACAGCAGTAGAGGAGGGTGCTCTTTGAAAGCTTCACTCTCTAAGCTTCAGCAGATGCTGCTTTAACCAGAAATTAACAGAAGTCCTCAAAAAAGCCCAGGCCGCCCCGTCCAGTGGTCAATCCACCAGTGGCTTTGGCGAGCTCCACATGCAGGGATCCTGCCCTGCACACTGGCTGCCGCTGCCAGGAGTGGAGCAAAGCCGAAGCCCCCCAGCAGCCGCTCGGTTCCAGCCTGAGTGAGAGATGGAGCAGCTGAGGACTAGGGGGAGAGAGGGGCAAACAGACTTGCCAAAACTCTCCCTTAACCATTAGTTGCTAATTCAGATCCTCTGAAATTCCCATCCTACAAGAGGCAGAGTGAGCTGCAAGCGAGGAGCCCAGCTCACAAGGCTACTTCTCTTCTTCTTAAAGAAAAACAAAACAAAATGAAACACACTTTGCCTGCCAGGAGCCTCTACCTTTGAACACACCTGCAGGGGTTCGGGTGGACGATCAGCACCCGGCAGGACATGCAGCCAGCTATGAATGGGAGATGGATGCGCAGCCGATGCCGGGTGCTCCTGGGCTCCCCCCTCCCTGCCCCTGTCTGCACATCCCCGTCCCTGCCGCCTCCTCGGAGCAAAGCTGCAACACGGCTCTGAGCAGAGCCTGGGAAACACTGGAAGTTGAAAGCCTGTAAATATTAAATGGATCTGCTTCTGCTGCATTTCCTGCCTCAGTATGTCCCATTTTGATGAAGGCAACAATAATCCTGCTGAAATCACAGCAGAGCTACTGCACTTACAACATGGACACCCCACCCAGTAATGAACACAAATGGTGATGTGCTCACCATCACTTGATAAAGAAGACAGCACTGAATAAACTCAAACCCCCCAAAGAGTTTGGGGAAATAGCAAGCTGTTGCTGGAGAGGAGGCGAAGGCGCGAGATGGGTGGCAGGTTCTCCTTCAGCTTGCAGCCTCATTGACAAATGGCGGAGGGAAGAAATGGGAAAAAGAGAAATATGTTCAAATGGAAAAAAATACTTCATGCCTGACTTTGACTTTTATGATGCATCAGCAGCTAATAGAAAAAAAGATAATTTCTAAAAAGTAAAATGCTGTTGAAGGGTGTAGAAAGAGCATTTCTATAAAACCACTTAGTTTAACCTGGTCTTTTCCCTTCACCCACTGTGTTCTCTCAAATGCTCCTTAGATCTTGCTCCCACAGAGATGAAAGCAAGTAGAAGTCACTGTCCTCCCTTTCTTTTAAAATTATTATGAATGAAATATTAATATCAGAATTAACTAAGTGCTTTTAGGAATACATGTTATCTCCTATGTAAGGACTTTTTTAAAAACACTGCATTTATTCAGCATCCCAGAGCATAGTAAACATTCCTCTCGCAGCTTACAATGAGTCCAAACAAGTTTTTTCCCTCTGACTTTTTTGTTTTGCTTTGTGTTTTCGTTTTTGTTTTGGGTTGTTTTTTTTTTTTAAAATAAGCTGTCTCCTTCCAAGTGGAATTGGAATGAAACTTTTTCTATTCAAATCCTCCTAAACTTAATGACTGCAGCAATGCTCTCAACGAAAGTACGCCAACCCCAGAACAGAGCTCGCCCACAGCGTGTGAGCTGAAAGCCAAGGGCTTTGCTGGGAGGCTGCTGGCAGGGAGGGAGGGACAGGCACCCTCTGTGTGCAAGGTCCCTGCAGCAGCACCCTAAGCTCAGCCCCAGCCCCGTCGCACCAAGGGGGTCTGTCCTGCGAGAGGGTAAGGAGGGGCTTTCCTCGGGCTGTTGCAGAGCTGCATCTGCTGCAGAACACATGCATCACTCTGCCACACAGCTCCGTGGACCAAGAGGAATATGCGCTAAGTAACACCGTGCTCATTCGGGGCTTCAGGCCACCACCAGTCCTACCATCCTGCTTCGCATTCCCATTTGTGGTGAACACATCCCTCTAATTACTCCTCCTTCCCCTGCTAATCAAGAACTCCGTCACCCCACATGCTACTCTGCTTGTTTTCAAACCTCAGTCAGGCACGGCTTCACCAGGCACACCTGGCACTCAGACAGCTTCTGCCAGAGATGGCACATGGCACAAAACCCACCAAGTTCATAGCCTGTGTGGACTGAGCACGCAGTCTAGCCTCCATGAATATCATCGAATGTGAAATGAAAAACAGACCACTCCCTTAAGCACTCTCTCCCTTAAGCAATGCCTGCACCTCCCTGGTACCATCCGTGCCCTTCCTAATGCTTGCAGCAGTCTTGACTATGCTGGTTTTGTGAGCTTTACACGCTCACCAAATCAGTGCTGCACCCCCAGCCATGAACTCCCCCCGGCTCTTTAGCTTTCGAGCAGAGTAAGGTGCCAGGGCCAAGGCTGAGAAATGGGTCAGCTCAGGGGATCCCAGATCCTCTGCTTTTATTCTTGATGTTTACACATACAAACATTTACCAATAAGTCACTGGAAGAGCAACAATCCCACAGGTCTGCAGCTAGCAGGGGAAGGTGGCTGGATGGGGCAGCTGCGGCAGGTCCTAGTGACACCCTGGGGGCTCCCCTGTGTGGGAGCACACCATCTGACCGAGGAGACTCCATTCATCCCTGGGAAAACGGGTTAATGCAGACTCAGATGTCTTAGTCAGACTGACTGGCTGCTCTCCAGCCAGAGTCATCACAAAGACCCAATTCAAAGGCTCTTCCTATCTGGCTTCAGCATCTTGCAAAGAGAACAGAAAACATCTCACAGAAGGCTACTCTGCCAAAATATGGGAAACGAAGCAGAGGGCACAAATTCTCTGTGTCATGTCTCCAGTCTGCTCCACAGCCTGGCCCTGGCCTCTCTCCCCCTGGTGTAAATCAGGAAGGATCTACTCGGGTGATGCCCGTCAGTGGAGGCACAGCAGAAATGGAGAGGGACCCCTCGCTGACAGAGCACCATTGTGAGGAGTCCTCATTTGTATTTCACGCCTTCTGCTGAGCGATGTGAATGACCCGGAGGAGCTCTGCAGGCTGGCAAGTGAAGGAAGGCTTTGTGCCCAAGGCGATACCCAGAGAACGCAGCCCAGTGGGACCCGGGCCAGTGGTGTAGCACAGGCTCCTGTCAGGAAAGCAATGGAGATGAGGGCAAGGGTCTGGAGCAGGCTGGGGCTCCCTCTGAAACTCGCACCCACTCAAGGCTGCAGGGCAGTGTCGGAGAAAGCGTTACCTCCCTGTGCATCCCCTGTCAGCGTGGGGGCACCTGCAAACGCAGCGGGGTGCAAAGCACTCCCCTTCAAGCTCCTGCGTGCGAGCACTTCTGCCGTGCCACGGCAGAGCCTTCTCACTGAGGTGCCCCCGAAACCTTTGCAGTTCGTGTTCCTCATAAGAAACAAAAACCAAAGCCAAACCACACAGACCTCCAAGCCACTTGCAACGAAACCCTACCCTCCGCCACTTCTCTTAACTGCTTCTGAACTGTATCCCGCCACAGTCACTGCCCGACGCCTCCACCCAGAGCACCCTGCCCCGTCAGCAAGGACCGAGGAAGGGCTGTAAGCTGCCAGGTGAACCCATGTCAGTGCGTGGAGCCCCCCGCTGCTGGGGCTACGGCACCAACCGTGCCGAGACACGTGCTTGCTAGCCGGGCACCAGCCAGCTCCGGAGCAGGAGGCAGGGTAGGTGAGCTGCAGGCAGGAGGTGGCACGGCTCTTGGAGCAGAGAGCGCTCCGGGCTGTAGACAAACTAATCCTTACACACCTTAAGGGCTACCCGAGAAGAAAACAACCTGAAGGACACTTTAATACTGTCACCTTAACATTTGCAGACCGTTGCCCTCTTGACTTAAGTGTTCCATAAGCACAGAGGAGAAAATAAAACTTGACCTTGTCCCCACGACTCTCTTCGAAATATGTGCTGGCCCTGTTGGTAATGCAGACAGATAAATCAGGAGGGAGTTGCACGTCCATGTGCTCGTAACACAAAGGCCTGCTGCAAAACCCACTGTCGAGGAGGCTTTCCCCCTGCGCCTGGCAGGGAAGCGCAGGCAGCTTCGCCAGCGCGAGACCGACAGCCATGGCTGCCACCTTCACCATGCTCACGCTGCTGCGGCTTCTCAGAGAGGTGTTCTACACACACAGTTGTGCAGGGGGATTCTGAAGGGCAGGATGGTGATCAAGTATCTTTTCTCAAATCCTGTATTTATTAAACGTCAAAGACTCCAGATGGGCTGGGCTGAATCCAAGCCCCAAGTGTTCTCCAAAACATCTCCATTTCTGAGCTGGTTCAGAGCCAGCCCCATTTCAAGCTGCCGCCGAGTAATGTGGAACCAGGACTTCTTGATAGCAGACGAGGGAAAAATAATCTTTTCTGCTCAACATGTGCAGGATTTGCTTTTTATAGTTTGTTTCTTTAAAAGTTTGGTCCATCTGAAAGACTCATTAGGTGCTTTATTTAAATATTTCATAACAAAAGCCCTACGACTATAATCAAATTCTGACTGCCAGCCTCTGCTGCACTCTCTCCCTCCTGCTCCAACACACGCTTATCCGAAGAAAGTATTTTATTCTCAATAGCACTGAATGAACAAAGGGGAGAAGAGAGAAAGAAGCAAGGAGTATCTCCTGATCACCAGTCGAAACAAGCACTCCTTGCTCAGGACGGAGACTGCTGGAATTAGGCCAGAAGAGAACCCAAAGAATTCAGGAAAAGGTTTTGGAGCCTCTTATGATTGAAAAATCAGACTAAAAGTCACAGCACAGACTCTCTTGCACCAGCAGCTGAAAGCCAGCATTAAATGGGGAAGTTTCTGAAAGCATGAAGTCGAAACATAGTACAATTGTCTACTTTTTAAAATTAACAACAAAAAAAACAGGAGAAAAAAAATTGAATTCAAACATAGTAATAGAAAACAAATCTGTTTAAATTTTAAAAAACCAAACAAACAAACAAGCCTTACCTTGGTGAACCCTATTTGCTCCTTCCGAAAGTTTTCCAAAGGTTTGATCAGCAAATCACTAGCATTCTGTACCTACAGCGCAAAGAAAGAAACAGTTTAATTACAGGACACAGATTAATTTTCTCTTAAATAGAGAATGAACAGGGCTAGAAGCCAAGAACTCTTAGATTTTAATGTCTCTGACTGCAAACTTGTTCTCTGTCTGTAGGTGAAGTCACTTAACCCATCCGTACCCACTTTTCCCCGTCTGTAATACACGGAAAACCCCAATCATGGCACACGAGGCTTCAGGGACATCCTGTAGATGACAGCTGGGTTTTCTCCAGCCTGCCACCTTCCCTGCATGGCTGTGCGCTGAGCCATTGTCCTCTGCCTAAAACGCTGCGTTACTCCCATCAAACCCCAGGCACCAGCCTGCCAGAGCAGCAGCCCTCTGGGACACCAGTTCCCCCACGGTCCCGTCTGTGCCAAGGCAGGCTTTGCTCCTGCTGGCCTCTCCAGCCTCAGAATAAAGCTAAGACAGACCCTCACGGGCCTACTTTCACTGCACAGACCCAGCTGCCTGGCTCAGTCCTGCGCTGTGTCGCTGGCACGCTGGAGGGAGCGAGCCCCTGGGAAGCACAGCATGCGTGGTCCCTGTGCCACAGGCTGCGCTCAGGCAGGGCAATCCCATCAGTGGCAGCACCTGCCACCCATCCCATTTTAAGAGAACTGCTGTCCCTGTTGGACATGGGAAGGGCTGAGAGAACTGATGTTCAAAGTATGCTGGCTGCTGGGTGAGCCCTCACTAGAAGCAGCCCCAGGAGGCAAGGCTATTTGTTTATCTCTCCGAGAAGCACAAATCAGAACCATATATATTCTCAAAGCACACTAGAGACTGCTAGTTACTTGTCAGCTCAGCTGGGTCCCTGCCTGCAGCGAGCTGCCCTGCCTGCTCTAACGGGAGGGAAGGGAGCAGAGAAGACGTGCTGCTGCAGCTGCTTCCCCTCTGCCACTGCTGCCAGCTCCTCTGCTCTGGACAACCCAGCCGCACTCCCTCTTGCTGCCCAGGCACGCCGCTGCACTAGCCCTGCTTTCCACGACAGCACCCGCTCTTGTCTTTAATGCAAAGCTGTGATGGGTAAGATCCTAGAGGCAGGGACGTGTCAAGTCACTAGCATCTCCCGGTGAAAGCAGCAGATGCTCATGCTGGTGAGCGCACTGTCAGAAAGCGGCTGCCTCAGTCCTGAAACGAGCTGTTTTCCAAAGCTAAACAACCCATAACAGCTCAGCAAGGCCACGATGGGCAGGAGCTGCTTCTCAGAGAAGGCATGATGAAGGCCCCAAGCTCACAAGAGCAGAAGGCAGGGCTGGGGCAGGCTGGGGCTGGCTCCCTGCCGTGGCTTTCTCATGGTCTGGCATTTCTCACCACAGACAGCACTGGGCTTGATGGTTCTAACAACACGGCTCTCAAATAAATGACGGACTTTCCTTTTCCTGAGATCCAGCCAAAAGAGGAATGACAGCAGGTTGTCTGTCACAGTGAGAGAATAACAGCTAGGGAAAAAGGAGAGTCTGCCCGTGTCTCTTCCAGTCCTGTCAGTGTCTGAAAGATGCTTTCCTGGGACATGCTCTGCGCTCCCTCTCCATGAATCCACAGGCAGACTCACCCCAGTTTGTATCACTGGCTCCAGCTCCACCCTACCACTGGGACATGACCTGCCATCTCTTCCCGTCCCCACTTCTACTGTGACAGGCTCTCTCCGGAGCTCCAGAGAAGGGAGAGGCGAAGAGAAGGGGATACAACACTACACTGCCACAGCCCTTTCAGGTAATTTAAAGCTGATCAACTTGGTGAGAGTATGAAACCTTCTGAGTGAGCTCCTGTAAAGGACTGCTCCTACAAGTGGAGGGCAAAAAAAAGATTTCTTAGAAAAGTTGGACAGCATCCCTAAAGGCATCCATGATCCCTGAAATGACCCCTTCCACCCACTTACCCACTGCTAAAGGAGCCATTGTACCTGGGAGGTAATTAATAAATATCTTACTGCTTTCCTCCAGCCTCTTACTATTTTCTTCCCGCTCCCTGCCTGCCTGCAGACCCGCAGAGCCGACGGTGGCGTCCCGCCGGCGCAGCCACCCCTGCGGCACTGGCCCGGACAGCAGCCTGGCACGAGCTCTCACTGCTGCACGAGGCAGAGGAAAGCAGAGCCAAGCAGCACATTCCTGGCATGCTGTAAAAGCTCTCTACTGAGCCTAACCTTCGTGTTTTTCCTGGAATTAGGAGTGAAACGGGAAGCCAACATTCGCTCTGGAGGAGCTCTGGAGAGGCAGAGGGCACAACGCAGCGGGAGACGGAAGGCAGCGCATTGCCTTACGGGAGCTGTGCTGGCAAGGGCAGGGGCACAGGGGGACCTGCATGCTTGCAGCTGGCAAAAACAAAGCTAAAAATACATCTTGCTTCTCATCCTTCAACACTTTTGTTTCACCACAAAACCAGCTTGTTACCAGCTCAGACACCCCTGGCTCTGCAAAACAAACCTGCTGCAGATTGCAGGATCCTGGGGCTCCATGACTGCCTGGCATGCAGGAGAGGTTTTGGACACTGTGTGGGACAACCTCTCCCCCTCCCCGCCCAGCACCTTCCCTTTGCTGCTCAGGGCCCACAGCGATGGCACCATGGACCAGACATGGTACAAAGCACAACATTCCCAGTGGTCCCAGCTTCCCTCTGTCGGGAAGCTTCACACCAAGGTACGTGGTGCTGTTTGGCCATGATTTAGCCTTTAAACATTGCGACGAGGCAGTAATTACCAGAGCACAGTTCAGATCATCTTACCATCATGGACCTCTCCAGCTCTACCTCGTGGAGCAGCTCTGCAAACTCCTTAAAGGACTCAGCTGTAAAGTAAAGAAGAGACTAGTCAGTGGAGCCGGGACATGGCACCGGAGCATGGGACACACGCCGGTGTACCTGAGTCTGGCTGCACCCCCAGCATCACTGTCTAAAGGCTTGCCAAAAAACAGGGAGGAGGTGGGCCCTTTGGGCAGAAACTGAGTGAGGCAAGGCCATTGGTAAAGGCTGGCCATGAGGGGTATTTATTTACGCACTGGAAAGGAGGGCCTCCTGCCTGCAGCAACGAGGGACATAACGCCCTGGGAAGGGAAGACCACGTTAAATAGCTTTCATTAGGAATTGTACTAAAAAGCTGGTAAGGCAGGCAGCAGGGAAGGGGCAGCCGCTGGCACCAAGGACCGCAGCGGGATGGGCTCTGCCACAGCGGCGGGCTGCAGGCAGGACCAGGCTGCCCGTCCTGCCTGGATGGCTGCAGGCAGCACCAGAACAGGCCCGGCACCTCTGCCCGAGCTGGGAAGAGCTGCAGATGCTTAGAGCCAAGACAAGTCTGTAAAATGAAAACAGCCTGGAATGACAAAGATTACGTTCAGCGACAAGAAGCACAAAGTCCGTGTACCTGCGGAGGAAAAGCAGCAGGTGTAGAAACAGTCACAGACATTGACACCACTCCCCAAAACATTAAACAAAAGATCTCATTGATCAGCACTTTTCTTGGAGTCCAGCTGCAACAAAAATATGAAACCTTTCCTTTAAGAAACTGAAACAAGGTTTATTTAGCCTGGGGAAAAAAAGAGACTAGGTAGGAGTAGTTGACTCTCCCCACACCAACAGGGTTATCACCAGGACGGAACACTTAGCCCTTCTCTCTGCCCACCAAAGCAGAACACGGAAGGGGCTGAACTTGTAGCAGGGGAGAAAACCTGTCTCACCAGAAGAGCACTCATAGCACCGAAATGAGGAGCACTGCCAAAGTGTCGGTTCTGCGGGAGGCTCTAAGGCAAGGCTGGGCAAACATCTGCCTACGCATATAGCATGGCTGTGCGCTGAACGCCTGTGGGGAATAATCTGATTGCCCCAGTGTACCTGGGAACTACCTGGGAGTTAGCTGGGGAAGGTTCCCACAGTGCCACTCATCACCTTCCAGCTGCCAGGAGCAGTGCTGGGGACAGGTCTAGCAGGCCTTGCACTCACCCTTCCATTGCCGTATGTAAAGCACAGAATGGCTTGCTTTGTAAAACCTACAGGAGTTCTTGTGCTTGCAGTTCAGACCCTGCACTTGCTGTGAAGCACACGGAGGCACTTGACCACTGCTGAGCAATTTAAAGACTGAGAATGAACTGAGAACATCAGAAGCGCCTGGCTGACACTGGAGCTCTTGAGTAGGGCAGCATCCAGAGCTCTGGCATGCCTGGCTTGGCATGGCTAACACACAAGAGAACAAATAAGATGTATCGCAAGGCTGATACAGCAATAGCTCATCCCACAGATAAGGGGAGACGATGCATTTGTGCTCTATCTGCAAGCTGAGGGCCCTCTCCCCCCATCCACAGGGGGTACCTTAGGGGAAGTACCTGTCTTTCTGCTAAAAACCAGCTGTAACGCTGCTGCACAACCAGCGAGTATGAGCTCCTAGCGTTAAAGAGGATTCACTCTGCAGTTGCTGAGACAGACACAAAAAGGAAAAACCACAGCCTCGTGACACAGTCCCTCAGCTGGCATCATCAAAACATAACCTTCTTGATGAGTCAGTAACTTCTGAGTTCTCTTCCAGAGCGAGGGCTTCAGAGCCCGGCACATGCAATGTCCTAATAGTTTATTACGCTCAACCACAGGGCCAACACGCTGACTTTCACTGTGGTTACTCAGGACGATGTGAAACCTAAAGTGCGCACAGACACCGGGAGCCTGAGCCAGGACAGGACTTATCACGGGGAGAAAGAGAATCCAGCCCTGAACTTACAGGGAAAATGTCAGTGTCTAAAATTTTCATGAGATGTTTTTTCTTCTTGCTCTACAGGAAGAGTCCAGGCACACATTTCCTGGCTGCAGTTGCAGAGCAACCCACCGAATTTGTCCTTGCACCACAAACACGTGGCTCAGGCTACACACTGCTGCCAGACCAGCAGTGTTCAGGAGCACCAGGGTGAACCCCGTGCTACTGGCCTGGGTCAATGCTTGAAAATCCTTGCAGAGCAGAGCAGGGAGGCTGCCTGCAACCGCTGCCTGCCAAGCCACACCTGGGAACTGCCTGGGAGTGACTCAGCTGGCCGAGGCCAGAATCATGCCAGGAACATCATCTGCTTAAAAACAGAGAATTTCAGGTTCCTGTGCCTGGGAGGGAGGAACACGCCGTCTGATTTCATTGCTCTGATCATCTCTAAAGGAGCTGCTGATTCAGATCCCGCACGGGTGACCGGTGGAGGGACTGCAGCCGCTTTGTAATGCGGGTGCATCTGTAACTATCAACATCCCTGGGGGAAAGCGCTGCTCACAACAGAGAACATCAACCCAGCATCTGTGTCCTGACTCACACTTGCAGTGTTCAAAGCCACCACCTGACATGCAGGGGTGTCAGCCTGCTGTCTGCCTACATAAAAATAAAGAAGTGTACCATTAGTTATATTTACAGATCAAACACATTCCCTGAAGTACGATAAGAAGTGCTTGTGAATGTTTTGATTCATTCCCATATCCTGCAGATCAAATGAGCTCCTACGCTCCCACGCAGATCTCTGGCACCCTTGCAGGAGATGGAAGCTGCTACAGAGATGTCAACGCCCTGCTGCTGTTTCAGGAATAAGGGAGCCTTGCAAAGTGGCTCAGCCCCAGCAGCCATTGCAGGGTTTGATGTAGGAGGAGGAACACAGCACAGGCTTTTTCATAGGGGAAACCAGGGACCTCTTCTTGAAAAAGCAAAACAAATATTCCCCAACAAAAACAGAAGTAGGGAAATGCACTCATTTCACCATGGAGTGTTCTACATGTGCTGTGATTTCTTCTTGCTCCCCTCCACCCACGATCCCCCATTCAACCTCTGCCATTTCCAGCAGTCTTCCTCAACCACCGAGCACTGTGGTTCCACTGTACCAGCTCACTGCACCAGCTCACCGCAGCCCTGCCACACCAGCTCACCACTGGCGGGCTTTGCTCCCCTCCCGCAACCGGTGCATGGAGGCAGGCGGAGAGGCAGCGCAGGGGCACGGGACATCGGAGCTTTGTCCCTTCCAGCCGAGACAAAGGACACCCCTTTCCTTGGGTGGCTGTTTGCTTCAGATACCTCTGCTCCCAGGAGGGGCATTTATAGGGCAACGTTTTCCCCTCCCTTACTCAAATGTGTTTGGAAATTTAGCACCTCTGCTGCCATTAGATCTGTAGGCTGACTCATTTCCAGTGGATTTCACCTAGAGACTTTCCATAAAGGAAATCAGATTTTGAAGGGCAAGCTGCAATCTGCTTTAAATTGCTTTAAATAAAACAACCCAAAGAACAGGCTTTACTTCCTTCCCCTTTCAGCAATGGCCAAGAAACCTGACATCAGCAATGTTACACTTGCAGCCACTCTTCAACAGCCTGACAAAATTTTTTTGTTATTGTTCTTTTTTCCTGTCTTCAGCCCCGAGTCACAGCCTGGCTAATGCCCTGTGCCCCCCACCACGGGCAGCCCCATCCCCTCAGCCCAGGCAGGTGCCCCCAGGGTTTTGTCCCATGGGCCAGGGTCAGACCCTCAGGGGCTGGAAGATCTTCTGTCGCCCCTCCTGCCGGCTGCCACCCCTGCCACCACCGCAGCACCCACACCCCTGCACTGGCATTCAACAGCGCTAGCTAAGCCAAGAGCAGGATTAATTTGAAAAGCACTGGGTTTAGGGCATTTAGGCCATCCGGTTTAGCTCCCTGGGTGCAGCTGGCAGCTGTGTAACCCGCACAGTTGCACTGGGCTGGCAGGGACGTAAAATAGCTTCAGGATTGCTAATCCTGACACAGATGTGCAGGCAGTAGTAGGACACTCGTGCCACAGGCTCTCCTGCTGCGAAGGCAGAGACTAGTGATTATTTTCCATACAACAACTCATCCAGCAATTCATTCTTCCCAGAAGTTTGCAGCCTGGTCCCTTTTTCAAGGCAGCGTGGGCCAGCTTTGTTTTTGTAAGGCGTTTTCAGTGGAGCAAAGGCAGCTTTAGGAGCAGCGCCCACCTGGATCGGAGATGTGGCCAATGCTCAATGCCACACATGCTCCCACTCCAACTGTGGCACTGGGAAGCGGGACTTGCTGGGAGGCCAGCATCGCGCCACTGTCCTCACCAGTGCCTGGCAGCATGGAGCAGGGCTGGAGCCGTGGAAAACCGAGCAAATTATCCGCTGAATTGGGAATGTGAAACTCTACCCGTGAAAGTTCAACTTTGTAAAATACGCCATGGAATAGCTGACTGGCATCTGAGGAACCAGCCTCCTGATGCTGTTTAAAAAACATCAGCACAGGCTAATTCCTAGAGAAGAAGAGACTTTCTCAGTTACTGAAAGTTTGCATCAAGAAGAAGAAAACTTACCAATATTAATCTCATCATCTGTTAGTGTGTCACCAATAAAGTCGAACTGAAAGGACTGCAAAGTCTGGGAGAATTTCTGTACTGCCGATGAGTAACCTGGAAAAGGACAGAGGAATAAGGTTGTGTATTTTTGCAGTTGTTATACAGAAGTGGCAAGTCTTAGAAATTTAGCCTGAATGGAACAAAACTATAGTGAGGTGATTAGAAAAATCCACAGGCATCATGAATTTAAGCACTTCAGAAAATGTTGCAAAGTTAATAACCATTAGAGGCTGCAGAGAGCATTTGTTTTGTTTTCTTTTTCTTTCTCAGTGTTGTTGAAAATGCTTCGGCAGTATTAATGGATGCACTGAATCATACAAGAGGCCGATCAATAGCCTCACATCCTGCTATGTCCAGGAAGAGACACCAACACGTTTCCCCTGCAGGAAAACATGCAGCTTCAAGTGCAGCATTCATCACCGCCAGAAGAACATTTTCAGGGAAGTAGATATCCCCAATGCCATGCATGCATCGGCATGGGTCCTCGGAGCATGGAGGCTGTCAGACAGGCTTATCACTGTTCAAAGGAATTTTTTCATTATATGGGAGAAAAATCTGTAGAGTCGGAAAATAAAAGTGGGGAAAAAGATAGAACTCAAAATAACTGCCCCTCTTTAGGGGGTCACAGACACAAACAGGCCCTAAGAGAAGTACGACAGTGCTGCAGCTGAGTGCATTGAGCCGGAGGGCTCAAGCTGTGCTTGTCAGAGCGTCTGCAGATGGCCCTGGGACCCACTCCGGGTCCACTGGTGAAAAAACATTCAGTCTTGAAGCAAAGACACTTCCTGATGGTGGTTGGTAGCTCAGCCCAAATTATTTTTGGACCTTCCAGAGAAGTTTCTAGCCAAAAGGATCCTTTGTGTCTTTGCATCCTGTGCGGCTGCTTCACAGCTTCATCAGTGGCTCTGTTGTTGTGAAGGCGTCTGCTGACACTGGCAGAGGAGCTGCAGCCGGGATGGGACCCAACACCAAAATCACCGACCTAGTGACAGCCGTGACAGCCACAGGTAACACTTCACCGCAGGAGAAGCCAAGTCCTTCTCCCACTGGCAGAGCACAAGAGGGATGTGCAACGGATTTGATAGCCTCACATCAACCACATCTTCCTGCATAAAGTTACATGCTTTTGGGGGGGGGGTTAGCCTTTCTCCAACAGCAAATACCTGAGATACAAACAGGCTGAACTTGCCTGACTTCGGGGAATAGGAAGTAGACAATAAAACAAAGGCAAAGGAATAATTTTATACTTTGATTTACATTGCTATTTTCCCTAATTTTGGACTCCAGCTATAGGCATGGTCCCAGACTGGATTCCTTCCTGGGGGTGCACTGGAGATGGCGCTTTCTGAAATTCGGGAAGCTGCAAGTGTGGAAGATGTGACAGCACAGATGTTAACGTGCAGCCAGCTCACACACCCCTGCTTTGCCAAACCAGGGGAAAGAAAGACTGCTGTAACAGAGCAACTCTGTGTACAAGGGTGGGTTTTTTTGATTTGTCTGTTTAAAAAAATAAGACATGCACAATCACTTTTTGGCATCAGCTGTTAAAATCTGGGGGGAAATAACAGCCAAAAATGAGGTGTGAATTAGTGAGGAATTGTGTCTGCACAGTATAGGCTACCCCCTGCATTTCTAGCCTGAGGAAAATGGCAATCTGGGTGTATTTTTGTTTGTTCTTTTCCGTTGCAGACTCAGTGACATAAGAACTTATCACCACAGTGGCAAACATGGTGTTTTCTGAAACACTGCTATGAAGGGGAGAGAAAAATTGGATGACACTGAACTGGATGTTGGGAAAAGAAATGAAGTGGCCGCGTGGGATCCCAGCAGGTCCCCAGACTGCTCTGCTTCTCCTGTCCCTAGGTCAGGAGCATCCTGGGGCCCCCCAGCCCTCCCCAAGGCGCCCGAGCAACCGTGGCACACGGGGACAGCCAGGTCCCCAGCCCGGGGAGGAGCATGGCCTCAAAGCGCAGACAGTCCCCGCTTTCCCCTCAAAAGCCTCGTTCAGCAGTTTCCTCCGATGGGTCAAACCTTTGCTCCTGAATGAGCAGATTCAGGCCTGAATGTTGCTATTTAACCACAGCTGCCGCGGGGCTGAGAGCGCGTAAATGGATGAGCTCTAGCACAGAATGATGTCATTGATTTGATGGAAAACCTCAGCAAATAATTCACTCTCAGTCCCTGCAGCGTTCGTTTCAGGCTGGGGCCGGAGGCTCTCATTCAGTTGTCGCTCAGGGGAATCTTTGTCCCCCTGCAAACCCTCGTCATCTTCCCTGGACGCTGCTGATGGCTCCCACCCAGCCCCTCCTGGCTCCTCGACTACGTTTATTAGTGGATGAACTTCGATCGCTCCATTTGAACACCCACCCCGACCCAGCGCCGGGTCCCTGAGCAGCCCTTCAGAAAGCCAGCAGCACCCGAGGTGGCTCATTGCATCCCACCCTCCTGCACCCCCAGCCAGCATCTGCCTGTCCCCTCCATGCGCGCTGGTCGGGGGGAAGGCGACAAGCCACCGGCCAGCTCCGTCTGCGTGCGTCCCCGTGAGCCAGGAGCATGGCTGCACAGACAAATCCCACTCAGCGTCTGGCAGGGACGGAGGGTTTGCGTGCACCGTTTTTCCGTCGCGTGTGTCAGCACGGCGTTTAGCCCCAGTGTCGGAGAAATGGTCCTTGGCGAGCTGCTTGCCTTTTGGTTTTCATAGAAACAGGGGGTAAGGCAATAGCAGAGAAGGGTTTGAAAAAGCCAAATGCAATATATTTTAACCAGAAAAAAAGAAACGGTATAGCTGATTTAAGTTACATTTTCCTTTCAAAACGTTGTCTGGCCTGAAAGTTTATTTGCCAATTGTATAGCTGAAGGAAAACCAGGTGGGCGTGCTATAAACCACATCTCACATTAGCTTAACAGTGGGGAGAAAAAAAAAAGAAAAAAAAAAGAGTGCCCCTTAATTAGTCCAGTGCTGTTTGGTTTTGCTTGGGACAAGGAATTTTTTTTCATTTTAGGGAGCCATCCTCATCCTCAACTTCAGCAAAGTTGGGTGTAGGAAGCCCTGGCTGCAAGCAGTGACCATGTGCCTTTACCCCGATGTGCCAGCCCGCTGCCCAGAGCTAATGGCAGCTGAAGGCAGACAGCCATCCCCACTGTCCCACGCCAAGGTGACAGCCGCCGAGGACATCCCTGTGGTGGCTGGAGCCGCTGCCTGGCACCATGCGCAGACCCCACCATAGAAAAACAACTGTGGAAGATGTAGGGTTAGGAAAGGAGAGGACAAGCTGGAGGGAGAGCCAGTGCTGTGAACGCCTGGCGTGGCTCCTGAGGAGCGTTTAATGGAAACCAGACTCCTACAGACCAACGTGACTCATCCTCATACACGTACAGAGCCTTGGCTGAACACCGGCTTCTGACAAATCCTATATATACATGCAGGATGGACAGCATCGGGTACCACTATTGTATTACGGATCTTACTATAATGATGGGGTGTTTATTGGGAAATTAACAGAGGGATGACTCTGGCAGCCGACCCCACCGCAGCAGTGCCTGCTGGCACCAGCCCCCGAGGGAACAGAAGATGCTCACACCCCGGGGGCTGTGTCCCTGCAGGGTCTGGCAGCCAGGACAGCACCAGGGCCTGATGCAGAGCATCGCCATGCACCGCTCAGAGACAGTCATAGAGAAGTCGCCCCTTCCCTCGGTGGCACGTGAGGGGTGGCATGGTGACACCAGGGGATGGGGCAGGGGGGGCCGGGGAGAAAGGCATGAGCCACGGCCACAGGAAAATGGCTCGGCAGAAGGAAGGGGCCACCATGGTCAGCAGCTGGAGCTGCGTGGAAAAGTGGGGCTACATCTCCATGCTGGGAGAGATAAGCCCATATTCCCCTTGTTTTAACAGACACTCAGAAATCTTTTCCCTCCTGATACCAACACACGGCTACCAAACGCTCCTCACTTTGCACACCCGAAGCCTGGCAGGAGGGAGAGGGTGTGGGCGGGAGAGAGGGTCTGCCCTGCTCATACAGCACCAGGAATGCGTGCGGAGTGCCGGACCACCGCTGAAGGAATAACACTGTGCTTCCAAGCCAGGGATATCGCTGCAAACAGCATGCAAAGTCTCACCACCGCCCGGCAGCCCCAAAGGACCCTGCCTGCTCTTGGTACAGCTCAGCCTGTTTCCGTGGAAACACACCAAAATGAATTCGATCAGGAATCCTCTAGGACTCTTCCTTACAGCGTTCAGTAAGTGATGCCAACTTTCACAATTTGCAGTCACAATAATTTACTCTTCTAGTAAAAATAAAGTCCCATCTCTGCACAGAACAACCCCAGCCAAGCTGGCCTGGCAGGAGGGAGGGAAGGAGTGCCAGCTACAGCCACACTAGTCTTAGGAGGTACACAGGGAGCTTTCTGGTTGTATTTATGCACACATAAACACACCCCAGAGATTGCAGCCATTGAAGGATGTGCCCCACAGCCTGCTGAGCAAAGACCTAGTGGGGATTCTCATTTCAACCTTTCACAGCAACCATAGGTAACCAAAGACCACAAAGAAAAAAATTTTGCTATCTTTGCAAAAGCCATGGGCCTCTGAAAAAGCATGGATTACAACCAGAAGCCCTAAATCAGGCTGTGGTTCTGCTTTTTTCCCCCAATGCTTAGAATTTAAAATAGAAGGAAACCATCGCCACAGGACAGACCCCGTGAGGGGATGCAGCCCAATGCATCACTCACGCTGCCATAGGGACAAGCAGGGGTGGCTGGAGATGTCCATGACACTTGAGATGCCACAGATGCACATCTTTAATTAGCTTTGTACTCCTCAGAGGAGGGTCACACTTCTCTAATTTTCTGTCTGTGTGACTGCAATGGTCCTCTGTTGCCGAGAGGAAACCACATCCCTGTGTACATGGAAGTAGAAGTGTCAGTGACAACCCACTGGTGACAGCTACAGGGACCACCAGGATCTCTGTGCACCAGAAAGGAAGGGCCGTGCTTGGACTGCCTCATTTAACACCACAGGGACAAAATGTGATGTCAGGTGTAACAGAGATGCAGAG